TCTTGTTTCTCGACGGTAAGATACGCTGTTCACCTTTCAGAATTTATCTTCTTATCGCGCTGTTATAGGTTGAGATACCCTGGCAACGAAGTTTCGTCGTCGCGCAATATCGATTTGAAGGGAATGACTGTCATTAAAAACAATGCTCGAAAGCCCTGGACTGCAGGGGGGACGCATGTTTAGCTAGTCTTTATTCTGACGTATTCTTGGCGTCAAGATTGAGAACAATCGTATTCGTTTGTTGAGTTCAGCAGTCTCTTGAATTATGTTGCTGAAGATTTCAGCTGCGCCATATTCTGTACCAATTCCAAAAAAACATATGGTCATTAGGGTTACATGCTACGGTCAAGTGCAAACCTAGTAAGTTTAACCTGATCTTCAGTCACATCTTCCCGTTCCTCGTTATTCTCGACCACACTAAATGGCACCACATCGAGCCTATCCCCCGCCCACGCGCCTCTCGTGATGTCCACTTCCATCTCACACGAACCGGCTGACCAACAGATTGGTAAGCAGTACATTGCAAGATCGCCGATATTGAGTCTTAATTCCTCCTCCACCACATCCCGCCGCACATAAACACGCTTCGCCAAATTCCTCAAGACCATCCCGCGCAAGCTGCGATATTGCCAAGGGGATGCTTCCTCATAATATCCGGCCGCCAACGTATACAGAGTCTTGCCGTACCTGGTGGTAGGGAGCTTCTTGATCTCGGCAAGTTCCTCAGAGGTGAGGATGCCTGGCGGACAATCTTTCATCTGACCTCCGATACACATGATACGGCAGCCCGCCCACGGTGACGGGTCCGCCAAAAGAGATGAGATCGGCAAAACAGTTGGGGATGCAAAAGAAACTGTCCAGTTCACCCCAGTTTCCGAGAGTCTCGTGTCTGTCGATATTCACGATTTGCCAGCATTGACCCATGGTTTTGGGTAAGGCAGCGGAAAATAAAGAGGAACTTGATGAACTTGTTTGAAGCGAAAACAAGGGACTGTACTCACGGTCTCGCAGTGATCCGCGCTTAGCAGCGGCCAGAATAGTTTCGCATAAAGAGAAAGATAAAGAGGATCATTCAGCAAATGATGGAGAGACCAGACAGAACCACATTTTAGGAAAACGACATACAGACGACATGCAGGTGCTGAAGTTGGGAATAGTAGATTTGAGTGCAGGTGCTAAGAAAAGAAAAGGAAAGGAGGCGGTCGAAAGTCTAAGAATAACAACTCACGGTCCCATGATCCAGCAAATGCTGGAGAGACAGGTAAGAACCACATTTCATAAATTTCTTTAGTAGCCAAGACATGGTAACACTGAAGCTGTGAATAATTGGTGCTAGTCCTTCAAAATTCGAGCAAGTGCACAAGGGGAGTGCCCGAGAATCATACTGGAAAGGACTGCTTGTGATTCAAGGGGTACAGCGTGGACATACAGAGATATGATACATTTTTAAATTCACCTAAAAGCATAAAGCCTGCTCCTAATCTCCTCCAGCCTTGCAATTCTGTCTTGTAAGATAATTCTCCTTGACGCGATTGCCGGATCCTCTCTAAGCAGATCCCTAGCCCTCTCAAGGGCATCCGACCCTCCCATATCCCTAATAAGACTCTGATACAAACGACTTGAAAGAGTCTGATGTAGCTCACGCTCAATAGTGAGCGGAATGTTGTCAATGAAGCGCTAGATAAGGGTCAGCCAACGAAGGAAAGATTGGGGAGTAAAACACAAACTTTATAAGCCATCTCAAAGTACGCCCGAACCTTGGCCATCACCAGCAGTGCGTCTTCGTCTTCTGTCGTCTCTCGGACTGGAACTTCATACGCCTCTCGGGCTGGGGCTGCATATGACTCCCGAGCTGGGACTGCATACGACTCCATGCTGACTAGAGAGGGCCTCAGGCCGGAATCAATAGCGCTCAGTGGTTGACGTATAGCATAGGTGCTAGATGTTCTATACACCTTATGAAACCGCTCAAGCCACTTAGAGCGCTCCATAGAGTAATGCAGTACTTGAGTAAACTCGGGTGGTGTCTCCAGTTTAACAGCCTTGCGGAGCATAACGAGTGCCTCGCTCTTGTAAATCTCCATCTGTGAGCGCACAAGTGCACTACGTAGACGTAAGGCTTCAGACTATGCAAGAAGGAAGGAAGGACCGAGGAAACGAACCGAATGTGCATTTCCAGAGGCTTGAACTGTCCGAAACGCTGCGTAACCAACTACTGGATGTACACTGACGACGTGCTGTACACAGCGTCGAAACACTCCATGGATGGATTGGACCACTCCTTCGTGAAGCGCTGAATGAGTTTGTGTGTCGTTTCCAAAGGAACATCGCCAGGAAGTTCCCATGTAGTACAGCTACAGGGACGAGAACGCTTAATACGATAGAACTTGGAAAGGGATATCCACTCACTCATCGATCTCTTTCCTCACATCTTTGATATCCATTATATACCTGGATGCAGCCATATAAATGTACGGGTTGGTCTTCTTGCCCGCGAGCTCTTCATCCCAAATACATGGATCCCGATACTGAGTCTTATCCTCGAAGGGCCGAAAGTTCGGGCACGTCCCAAGGATATCGCGCTTGAACTGTTCATACCTAGCACGGTTGCGTTGTACAAGCTTCTTGTGTGCATCCTTTCCTTCAACGGCCGCTTTGACGTCAACGGAAAATTCATGGATCAGCACATTAATCCGGGACCACGCGTCATCGGTAGGCGGTGGTGGAGGAAGGGTGCTGTATTCCGCTCTGTCACTAGTGAGGAGACGGTTGACGCTTTCCTTGAGGGTCGGTATACTATAGCAGAATCAGGAATTAGCCCAAGCATAGAGAAAGGATAGAGTATGGGGTGCATACTAGTTCTCAATAAGCACAACCAAAAGTCGGTTGATATCACGCACAAGTGCCTGTATACCGAAACGACTGCGATCAGAAAATTCTCTCCAAGGAGAGGTGCGCTCAAAAAACTGTTGGGCGGCCGCTTGGGATTCGTCTCTAGATATATTGCGCCTACGCTCATCATCGTCCGGGAGTCGAACACAGTAGTAGCCATGTTTGAGCTTGTGCCTCTGATCTTGTCCAAGAATAATCTCTCTCCATTTTTCCCGTGCGCCAGAGGGCCCCATTGCTGAGCATATCCGGCTTGGTCAACACTCCTATAGGAACAATCAGGGCCGGTCATAGAAGCAGAACAACGAAACCCCGCACCGATTGTGCGCGTCCCCAGCAGGATCCTTAGACTTTGCAAGGTTCAAGCATCATCACCGCAGCTTGGCATCTCAATGTCATCTTGTAGACGAATATGTGAGGAAGATGCACCCGGTGCCGGGGAAAGAAAAACACACCACTCATCGGAATAGTTATGAGAACGATCGTGTTCTCCGATTCTTCGATGTAGGAAACCACCAAGCTACGAACGAGCTCGATAATGTCTTCATCAGCATTGTGTATAATGCCTGGCAAAAACAAACCTTTAGTACCGCGAACACAAAGATAAGAGCGCCTTACCTGGCAGATCAACGAAAGACAAATCTGTCAAGTCCGGATCTCTCAACTCTACCTGGACAAAATTCCTCGAGAATGGTAGAATCTGCGAGTCGGTCGTAGCAAGATTACGAAGATCCACCGTGCTCATGCTCATGAAATCCTCCTTGGGACGGTGATGGCAGAGTATGGCAGCCTGGGCACGTCGGATCCAGAGTTCCGACCGTATCCCTGTCCGTGATGACAGGCCCAAACTGCACTCCGTCCGAGATGTCGAGTTGCTCCCATCTGACGCGTACTTGAAGTTGAGGTAGATCGTGCACGACCAGGTTAGCGATGAACTGAGCATTATGCATTCCATCGGACACCCTTGCGAAGGAGTGAGATCACCCAGAGAAAGTCTGAGAGGGTATTTACCTGGTACAAGTGCCGCTGTCCCGAGGTACATTAATCTAGATGATGCTGAGAGAATGCAGCAGATAAGCGAAAGGAATAAGCGTACCCCAGAGACAGCTTCGACAAGCGAGCCTCTTTCCGGCTGTTCAAAGACAGACATCAGCACGACTCTGGTATCTATCGATATTGACGAAACAGCCTTACTAGATTGACCCCCAATGACTATGATCTTTGGTAGAGTTGGGAATAGCCCATCCGCACTATGGGCATGTAAGCATTGTCATATGTCAGAGAGCAGCGGCGAATCACGAACCCTAGCTCCTGAAGAGCGCGATACAGCTCCATGACCTCTCTGCATCTTTGAGCATATTCCGTCTGATTGATAGGGACGGTAGCGCTATCTTGCTCTGACTCGGACGGCCGGGGAGTCAGTTTCGGAAGCATTGTCTGCATTGTCTGGGATGCCGTTCGTACGGGTGGTGCCCCTACGTGTGAAACGTCTTGCAATGGGACGACATTGGTGGTGGTGGGGGTGGTTGGGGAGGGAAATATGTGGGTGCTTGAGGGTACTTATATTGCGTGTGACCATATTACGACACGTCGCCTATTTTGCCTTCGAAACTTCGCACGGCGCCTGAAGAAGTGACATGATCCTCCGGTCACTTGAATTATCAATAAATTCACAGATCCGCGGTGCGTCATCTATATGCAATTTGGAGCTAAACCAGCTATTCCTCCCATTAAAAAAATAATATTTCACGTACTTGTCATCCTTTCAGGCTCCATCCAAAGGTTGAGACCTATCCGGCCGTTGGGAGTCATCAGACCACTGCGCTTGAGAAGTGTCTCGATTCAGCCACTCCTTTGATTGATCCATATCTCCGTATCCATCACTTTCTCCCAGTAACGCTACCCTGAGTCCGAGAGAACGCAGAACACCATGATGCAGATCCAAGGAGTAATCACGATCAAGGATCCAGGGATGAACATTCTATTCCCCGTAATTTCCAGCCGTTCATAGGTTCAAGAAGTGGCATGCTAGAATGACTGCCGAGGACTATAATCTTGGGCAACAGTACTACACAGCAGACGGGTACGTCAGCATACATCGGGATGAGATGACGAACACAAACTTTAGCGCGGCTCTACAGCTCCATCACTTCTCGGAGGAACCAGCTGAGGCACTACCCGAGGATTCTTATATCCCGCGTGGCCATATCACGACACGACGCCCATTTCACCCTTCGAAGCATTACAGTCCCTCGCTATTCCCGCCATAAAAGCGGTCGACATCAATCCCATGGTTGAAAATCAGATCACTGCGCGCTTGGGCAGTAGCCGATCCTGATCGAACCTTACATCTTTTTCTTCTAAGGAAGCCACCCTGGTCTGAGAACACAGAACTTCATGATGGGTAATCGCAATCAAGGATTCGGCTGCGTGTTCTCCGGCTGATTAAAGAGGTATGACTTTCTGTTCATAAACGCGGACCCGTGAGCCTACCAAAGCGACCTTTAGTATACGGACACAAAGACATAAGAGCGTCTTACCCGGTAGATCAACGAAAGACAGATGGCATCTGTGGATGGGTCGTAGCAAAGGACCTCCGTGCTCCTCCTCATCTTCCTTGGGACGATATCACAGCTTGCGCGCGCCGGATCCAAAGTTCAACAATGCCATATCCCTGTTCGTGATGCCAAGCCTAAACTGCACTTTGTCTGGGATGTCGAGTTTGTTCCTCATCTGGTGCACACTCAAAGTCGAGCCGGATCGTCCATGTCCGTCCAAGGTTGAATTCCATCGGACCAGGGAGGAGTGAGATCACGCAGAAATTTCGCGGGGCTGTTTACCTGGTACAAGTCCTGCTGTCCCGAGGTACGTTGGTCTAGGGAATGCAGCAGACAAGCGAAAGACGTAAGCGTACCCCAGAGACGCCTTCTACCAGGGCTGTTCAGTACGACTCTCGTATCGATATCCAAGAACGACATCCTAGATTGACCGCAGCGTTGGGAAGAATCTATCCGCACAGGGTACGTAAGCGTACGTCGGAAAAGAGGTGGTGAACGCGAACCCGTGATGATAACTCCAATCACTTCTCGGCATCCCGTCTAATTGATGGGGACGGTCTGGCGGCGGGGAGGGAGAATCACTTGGGCTGCTATTTGCAGCGCTGGCGGTGCCTCGACGTTTAAACGTTAGTGGTAATTAAAGGTGGTGGTGGTTGGGAGGGATGAGCTGAGGAGGTGTTGAGGTCCTTGTATCTGGCGTGACGACTACGATGCGTGCGTGGTGCCTATTTTGCCCTTCTCAAAGTTATCCGCGAGGAATCGACGGAGCCTCGTACAGCGCCTGGAGTATCGAATCGGATAGGATGACGTCTTGGCCGCACAGACGAAGACGCGGTAGACTAGTTCACCTGTGAAGCGGTACTATCATCACAAACGGCGAGGAGCTAGCAAAGGCTCAGAAAAAGTAAAACACATATATCGTCAAGTCCAGCAAGCCGGGTCGGGCTCATTAAAGTGTACTTCGTTTTGGGATCATTGGAAGAGGAAAAGAGTGTTGGATATGCACCATGGGCGGATGGACGACACTGCAGGGACGGGTGTTGCTGAACCGGGGCCATAAGCTAGAAATGTACAATGAGTGATGAGAATGATGACTTTTTTCAGTCCACGCACCCATGATGCTCCTGCTCCCGTAACCCTGTGTCATCTGGCTATCTTGACTGCGAGATACTTCAACTCCCAATCCCTAGCGCCACCGATGCTCGGTCCGTTCGTCGAGTTTGCAGAAGGACCAGACTGGGGTATCCTGCAACAACTCGACGCTCAGTCAACGAGCAGTCCAGCAAAAAGCAGCGACGTACCTTATAATATTCGCTATCTGTAGACCGGGGGCCATCAACGCAGGGAAAGAAGCCGTTGAGAATGTGCCATGCGAATGATGCATATGGTCGAAAGGAGAAAAGCGAACAGACACGGATTTCCAATTGCGTCACTGATTCGCATCTTCAACCTCAACGTCCACCACAACGATGACGAACGACAAAAAAACGCTCGACTGGACGATGATTCGGAATTCACGACCTGAAAACGGCATGCGGCCGACAACGGAGGTTTTATTCGGAGTTGCTGCTCCTCCTATTTGCTCTTTGCCATGCGTATCAGCCCGACGCTAGAGAACAACGGCTCTGTCGCACGAGACCACCTCGCCTCTGAGCGGACCTTCCTCGCATACGTCCGGACCTCCCTCGTCCTAGCCTCCACCGGCGTCGCTCTCGCCCAGCTATTCTCCATCTCATCCAGCACCAGCACCGCCTCCAACGACACCGCCTTCTCGCCTAGCGGGGGAGCGCAGGGGTACGCCCGCCCGCTGGGAGCCGCAGCCGTCATACTCTCTCTGGGAATCCTATGCGTGGGAATGACGAGGTACTTTTCGATACAGGGTGCAAAACAACATACAGCCAGGACATGAAGGCGCTGAAGTTGGGAATAGTAGATTTGAGTGTGGGTGTTAAGAAAAGAAAAGGAGGTGGTCGAAAGTCTAAGAATAACGACTCACGGTCTCGTGATCTCGCCCCGGACCGAGAACGCAGCATCATGATCCAGCTGGAGAGACCGGTCAGAACTACATTTCAGAAATTTCTTTAGTAGCCAAGACATGGCAACATTGAAGCTGTGAATGATCGATACCGGTCCATCAAAATTCGGATAAGTCCGCGAGGGGAGGGCCCGAATGCCAATTGGGAAAGGAATACATGTTATTCAAGATCTCGAAAGAATACAGCATAGATATACAGAGAGATAGTACATTTCTGAATTCACCTAAAAGCATAGAGCCTCCTCTTGATCTCCTCCAGTCTTGCGATTCTCTCTTGTAGGACATTCCTCCTCATTGCGATTTCCGGATCCTCTGTCAGCAGCTCCTTAGCCCTCTCGCTGGCATTCTGCCCTCCCATATCCTTGATAAGACTCTCCGACAAGCGAGGTAGTAGAGTTTGATGCAGTTCATGCTCAATAGTAAGCGGAATATTATCAATAAATCGCTAGATATTGGTTAGAATCGGCGAAGGAAGGGATGGGTAAGCCAAGGACGGACCTTGTACGCTATCTCAAAGTATTCTCTGACCTTGGCCATCACGAGCAGCGCTTCTTCGTCTTCTGTCGCCTCGCGAACTGGAGGAAGTAGGGATGGATTTGCAATGTAGTCCCAATGCCTATTAGGATTTGTATAGACACTATAAAATCGCTTGAACCACTTAGAGCGCTCCATCGAGTATTGTGGGACTTGAGTATAGACCGGCGACGTCTCCAATTTCACGGCCTTTCCGAGTATGACGAGTGCCTCGCTCTTGCACATCTCCATCTGGGCCCGCACAAGTGCTCTGGGCAGAGGTAAAACTTCAGATTAAGCGGTGAAAGACACAAGCAACAAACCTAATGCGCGTCTCCAGGGGCTTGAACTGTCCGAAACGTCGCGCAACCAAGTTCTCAATGTACACCGTCGACGTGTCGAACACGTCGTGACTCGTCGAAGCACTGCATAGAAGGATTGGACCACTTCTTCGTAAAGAGTTCAATGAGTTTCCGCGTTGTTTCCAGCGGAACTTCACCAGGAAGTTCCCACGAAGTGCAGCTACAAAAGCTGGTTCAGCACAGTAGAACCTGGAAGGATAAGCACTCACTTCTCAATCTCTCTCCTCACATCCTTGATATCCATTATGTACTCGGACGCAGCCATATGCACGTACGGGTTGTCCTTCCCCTCGAATTGTTCGTCCTGGATACACGGATCTAGATATCGAGTCTTATCCTCGAACGGCCGGAAGTTTGGGCACGTCCCGAGAATGTCGCGCTTGAACTGCCCGTACCTAGCGCGGTTGCGCTGTACGAGACCCTTGTGTTCTTCTTTGCCCTCGACGGCCGCTTTGACATCGACGCAGAACTGATGGATGAGGATGATAATCCGGGACCACGCCTCGTCGGTGGGCGGTAGTGGAGGAAGGGTACTATATTCCGCCTTGTCAGTAGCAAGGAGTTCGTCGACGCTTTGCTTTAGGGTCGGTATGCTATACCAGAAATGAGAATGAGCCTACGGCATAGAGAAAGAATAGGGCACATACTAATTTTCGATTAGCCCGACCAAAAGTCGGCTTATATCATGCACAAGTGCAGGTATGCCGAAACGGCTGCGGTTCGGAAACTCCTTCCATGGGGAGGTACGCTCGAAATATCGTTTGGCCTTCGCCTGGGATTCCTCTCTGGAGATATTGCGCCTACGCTCATCGTCGTCCGGGAGACGAACACAGTAGTACCCATGTTTGAGCCTATGTTTTTGATCTTGTCCAAGAATAATCTCTCTCCATTTTTGACGCGCACCGGAGGCGCCTGTTGTGAGCATGTCTGGCTTGGTCAATACTCCTGTAGGAACAATTAGTGCTGATCGCAGAAGTAGCAGAACAAATGTTCAGACCGATTGTGCGATCACCATTGGGATCCCGAGCCTTTGCAAGTTTCACCGCTGCTTGCATCTCAATATCATCTTATAGACGCGGATATGAGAAGTATATACCTGGTGTCAGAAGAAGAAAAACGCACCACTCATAGGAATGGTTATGAGAACAATAGTATTCTCCGATTCTTCGATATAGGAAACCACCAAGTCATGAACGAGATTGATAATTTCTTCTTCAGCATTGTGTATGATGCCTGCGTAGGTAACATTTAGTATATAAACATAAATTGAAAGATAAGACCGCCTTGCCTGGGAGATCAACAAAGGATAGATCTGTCAAGTCCGGATCTCTTAACTCGACCTGGACGAAATTCCTCGAGAACGGTAGGATCTCCGAGTCGGTCGTAGTAAGATTACGGAGGTCCACCGTACTCATGCTCATGAAATCCTCCTTGGGACGATGACGGCACAAAATCGCAGCTTGCGCCCGCCGGATCCATAGTTCGACCATGTCCCTGTTCTTGATGACTGGCCCAAACTGCACTCTGTCCGAGATGTCGAGTTTGCTCCCGTCTGACGCATACTTGAAGTTGAGGTAAATCGTGCACGACCAGGTTAGCGATGAACTGAGCATTATACATTCCATAGGGCACCTTGCAAAGGAGTGAGATCACACAGAGAAAGTTCGAGAAGCTGTTCACCTGGTACAAGTGCCGCTGTCCCGGGGTACGTTGATCTATATGATGCTGAGGGAATGCAGCAGGCAAGTGAAAGACATAAACGTACTCCAGAGACCGCTTCTACCAGCGAACTCTTCCCGGCTGTTCAAAGAGGGTATATCAGTATAACTCCCCCTATCGCTATTCAAGAAACGACATACTGGATTGACCGCCGATGACTACGATCTTAGGCAACGTTGGGAACAACCGATCCGCACTGCATCGCAGAAGACTATGTAAACACATATCGGAGAGTTATGGCGAACACGGCTCACCCTAGCTCCTGAAGAGCACGGTACAGCTCCATGACCTCCCGACATCTTCGAGCATATTCCGTCTGGTTGATGGGGACGGTAGTGCTATCATCCTCTGGCTCAGAAGGCGGGGAGTCTGGAACAGGAGGAGAAGGGATACCATCTGCAGTGCCATTGGTGGTACCCCGGCGCGTGAAACGTCTCGCAAAGGATGTCATCTGGTGATAGTGGTAGTGGGGATGGAGAGAGCTGAGGTGTGCTCGAGGGTTCTTATATAGCCTGAGGGACCATCGCGATAACGGCGCTTATTTTACATTCGAAGCTTCGCACAACGCCGACTGCACATTAACGAGGCACCTGAAGCAGCGTTATGGTCCTTCTGGTGTTGAGCAACATCAGCAAATTCCACAAATGTATAGCAAGTCATGGTAGGTACGCACCTGGAATTCTACGAACCATACTTCCCATAAGAAAATATATCACATCTTTGCCGTATACTCGAAAGGTGTGGTTGAGAGTGCATCAGATGGCGCTGAACAGCGTCCCGATTTAGAAAATCAGTTGTTCTTCACTGCATTTAATATTAAACCTTGTCTCCGTATTCATCGATTTCCCCACAGCGAAGCCACCCTGAATCCGAGAGAACACAGAACTCTACAATGGATTCAAGGATCTAGGTACGTACATTCCCTGCATTTTCCGGCTTGTTCAAAGCATTATATCATCATGACTTTGGTATCGATTTTAAAGAAACGACATGCTATATTGACCGCCGATATTTATGGTCTTGGGCAACGTTGGGAACAGCACTGCATGACAGACGGGCATGTGAGCATGTGTCGGAAAGAGATGGCGAACACAGACCCTAGCGTCTGGAGACGCGATACAGCTCCATCGCATCTCCGCATCTTCGAATCAGGGAAGCAGCGGAGGCGTGCTCGAGGGTACTTATATCCCGTGTGATCATATCACGAAGCGGCACCTTCGAAGCTTCGCATGGCGCCTGAAGAAGTGATATGATCCTCCGGTCACTTGAGTTGGGTAGCCTATCAGTAAATTCGCGGATCCGTGGTGCGTCATCTATATGCAGTTTGGAGTTAAACCAGCTACTCCTCCCATAAAAAAAATAGTATTTCACGTACTTATCATCCTTTCAAGCACCATCCAGAGGTTAGGACCTGTCCGGCCGTTGGGAGTCATCAGACCACTGGGCGCCTGAGCAATGTCTCGATTCAGCCAATCCTTTGATTGAAACCTTATCTCCGTATCTATCACTTTCTCCCAGCAAAGCTACCCTGAGTCGGGGAGAACGCAGAACGCCATGACGCCGATCCCAGGAGCAGTCACGATCAAGGATCCAGGGAGGGTACATTCTATTCCCTGTATTTTCCGGCTCAAGAAACGGCATGCTAGATTGACCGCCGAGGACTATAATCTTGGGCAACAGCGCTACATAACAGATGGATATGTAAGCATATCTTGGAAAGAGTAGTGAATGCATACCTTAGCGCGATACAGCTCTATCAATTCTCGGCATCTTCGAGTCAGGGAATCTGCTCGACGTTTTTTATATCCCATGCGAATATATCACGACACGGTGCCTATTTCGCGTTCGGACCCTCCCAATTCCTGCCACAAAGAGCCTTACAGTGGTCGACATCAGTCCCATGATTGAAAATCAGATCACTGGGCGCTTGAGCAGTAGTCAATCCTTTGACAGTGATTGAACCTTATCTTCCCAGCGAAGCCACCCTGGATCTGAGAGAACACAGAACTTCACGATGAGTAAATCGCAATCAAGGATCCGGCTACGTGTTTCCCGGCTAATCAGAGGGTTATCAATATGACTTGCATATTGATATTCAATAAAAGACATGCTAGGTTAACCGAATCCTTGGTAGCGCTGGGAACAGCCTATCCACACTACATGGTAAACGGGTACGTAAACATATGCTGGAACGAGGTACTTAGTGGATGTGAACCCGTGATAGAACTCCGTTACTTCTCGGCATCTTCGAGGGGGAACGATCCTATTGGTGGTGCCCTGGCGCATGTTGCATGAGACGTCTCGCAATGACCGACATTGGCAGTTGGGAGGAAGAGAGTTGAGACGTGTTTCCGGCTGTATCAATACGATTTTCGTATTGATATTCAAGAAACGACATGCCGGATTGACCATGATCCTGGGCAACAGCACTATGGGTATGCAAGCATATATCGGACAGAGATGACGAATACAAGCCTTAGCGCGATACAGCTCCATCACTTCTCGGCATGGGAGCCAGCTGAGGCGTTCTTAATACTTATACCCCGTGCGATTGCATCACGATGCGGCGCCTATTTTGCCTGAAGAAGCGGTACGATCCATCGCTATTCCTGTCATAAGAAACCTTCAAGCGGTCGATATCGGTCCCATCACTGCGCGCTTGAGCAGTAGTCAATAGTCAATGATTTGTCTCCTTTTCTCTCAGCGAAGCCACCCTGTTTGAGAGAACACAGAACTTCACATCGATATCCTTCAATGTTCACCGTAGTCGCGGTGAGCGGTCAAAGACTAAGACGCGTCGAGCACGTGAGTAATCCCGGTCCGATATCTGAATCCGAGTGCCGACCCCATCTGTGCCCTTTTTGAGATCATGCGCCTGAGAACTGATACGGGAATCTCAATATCAATCATGGCGTCTGTTAGCTTACGAGTTCTGAATGGGAGGTCCCCGTTCTCCGTTCCCCAACGGCGACATTAGCCCCCGTCTGTCGCTCTTCAATGAGTATATCTCCGGTAAATGCGTGTCCCATGACGGACTCGGACAGTACCTCCAGAGTCCAGAAAGGACGGGAGTTGATGGCCTGGAGCGTTGTGCTTATCTCTGAAGCTTGATGCATTGATGGCTCTAGGTGAGGAGTGAGGAGTGCATGAGCAAGGGGTGATTATGCATAAAGGCAGAATATGTAGACCTTTTTTTTCCCTATACATCTGACAATATAAAACGATATTTTGATATCAAGTGGACGAGGAGAGCAAGCGATAGAGATGGGAGAGGAATATATAGCGAAAACGGTGGAACAAGGGTCTCGGAATGTATGCCAGGGTTTAGGTAGAGGGGTGTGGATGAGATGAGATATTGGTGGGCGGAGGATGCGCGAATGCATGGTCTTGCGGAACCTGCATAGGGTGCAATGGCGCCGGGTGACGAAGTGCAATGAAGAGTAGGGCGTCAGGTTTTGACAGGAAGGTAGATGTCGAATGGGAAAGGAGAACGTTTGGTCGGCGGTCTACCTTCTCGACGCCAGCACGAACGCAAACACCAACGCGATGAGTGCAGTAATAACCGCAATAACCACCCGCGCAACCGGATAATCCCCCCTCGGAAAAGCACCCTGTATCGAAAAGTACCTTGTCATCCCCACGCACAGGATCCCCAGCGAGAGTATGACGACCGTGGCTCCCAGCGGGCGGGCGAAGCCCTGCGCTTCCCCGCTAGGCGAGAAGGTGGTGACGTTGGAGGCGGTGCTGGTGCTGGAAGAGATAGAGAATAACTGGACGAGAGCGACGCCGGTGGAGGCGAGGATGAGGGAGGTCCGGACGTATGCGAGGAAGGTCCGCTCAGAGGCGAGGTGGTCTCGTGCGATGGAGCCGTTGTTCTCTATGCTCTGCGCATGACAGAAGTGAAGCACTAGTGTAGACAGATATGCTATTAGCGAGCGCAAAGGAAAGGAGCGAGGACACATACCCAGAACCTGTATTTCCATCACGATTCAATCCTTGGAGAGCTTGTCCATAACCACAGCCATATTCGAGTATGGATCCTGAGATAAAAAATTAGGATTGACTTGAACTGAATAACAGAGGGCATCCCACCTTGCCGAAGCAGATAACTGTAAGCCAAGCGTACAATCACGGTATTAGACCTAGAAAAGAATCGTTGACTAGCCGCTCACAAAGCCAAAATATTTGCTTACCTTTGATACCCTGAGACCAGCCGTTGAGCTCAATACTCAATGCTCGACATCATAGGAACAGTTCCGAGGTCTCCAGAGTGAATCTATGAAATACCAGGAGTAAGACGAGATATAGTGAGAAGAAGTAGAAGCATTTCGCAGACTAGAAAAGAAGGGCAGGCAGAAAAACGCGTAACAAGTGTAACGTGTGACAATATCGCGTGGATGATTCACGGCATCTACGGCACGGGCTATCACCATTATGCACCGCCGCCAAAGGGCTCAGATTAGCATGGACCGAATGTATACACAGGACTCGGAATCTATGTACGTGTTTTCTGGCACAAGTTTCGCATCGATGTCCTTAGCAGACCGAAAATTGGGACTTCCAACGAGGCAGTCAGTTGCCTTTCATTTACCTACCACTACCATTGCAATCTGCAAACTACATGACTACTTGCCTTTTGACAGCGATCTCTACCTTACAGCTGATTCTCGCCCTTCACCGCGCCTTCCAGAACCTGTACCGAAACGAGAAACCAAAGCCGAAATATCTGCGCACGAAGCAGAGACCGTGGAAAGCCAAGTCTCTAGCCTGAGGTAGAAGATCAGTAAGCAGCGGTGCCTTCTTCATACATTCGTATTCTCATCTCTTCAATAGCTGTGATGCAAAAAAAGCCCTCACAAAGGGAACAAGGAAACCCAACGCTGGTATGCACGCCAGCTCCCTCAACACCATTTTCAACCAGCCGCCTTTTGTTATCTCAAAGAAGGCCACGCGCCTTCCCTGGAGACTGGTTATAGACATGGTTGGAACCGGGCAGTTCTAGCAATGCGTGAGTCGCTTTTCCTTCCTTGACGCATTTCGCTGATCTCCTCTAGTTCGCTACTCTACTTCAACCGTCCTTATGGGGCTGTAATCGAATAATCTGTGCGTTCTCATGCTTTCTCTTTTTTATCTTGTCTGACGCTTAGACAGATCTCATACATATACATGTCTATCGTGTTTTGCTATTCAATGCTATAGCTATCTTTACTATCCCCTGTGAATTTCGCCGTGAAGGACTGAGATGTAACCTCCTTCAATGTCGTAAAGACGGGTGAGAACGTTGTCCGTCGGGACATTCATACCTTTCCAGACTCCTCGGATCCTCAGCTTTCCTACACGTTTGTTTGGTCTTGCGTTTCTTCTCACTAATCCAACCAGCATTTTGCCTATTATTTGGCTTCCTTCACGGCGGACTCTGCCGTACTGGCGACTTTGAAGCAAATCTTTATTAATTACCGAAAAAACTCGCGTCTAGTATAATTCCTGTGTAGCCCTGCGACTCGTTAGCTTTCGGCTGAGGTCTCCAAGAGAATGTGAAAGCAAGGTATACTACAGAGCACCTACACCTTCTTGTGGGAGTGCCGGAATCAAAAACAAATGTGATTCGTTTTCATGGCCCTTGATATCACGCTTATGGGCCCCGATGGGTCCAAACGGAAGTAGAAACGGTTATCCGTTCAATATCACAACTTCTATCTATTCGAACGACAGACCAGAGCGTCTAAGATAAAATTTATTGAGTCTCTTCGCTCGATTCTACAAGAATGAGATGCTCATGGCTTTCTATGTAACCCTACCGCAGCAATGTCTTCTATCCAGAGTCTCCGTACATGATGGCATGGTTAACAACTACCACCCGCATAAATAGGCATAATCGGTCTATGGTCAAGGGGTAGTTCATTCTTCCTCATCGGGAGGAGGCCCGAAGTCGAACCATCTATCAACCTCCTTGAATGAATATACCCCAGGTCCTAGCTTTCGCCTCGCTAGACGATAATCAGCATAGCTGATGGACACTTTCAGACGAAGAGCACCGTCCGTGGGATTGGTACAGCGAAATGCAACGAGAATCTTCCGAATTGCATGAGATTCATCGTTACTTCGTAAACGAGAAAGGACGGGCGTCTGAATGGAAATAAGCTCGAGATTGGTGAGACAAGGCCATTCATGAAGGCCTTCTAGAATTCGAGTCTGAAAAGTGAAGGTTAGTAGTCAAACGTGTAGCCGCACATAGGGACTCACTATTATATTGGTTTTATCGCTCACATCCAGTTTCTCCTGGTCCACTTTCACTCGAAGAATCTCAAGACGTTTGCACTGTCTTATAGCATCAAGTGATCTAGTATCAAGACACCATCTACCGGCGTATTCGGGTTGAACATACAGTTCCACAAGGGTATCAGCATGTTTGGGAAGGATATTGCGCCAGAACTCGGGGGAACCATGATCGAGCTCTTGCTCCGTGATAAGCATCATGGTTCTGGAGCCAGAGTACGACCCAAGGTACTCCAGAAGGGCGTCATTCACAATGTCCACAGATACGTCTTCTAGATGGATCATCTCAATCCGTAGAGCGGACCAAAATTCTTCAGCAACGTCGGTGATGTGGATCCGGAGGGAAGTCAAATGGCGAAGGTGCGGTACAATTATTGGAACGTCATGTGTGGGCAATATGAGAGCGCCCTCCAAGGTTAGCTGCTTTACGCGGCTGAGCTTTCCCTTACGAAGGCCAGAAAAGATGCCCAAGGCGGCTTCAGGTACAGCTCTCGTTTGATGAGGGGATGACAGACGTAGTCGTGTTAGATTTGGACTGCGGGCTACAAGAGTAGGGATGATGTCCAGTCCGTGTTTTCCGTTAAAACTGATGTTATCAAGGTCATGGAAGTCAAGATATGATGCTTGACCATGATGAAGACCAATGTTGAGAAGAGAAAGAAGTGGAAGATTGCTGAGAGCGAACATTATGGCATTTACTGAATCCAGACCCAGCTCTCCCGGATGAAAGCCAGAGAAACTACGGATTCGAAGATGAGTGCGAGTATGTAGAGTGCACGGGTAACGGTGCTTACTACAAAGATCGCAAGGAAACAAGAGACGGTATACCCCCAAGAAGGCGTTTCTCAATTAAACGAATAGCGCGCTGCCTTCCGTTCGTTATTTCATACCAAAATCCACCTTTTCCGTAAGGTGGGTCGAACGACCCATGGATATAAAGAGTTTGTATGTGTCGAGCCAAGTAAACTCGCGAGGCCAGTGCCTCAAGAAATGACGTGCATTCCTGGTAACGACGTTCTTCATTAAGAGAGAGAGAGACCGTCTGAAAAACTAGAGGAGTGGCCAGACCGCAGAGTTTCTTGGAAGTCAACCGCAGATTCTTTCCATCTTCAAGGCTGAGCTAGAACAAACAATGGATGAGTGGGCTCCTTCCTGCATGGTGTTCCCCAAATGATGTTGTACATACCGGACAGGCGATTTTGCATAACAATTCGACAGGGAGTGAAGAAAACATGATATGCTCGTGGTCAAGCACGTTACACGACGGTAGAGAGATGTTATAGCGATGTCGGAGACTCAAGATTGCAACGGATATGGCTGCCTTATAAACAAGAACAAGATTGAGGCTATGTTGTCTTGATGCTACGCTCGGTGATGATTGTGCTGTCGAAGCAATGCCGCAGTGCCGCGGCATCGATGCACTAAAGTTGATTCCGGGCCGGCAACAACAAGTTGACAAAGTACAACCAACGAACTGCTCCATCACAGAGATCGCGGCTATCACTGTCAGATATTTCACTTTTTCAATGCTGAAAGAAAGGGTAGGAAATTTTTGCACCCTTCAACTACTTCAGCGGAAAGCTCATTACGACTGTAGAATACAGCGGCACAAGAGTCGTTGGACAGCCTCGCCGCACTGTCAGCCCAATATCAGACCGGACCGGTCTTCGCAGATATCATCAAAGGAGTTCGTTGTAACCTTTATTCAGCTCCCTCGCCTACAACATACTTGGACCCCCGTATATCTCCACGCAAAGACGAGATCAAAACAATTCAACGCAGTTTGACAGCCCAACCTTTATTGTCCACAGTATGCAGAATCTCCTGTAGTTACAGTGCAAGCCAGTATGCAGAGTCTCCTGTAACTACAGGACGGTGGCGCTGGAGAGATGTGTTCTGCATACCACTCTGCATACCCAAGACACATACTCTGCATACTCCTAGAAAAAAATTACGTATTCGTATATTTGCCTCATGTCCTTTCACCTTGCCGTCATCGTCGCAAACGATGAGGAGACATCCTCTCGTCGTCCTCCCGATGCCTGCCTAAAAGGGATTGACCCGTATTATTATCAAATAAAATGAATATAATTGAAATATAGTACAGCATACGAAATGTAGATAAAATGCGGTACAGGCGGGCGTGGCGGGACGTAAGCGTCGATAGCATCCATGAAGCCTCATGTAGAGGGAAGCAATGATATTGATGGCGCAGTGATCGTTGCGTTATTATGGGGGGATGATGTGAGCGGGAAAAGGCGGGTGTCGAGATAGGGAGCCGGTAGACGACGACCATGGCATCGAGGGGGTAAACGGAGCTATGATGCATGTTACCCGGTCGAAATAATGAGGGATGCATGAGTTTGAGGTGGGTGGGTGAGCTGGGCGGTGTACGGGAGGCCGATGTTGGACGGGATGCAGCAGGCGGCGGCGGGGGTATCCGTGATCGTGTAGCCATGAATGTGGGTTCGTTCACAACGCATTTGAGCCCTCATTTAATGCCTCAAATAACACGGTCGTCGTCGGCGTCATTCACCGTCAGCATCTCGACCCTGCTCTCGCACTCCTGCCCGTACCCTCTCGCTTTCTCACCCGTCCCTAGCACACCCCTGCTTCCACTCCATCCCTAGCCTGCTATTGGCATGGTCATACCCTATACTCGAGTCCTCCCTACCCCTCACACCTCACTGTCGTCGTCGTCGTCCTGGTCGTCGTGATGGTTAGCTTTGCATCCATACGCCCTCCTGGCGGCAGATGGAGGCGGATCTTGAGTTATCGAGTGATTGAGGCATCGTTAATGCATTTGGAAGCTGTGGTGAATGGCGATTGGCCCCGATTTTGATGTGGGGGATGCTAGGTGGGTCGCAACGACAACAGGACGGGACTTAATGGCGGCGGCAAGAATTGGCGTGCGCTGTAGTAAAAGGGCGATGGCGGTAGTGCAATTCTCCATCATTTGGAAGGGGGAAATTATGCTGCCTTGCAGGAGGGCTTACGCGCAGGCGAGTGGGACTTGATGCATGATATCCAGGCCATCCAGGGGCCACCAAATGGATCAAAAGTACCTATAAAACCTATATTAGCATTAAAAGTAATGAAATATACCTTTATTTCCATTCAAATGAGCAGTGGGGGGGCGGGCAGGCGACTACGCCATGGACCGATGGTGAAAAGGTGAGACGAGAAAAGAAAGCGTACAGCCACTCGATCAGTATCCGGTTTACCGGACCGGAGCGATTGAACGAGCGGAATGGATGCTCGGGATGCATCCTCTGCTCGAATCCTTTACTCCGAAGCCCAGAAATCTGACGGAATATACTATATAAATGCTCTAGTATACATTTGTGTACTTTTTATAGTATATAATCTATCCCAACCTTGATTTATCTGCTATTTATGGTAAATATCATGCATTTTAGGACATTTCAAGGATGCATCATTTGTACACAGGTATATGCAACCGTTCCAAGGGTAAGAATGATTGAAAATAAAATTTTATGTATTACATTATCCAAAGCAGGTGTCCGATCCATGGCGATCTGCCTTTATGTGCGTTGTAATTGCATTTCTCATTGAAGTGAACTCACAAAAGAACATTACATGCACAATCTCACCTGGTGCAATTTCGTCTGACCAAGGTATATTTCTGCCAGGGCAGATATACACTGTGACACATATCACTCCAAATAAGTACAGACCATGCATCTCTGGGTAATATACTTCAATTTAAGCATGTACTGTGAGGTATGCCTTTTACACATGTCTCTGGCATACTTCTGAGATCATAATTCATGTCTACATTAGCACACCATTAGCACAGGACGGAAAACATGCAAAGAGAAGATGCATATAACATTAAAGAAGCTAATAGACATTTTGAAGTATATTTCCAAGCACTGAGAGAATTTCGGGACTGTACAATCTCGACCTATTTGCTTACTGTGAGCGGGTTAGGGTGTTTCGGAAAACTCCGGAAAACGTCGGGGTACTTCTTGTCCTTAGGATCCATACATTATATGATATAAACAAGATAGAGCAATCATATACTGCTTATTTTGTCATATTTTAATTGAATAAGTGTAATATACTGTCTACTATCCCAAAATTCGCCCGCTTTCGCAATTTCCAAACTGTATACCAAATTGGGAATAGTATATTCCCACGGTCTGTGCATCCAAGCCATGCCGATGCGCATTCAGTCAAATATATGGTAGGGGTAGGTGTAGAAGCAGTTTGGAAGCAGTACTAGTAAGTATATCAAATAATATTTTCTGAGCCCGCTCTTTTGTGGCCCCCTGGCAATGAGTAGAAGGGTGGAAAATTCAATACCCCGGTTGCCACCCAGTATCAGCCAGTATCAATTAAATATCATGTGAGCGCCAAAAAAATGTCAATAATTAATCGTTGGTCATTATTCCCAGCGTTTTGGGGCTGTGGGCGGAGGGGCGGAGGGTTGGGGAGGGTATTGTGGCGTAATTAGGAGGTGGGAAAATTACAGGACCCTGAGTATGCAGAGCGTTGTGCGCAGCTCTTCCGACTCTGCATACTCCATTCACCTGTAGTTACAGGAAACTCTGCATAATATGGACGGTATAGCCTCGACAGCCTTGAATACCGCTTTGGAACACGATGCACTGCGCTATCACAGAAAATCTATTACTCTCACGTCTATGTGGCCGGATCTTTGGAATTGGGCAGAACCACTTTTTCAAACTCATTTTGTAACTGTTGCGGAGGACGACGGCGCATTGTACGCAGAACTCCTTGACCTCCTAGCTCCCACCGCAATGGCAGTAATGGACCTCATCGAGACTCTCTTATACGCTCCTCATATGCGCTCCGAAGTGTATTCGATGTCATTTTGCTCTTGCATGATGCGAATTTGGTTCGCATATTTTCCAATAATGTCCAGAATTTTCATTTCAAGCTCCGGGTCTCCAAGATGATGAGCGGGGTGCTAGAATCTGTGGAGCAGCAGACCAAAATATCGTCGATGCTCCACTTAGTTCCTCCTGATCATGTCAAAGCGTCATTGTTCACAGCTGTCAACCGTGTGCAGGACATCTCCCAGTTTATATTATTTATGCACGCTGCCACTTTCATCCACTTTGTTGTACGGTCGTCCCATCATTTTCGGCGTATCTTTCTTAAGCATAGAAGCACGCGTTGGGTGTGCCATGCTCTAGGTTGTATCGCCTCCCAGTTTCCGAAATACGACCTCACCCTTATGACGTTTTGCTTAACACGCTGTGCTTTCGCTCTCCAGGAAACTTTTTGGAATGAAGGATCTCACGAACATCTCCCTGAGGCTATGCATTACAAGACACTGGATTCTTTACTTAAAGCGGCTTCATATCTCCCTTTCTGCCAACTCCCGTGCAATCTTTTCCCTCGACCTCCTTCGAGAAACGTCTCGTGGAGCTTTACAACATCATTGACTCTTACCTTGTATATCGATCAATCCTGCATGAAGTCGTGCATTCCATGGTATGCATCCGAAACGCGGAATGGTTAGTACGATATGACGATGGTAAAGAAGATCGAAAGGCATGGATCGCTTTCTTGACTCTGGAGCGAAGGGTACAGGTTTTATGGGGTATGCGAATGACTTACGTCGACTCTCCAATTGCTTACAAGCACTGTTCGAACGTCGAGGTATATTCAAATAGCACTTACATAGTCTAATTCCATCCCGATTGACCTTCGGCACTAGTGCTCTACCACACAGGTAACGATTCAGTTACACTCAAGATATGCCTCGGATGCAAAAATCAATATTACTGCTCGCGTGAATGCCAGAAATTTCATTGGAGAGCTGGGCATCGAGATCAATGCCTAGACGTTCAACGATCACGAGAAGGTAAAGTATTCGTGGTACAAAGGAGCTTTAACACTAATGAATAATCGACAAAAGGCATATCTCCAGCTCTTACGCCTCGTGATCGTCACTTTATCATGGCCCTGGCAAGCATGGAAAAGAAGCCAACATTGATAGCGTCAAAAGCATGAAAGCGGCCTATATTGAACAGCACCCCGAAACAACCCCGAAAGCACAAAATCCTCACTCGTCATAACATTCGACTACGTAGCAGTGCCTCGACTAATATCAGTCATCTCCACCAAGAAATATCGAAACCAAGGTGGGGAGAATAGTCACCCGGCCGAAAACTCTGAAGCGCACACATGGAACGATGAGATTGACAAAGCGAAGACGACAGACCATTATCTCATACACGTAAAGATTCTCCATAGTATCCTAAAACCCTTTACCTTCATGCACTATGCTGAGGGAAAATTAAAGTGAGTCTCTTCGTACCCTGAGAAAGACTAGTATCTTATCACTCTCCTGTGAATAGTATATAACATCCGGAAGTTTTGAAACCAGCCCGAAATTCCTGAAGGTATCCGAAGTCAGTGTTGACATCACCCAGTCCACAACATCGCAAATTTCTCGCAGGTACTTAGAGCCATCCTGGTCTTGTTTTCATCTTCTACATCATGACGAGTACCGGCTACTGGCGTCCTCTTCATCCAAAATGCTGCAGTTTCGTGCCCCCTTACAACTTATGGCAGTGGGAAATCGGATATAGGGCTGCGCACCGTACCGTACACGGTATACGGCCGTAAAGCCATGGTCTCAGACGGTCACGGAAATATCCGTATACCGTACCGTATGCTTAGTTTGAAAGCTTTGTCGGTGTCGGTACGGGTGCTTTACGGCTGTCTACGGCCGTTGACGACCGTGCAAAATATATTTACTCATATAGACTTACAAGCGCAGTCCCCTGTTATTTTATGTGTGAATATGACAAAATCACAAACATTAGGTACAGAGAGAACAAATGGGCCATGTTGAGTGAGGCCAGAGGTGCCCAAAAAATAAAGTAAGGTTACATGCATTGCCTGAATGCGAGTGAGAGATTGATGAGGTGGCGAATAGTCAAACTTTGAAGGAGTGGCAAAGTAAAGGAATTGGCTCATGGCTATTTTGTGTCAAAAATTTACTCGGGAAAAGGCTCTAGATAAGACTACAAAAGTATTTAAAATATACGCCGTAATACGACGTTGTACGGCTGTCTGTTGGAGCTCCTGACGGCGACGGAACAACCGTACACCGTACCGTACAAATGGCCATTAGGGTGCGTTCGGCTTCGGTCCGTATTCCGTATAACGGTTACCGAAAACCGTACAATACGGTGACGGCGCGCAGCCCTAATCGGATACAGCGTATCTCCATTGAGTATGCTTTTAGTCACACGCACATTCCATTGCGCTCCCACCAGTGGGAACCTCAGTATCACAAAGCGACGAACCTTATCCACATTGAATTTGAGGTCACAGGCAAGTTGCCGCGTGAATGTTGGTAACAGCTTCGCGTAATATAAACCTGTGACGATTTGACGGACCTTCCGAACACCTATCGCCTATGCATTCTCAGTTATCTAAGCTTGTTTCCCTTATCTCAAGCGCCGTCGATGTTGTGCAGGAAACCTTTGCCAAAACCTCTCGTCCTGAGGTTCCTTCGTTGGACGACACTACTCGTCATCCTCTAGATAGTCCTGAGTCATCTTCGATGGAGTTGATGGAGGCTATCCAGACCATAGAGGGTGCATGTGCACAGCTGTGCGCTCTTGTCGCTCGTCCGAACCATACAATGCTCAACGTGAGTTTTATGCTTTGGCTATTATACGAAGTTGGACTGAAAACCAAATTCTGACAGAGAGTATTTGGCGTAAGGAAGCAAATGTAACATAAGTGTTGTCCTCCTGATATACCATTTCCTAAGATGTTCGAACCTGCCTGTATTCGCGTTGCAATTGAATTCAAAATCGCTGACCACCTCTTCGCCAGACCTGAAGGTCTTCACGTGTCCGAGCTTGGTGCGCTATCGGGAGTAGAACCTCAGAAGTTAGGAAGAATTTTGAGCTTACTCGCCAGCAAGCATTGTTTCCGGAAGAGTAAGTAATGCAAGTTGCGCATATTTTGATTTTTGCCTATCAATCCAGTCGAACGTGATGTTTTTGCGAATAATCGTCTCAGTATGGCGCTCGTAAGCGTGGGTGGTATAGCAGCGTATGCCAATATTATGTGAGTCTGCTCCTTTGATCGATACGCACACGTCTGATGATGTCCCAGTACCGACGAAGTCAACAAATCTGCTTCCATGCTCACCGAGAATCTACGAGACCCGGATTGGGGACATTCATATTCGCCTGCTCATGCGCCATTCAATTCCTGGAGCAAATACTCTGGTTCAATATACTCGTGGTATGAAGGAATAGTACGTGCCGCGTGTTGCTCAAGTTCTGCGTCCTATTCAGTAATTCGCGAACAGGGAACAGATGATGGCGTCGTGAGGGGCATGCGCTTCGGGCAGGGTATGAAAGAATGGAATGCTACTACTGAAACATCTGCGATTATCAACGAATATCCATGGGTAACTCTACGCGATGGTGCCACTATGTGTGATGTCGGAGGTGGTATCGGGTCCATCTCTATGCAGCTGGCGGAAGCCTATCCCCACCTCCGTATCGTGCTCCAAGATCTACCCGCACCAATACAGAATGCGAAGAACGACATCTGGCCAAAATTATGTCCCGCGGCTATTGAAACTGGGCGTGTAGATTTCAAGGCCATGGATTTCCTGGTCGAATCTCCAGTCGGAGGCTGCGAGGTGTACTATGTGAGTGCTCGACTTCGGGATAGTTCTTTCTCGTGGTGACAAAATACTTGGTAGCTGAAACACGTTATGTCGGAGGCGTTTTCAGATCTGGAATACATAACACTCACTCTTGCTTTACAGACATAACTGGCCGGACAAGGAATGCAAGATGATTCTTACTGGTGTGAAGAACGCTATGGGACGAAGCAGTCGTCTGTTAATTCGTAGGTTTCTCCTCTGGATCTCTACCATAACCTTGATATTTAAATGCCGCTGTAGACGAATATCTTATTCAACCTGTAAACCGAGAGAATACCCTATCTCCGGGCCTGAAAGAAGCTCCTGATCCTCTTTTACCTAATTATGGAGCTGGACGTATACGCGAGTACAACCTTGATTTGGCGGTAATGTGTTTGTTCAATGGTCAAGAACGCCAGTTGGATCAGATTGTTGAGCTCTGCAGGGCGTCTGGATTGAATTTTGTGCGGGTATGGGATTTTGGAGAGAGTGGACTTGTTGAGTTTTGCTTGGAGTGAGTCCAGCTGGGGTGGCGACCAGGGTAGCAATTTCTTTAATGTACATAGCCTGCTTTTATCTCCTTTATATTTCTTTGTAGGTCCTTTACATTGAAATTTCTAGTCTAAAGCGCCTGACTCAGACCGGACGTCGAATTGTGGTCGCGACAAAAGTCGCCGGAAATGCCAGATAGAAATTGGTGGAGCCACCTTGCACTTCAATTTCAATAAGACTTTGTCTTCTTACCCCCACCTTTCACGTTCGAAATCTATGTCTATGCTCAAGCGCTCAAGCTCTCGCTCAAAGTTAGCGGGCCAAAGATCTTCTTTGTGATGAATGTGAGTGTCGACTCTATGCAACTACAACGAATCTGATTCTCAGAGATTAATACCGCCAAGGACAGGGTTGTTGCGTCGTAAGGGCATACAAGTGTCTTGATCTTCATCACCGGATTTTGGATGAAGTATACTGTATGGTGAAAGAAATACGCTCACGTCATACTACCGCGGTCATGGTCCGGGAGTGGGCTCTATTATTTTCCGTCCGTCCGTCAGCGCGCTGCGATATATGGCAGATGTTCGTGTTGCACCTTATTGCATTTTTTTGGCCCAGGCTCGACGCAGAAACACCTGAATTGGCGCTCGTCTTCCCCGCTGAATGTCTTACTATCCTGTCATGACACTAGGAGAAAGCCCGTGTTGTTCCTTGGAGCGGCGTATTGGTGCCTAGGAAACAATAGCCAGGATCCTATTCCAGTCATGCCAGATACGTGCAGATAGTGCCATCCTAGCTTCGTTTGTTTCTATCCCGCCCGATGCGTTTTGAGGACAATCCTCTTATTCAGTATGGATCTTCGTCTTTGACTCATCTCTCACGCTGACCGCTCTCTCCGCATGTTAGGTTAGGGCCATCTCGTCTTGGATGACGTTCTATCGGGGCAATCCCCATATTACTGGGTCGAGTTCGTCAGAGATTGCGAGATGCTGCTGCTGGGAGCTCTAGGGAAAAGCAAGGACAAGAAATGTAGTTTAAACATATTGATTATTAATCAGTAACAAGAAAGACGTAGTACTACGTATGTTCAAGTACATGCAATTCTTTCATTTTGCAAGAAAAAATCGCTGTCCTTGTATTGTTACTTTCATCCCAAACGGTCAGATGGCCGACTGTTTTAAGAATGCTGGATCCTGAAGTGGAACTCGCACTCGGTAAAATGAACACCTATAGTAGCTACGGAAAAACTCACTGGATATGTCACTTTCCGTCGCTGGCGAAGCAGTCTCCACCTGGGGTAGACTGGCAGTTCGGAGCCATCCAGTCAATGACAGATGCCTATAGCGGAAGTGAGTTAATGGATCACAGCAAACAAAAATCCGTCATCATACCCAATCATCACGACAGTACTCTATGACCCCATACATTTCATTGCCGAAGAAAGATTCACAGCTGTTATAAACCATGACGACAGTGTTGCCATTAGACTGGAAATACGTTAGGGATCTATATGATCTAGAATTGAATGCGAGCGTACATCGTTAGCAAGATCGAAGAGGTTCCCTATTCGCTCGTAAACTGGGAGAAATTCCTTAAATCAAAAAGACACGTACCAGTGTTTTCACTTTCATAGCGAAGTGCATCAGCAATTACATGGCAGTCATTAGGATCCGGGCTACCCCCAGGAGGAATGAAACAGAACGTGTTGCCTGGTTGTCTACATCAGAACTCGCACACACGGAATACGCAGATACACTTACATTGTCCTCCACAGACATTCGTAACACCAGGAATTTGGCGGGATACTACGTCGCCACGCCTAGTGAGAGCCCCTCAGGGCATGACACAGTCTTGACCTTGACGTTCTTGTCTGCGCCAATATAAGACACGCTGAGGGTGACCTGCCCTTCGCAAATCTCTGCAAGTGTTAGCACAATTGTTATGTCAATTCAGAATACATACCTGACAAGACAGGGCTAACGAGCGCGAAGCCAAAAAGGACGAAAGCGAGAGAGAAGTACATGTTGGATGTTTCGAACGAGGGGGTGATTTCGTTCGATGAGAAAACTTCAATCCCTTTACCATGGTTTATATAGTGGGATCCGGAATTCCAGACAACCCCCAATCCACGGGATGGTTCCGGGCACTACGGAAAGACGAGACCAATGTGGTCAAGAGTAGAGCTAATTATTCCCTCTGGGCCACTTCACCTACGCCGAACTGATCTGAAGTCTCACTCACCGTTCTCGTTGATCGATGGCATTCAAAGTTCCGCGGCCTCCGTAGTCAAAGTTATCCCCAGTGCCGACGGAATTCGTGGTCCAAGTAATAAATCGGAGTCGCACCCAGGTATGTATCAACACGATGATGGCAAGTACTGATCAACGTGGTTATCGATTCCAAGAAGTCCCAAGACATCAGAGTCAAAAATTGAAGTAGCGCAGGAGACCGAAATGGCAAAAGTCGGCACAGCAGAGATCCTTGAATAGCAAAGACGAGAGCAAACCTGGATGGAACCGCGTGTGACAATGACCCTAGATGCAGTCAAGGGAATGCCACCGGCAATTGATCTTAGGAACCTACCATGGCAATTACAGGCCGACATGTCCCATGCGCATAGACAAGCCATACCTAAGGGAGAGCCATTGGATCGTACAGTGCAAAAGTACGCCTGAACAGATGAAGAACGATAGTCACCGTCGTGCTAATTATGATCTAGTATACTCTTTAGTACTAGTAGAAATAACGGGACGGGGTCAAACTTCATTACTCACGAAAGGAGTAATCGAGATCCCGTTGGCTTCACCGCCTTTGAATCGGGGACAGGATAGGATGTTTTATAATAATGGATGCTTATTAGATTGACGATTTATTGAAAAAATCACCCTGCTAAGGTTCGTTGTACATATCCCATCGAAGTACGTCACCTGAATAAGTCCACCATATCCGTGATAGTGTCATCATTGGATTGCACGCCCTTTGCAGATTTTGGCCGTTACGTGCTGAGAAAGCCTCCGACTCGACAGGCATTGGATTTCGGGGAGCAGAATAGTTCCGCACAAGGTAGCCGACTGAAGGATAAAGTCTGAATGTTGAGGAAGTGGCACAGCAGCGGCTAGCAGCATCCGACATGGAGCCAATGGCTATACTTAGGTTTGAAATGTTGCCAATACACAATCCTGGATCCGCGCTTCGAAGCCTCGCTATTCCTGCCATAAGAAACCTTCAAGCGGTCGATATCGGTCCCATCACTGCGCACTCAAGCAGTTGTCAATCATTGTCTCCTTTTCTCCCAGCGAAGCCACCCTGTTTGAGAGAACACAGAACTTCACATCGATATCCTTAGTCACGGTGAGCGGTCAAAGACTAAGACGCGTCGAGCACGTGCTGATCACGATGGGTAATTCCGGTCCGATATCTGAATCGGCAGTCCCGAGTGCCGACCCCATCTGTATCCCGTTGACTCAAAAGATTTTTGAGACGTCATGCTGTTGAGAACTAACACGGGAATCTCAATATCAATCGTGGCGTCTGTTAGCTTAGGAGTTCTGAATGGGAGGTCCCCATTCTCCGTTCCCAAAACGGTGACTAATGTCACCATTTTTGTCGCTCTTCAATATTCAATGAGTATATCTCCGGTAAATGCGTGTCCCACGACGGACTCGGACAGTATCTTCAGAGTCCAGAAAGGACGGGTTGTCATGAGTTGATAGTCTGGAGCGTTGTGCTTATCTCTGAAGCTTGAAGCTTGAAGCTTGGGCTTGATGGGCCCAGTGAGGAGTGAACGGTGCATGAGCAAGGGATAGTTATGCATAAAAGACCTTCTCCTTATACAACTGGCAATATAAACGATTAACGAGGAAAGCAAGCGGTAGAGCTAGGAGAGGGATATGTAGCGAAGGCGATGGAGGATGGTTGGAACGGGGGGGAGGAATGTATGCCGAAGTTTAGGTAGGGGGGGGGGGGTGTCGTTGAGATATTGGTGGGCGAATATATGGCCTTGCGAAACCTCCGTAGGGGGGGGCATGGCGCCGGGTGACGAAGGGGCGTTGGGTCCTCCAGGTTTTGACTGGAAGGTAGAGTTCGAATGAGAAGGAAAAATGTTTACGGGCGGCAGCCTATCTTCTCGGCGCTAGCACGAACGCAAATACCAACGCGATAAGTGCCGTCAAAGACGCAGTAATAACCGCAATAACCACCCTCGCAACCGGATAATCCCCCCTCGGCAAAGCACCCTGTATCGAAAAGTACCTCGTCATCCCCACGCACAGGATCCCCAGGGAGAGTATGACGGCTGTGGCTCCCAGCGGGCGGGCGTACCCCTGCGCTCCCCCGGAAGGCGAAAAGGTGGTCTGGTTGGAGGCAGTGCTGGTGCTGGAGGAGATGGAGAATAGCTGGACGAGAGCGACGCCGACGGAGGCGAGGACGAGGGAGGTCCGGACGTATGCGAGAAAGGTCCGCTCAGATGCGAGGTGGTCTCGTGCGACGGAGCCGTTGTTCTCTAGCGTCAGGCTGATACGCATGGCAAAGAACAAAGAGGAGGAAGAGCAATTCCGAATATTAACTCCGTTGTCGGCCGCATGCCGTTTTGAGGTCGTGATGAATTCCGAATCGTTCGCAGCATCGTCCAGTTGAGCGTTTTTTTGTCGTTCGTGGTCATGGTGGACGTTGAGGTTGAAGATGCGAATCAGTGACGCAATTGGAAATCCGTGTCTGTTCGCTTTTCTCCTTTCGACCATATGCATCATTCGCATGGCACATTCTCAACGGCTTCTTTCCCTGCGTTGATGGCCCCCGGTCGAGCATTATAAGGTACGTCGCTACTTTTTGTTGGACTGCTCGTTGGCTGAGCGTCGAGTTGTTGCAGGATAGCCCAATCTGGTCCTTCTGCAAACCCGACAAACCGACCGAGCATCGGTGGCGCTAGGGATTGAATATCGGGAGCTGAAGTATCGGAGCATCATGGGTGCGTGGACTGAAAAAAGTCGTAATTCTCATCGCTCACAGTACATTTTTAGCTTATGGCCGCTACAACGCTCAACAACAGCCGTTGCAATCTATCCATGGTACATATCCAAGTTCCCAATCCCTTTTCCTCTTCCAATGATTCCAAAACGAAACTCGGTTTGCTGGACTTGACGATCATCTTACGCTTTTTCTGGGCCTTTGCCGTTTGTGATGATGGTATCGCTTACTGTGTCGTTTTCACAGACGAAATCCTCTACCCACACACACAGCGTCTTCGTCTGTACGCCATTCTATGGACCGTGACGCTTCTTCAGGCTGTTTACGAAGCTTCATCATTCTAAATAAGCGCAGGTCGTCGCGCCGATACAAGAACCCCCAGGCCTCAACTCATTCCCTCCACCGCCAGCACCAGATGTCGCTCTTCTCCAGACGTAGCGTTTCGAATTCCCCATAATAGCACTACCGTCATCGGGATGCCGAGAAAGTGATTGGAGTTGTTCATCACGGGTTCGCGTTCACCACCTATTAATGTTTTCCGACATACGCTTACGTATCCTGTTCACAACGCTATTCTTGAATACCAATACGTGATAGACCAGCTGAAGCCCACGTACTCGATTCTTCCTCGGATTGGTGGTGTTAAAAGGAGACAAGAATGACTACGTGCAATCGACCGCTTGGTGGATTCTTACAGCAGGAATAGCCGTGTCGTGGACTCCAGAATCCTCCAGCTGGTTTCCCCGAGAGCCGTATCGCGCTACATAGGGTTTGTGTTCGCCACATGTTCTTTCCGGATACATACCCACTCATCCGCATCTGTTATGCAGTGCTCTTGCCCCACACTACGGTTAATCTAGCATGGAAATAACGATACTGCCACGCCTCTTTGAACAGCTAGAACATCTCTCCCTCCCGACTGCCACGCACCATCGCCTCTATGTCAGAGTAGGCGTCCCGGGAAGCAACCAGACTCGAAGATGCCGAGAAGCATCTCGAGTTCGCCTCAGGAGGTGTACAGTCGATTCAAGGGACTTTTCAGGCGTTGTACGAAGCATCAATCGTTCATCACGGACAACTTTGGGAAGAGCAAAATAGGCGCCGCACATTGTAGTGGTTGTCCATGCAAACCTCCGCTCGTTCCCTCTCACTCGCCCCACGCATCACTATGTCTCTTCTCCAATGTATCGTTCCCATCAACGATTGGAGTTATACATCACGGGTTCGCGTTCTTTCCCACATGGCAAGGCTGGTCGTCACGCTGATACAAGAACCCTCAGGCTCGAGCACATTCCACCACTAAATGCCGCGACATTCTACGTGTCGACGCATCCCCTCCCCGCCACCATCAACGAGACGGGATGCCGAGAAGTGATTGGAGTTGTGCATCACGGGTTCGCGTTCACCACCTATTTTCCGACATACGCTTACGTACCAGGCTAGCACGTCCTTTCCTGAATATCAAGACCAGTCTGACTCCCGTACTTGATCCTCGATTGACGCAGTGACCTGACCGCTTGGTGGATTCTTAGGCGCCGTGCCGTGATATGATCGAGAATTCTCCCCCTCGAGAAGTGATGGATCCAGCTGTATCGCCCTACATAGGGTTTGTGTTCGCCATACGTTCTTCCCGGATACCCACTCAATGCTCATCGACATCTGTTATACAGTGCTGTTGGGTTAATCCAGCACGTCATTCCTTCGGTCCATCACACACACGCATTTACGAGACATACAACGAAAGAAGGGCGCCAACGTCACCGTCGGGGAACGGCGACCCAAGGACATCTCTCCCTTCAGAATTCCTGCGCCAACGTACGTCATAACAGAGATTCCTCAGGATGTCGTGCATTCTTCTCGACCGCACAGGATCTCAAAAATTGGTCGAGTTAACAGGATACAGATGGAGCCCGGAATATCGGACCGGAGTTACCCAGGGCCATTGCTTTGTGCGTGATCAGCACGTGCTCGACGCGTCCACCGTTTACTACGCGTCGCGACAAACCTTCGGTCAAATGTGAGCATTGAATCTCTCAGTGGATTGTTTTCTTTGCTCTTGTGCCGTGACTTTAAAGGTTGACAATGAGCACAGGTTCAAGGGCGTCAACTACAGCCGTGCGTATCCCTCTTCCCGCTCGCTGGCGTTTCGACTGATCATACATATCCTCGAAACAGATACCATAATCACATTATACGAGTAGCGCACCTCTACCAACGATGACTGTCCTACAGCCTCAGGTGGCGTTTTTAATCTATGTATACAGTCGCTACCACTACCGTCGCGAAATGAATTCAGAACCCTTATTCGGGACGTCAATCCATCTCATCCCGTCATGGTTCCTGGTTCCTATCTAGAAGCAGATGGGAAATTAGCCCAGAAGCTTTTTTTCATATGTCAGTGTCTCCCCACATTGACAACCTGAGCTCGGAACCGAGGGAGGTTTATCCGACACTGACAAGTCAAAGCAAAGCGAGGGCGGTGAAAATATAAATGAAAAGCAAAATTGCAGGTTTGAATTTACGCTTCAATTTTACATGCTCTGCTGTACCAAAATATAAACATTTGGAGGTCTCGTAAGTGCGCGCAGAGTTCTAGACCGGGATCACTGATGATGATGATGATGATCACCATTCCGTACTCATACTTATACTTAAACCTGAGTTGACATGAAGGCAACGTGGTTGACGCACCCCCACTACACACGCTGCAGGGGTACCATCATCCATCCGTGTTCCTTCAACGGGGCTTTTATTTAAAACTGTACCGGGTCCGGGAGTAGGGTCGGAGAAAGCTAGCGCTATTGACATGAAAGGGATGCACTCTATATTCTTACGCTCACTGGTATTACTCTACTAGTACTACTAGGATTTCCCTGCATGTACTGTACCTGGGAGCTTCTAAATGGTGAATAGATGGGAATATGCAGGGTCCCCTTCAGCTGTGCACGGGGGGAATCATGGCAACGCCGAACGAGCGAGCCATCAGAGCACTGTACAACTTTCTCTTTAACCACCACCACCACCCCTTCCCCACAACAGCGTCGAGCGCTGACGCTCCTTTTCGTTCCATTCTTTTTTTTCGCTTTTTTCCCTCCCTTCTAGCTCACATTTTTAATTTCCATTCCTCCCGGTTCTCGGCTCTCGGCGCCCGAGCGGCGTTCGGATTGAAATTGGCTAAACACGGTAAGTACCCGGTTATCTGAAATATGGTTCGGTTTTCTGGAACGTTTGCCTGCCTGCCCTGAGAGGGTTGTTGGGTTCCTTCCCTCTTTCCCTCGTTCCACGAGGCAACCTTTCGCCTTTCACACCGCTCGCGCGTTCCTCCCTTCACTGGTGGTTGAGCCACGAGACGCGACGTTCTCCCTCTCAAAAAAAAAAGAGAAAAATACTCACGAAAAATTGTTCACGCGAAACTCTACGTCTACGCTACGCTTGTTTAACGTCTTTTTTGTCTTTTCGTTTCGCATCCTGATATCCATATACTGACTTGTTCCTCCTTTCCGATGCGACTCATCTCACGACTATTACGAATCCACCCCCCAGAAAGCCCACCTCCGCCCCCCTCTCCTGGTGATACCTCCCAAAACACCTCCCCACACCGCATGGACTCGGAAGGATACCCAGCCTGGCTTCCCCAGCGTCCCCCACCACCTGCTCCAGCATCGACAGTGCGGTCTTCTACGATGGACGTCACTTCCCCCACCCCTGAGCCCATCCCAGGTCCGAGCTCGCATCCTCCGTCGTCGTACCTAGGTGGGAGGAGGGCCACACCGCGGTCTGTGAGGATCGTTAGTGATTCCGTGTATGGTTTGGAGGGGGATAGGGAGAAGGAGAAGGAGAAGGAAAGACGTGTGCCAACCGATCATACACAAGGGAGTCACCCGCGTGTGTGGTCCCGTGCTACAGGTGCTGCGCTCTCCGCCTCACCCACAGTCTTCGACCCACCCGTTTCCCAGCCAAAATTCCGCGTCCGCGGGCTCAATATCGAGTTACTCCTCAACCCCTCCCCTTTCGCTCGCGTGTACTTTTATGTGTTTCGTGTATTCATCTTTGCGCATCTTTTTTTGCAGACGTTCTTCGATTTCAATGCTGTGTTTATTATCATTCAGTGAGTTCTCTCCCTTCCCCCATTCCCCATTCGCATATTTATATTCTCGTAGGGTAGCCAAATTCCCTAACCCCGACATCCCCGGCTCAGGAAAAAACTGGGCTTTGGGCGCCGCAGCCTACATCTTCTGCTGGGCCCTCCAACTCCTCGGGGTCTTCCTCATCTACGAGCTCCTCTACTCCTTCGTCCGGCGTTGGCGCGTCAAGCGCCCCTCCATATACCCCATATACCTCTCCTCCCCCGCCTTCAACTTTGTCTCCATCCTCTCCTTTCGCAACTTTTGCTTCCTCCACTACCTCCGGTATTCCGCCTTTCGGGGCCACGGGGGAAGCTTCCGGGATGGGCTGGCAGAGACGTTCTGGTTCTATGCGCAGAACCTTCCGACTGTTGTGCTCCTCCTGCCCAGGGCGGGGATCTCTTTGGCGTTGTTACTGGAGTTTTGGGAGCCGCAGGTGGGGGAAGTCGTACTCGCGGATGCAGGGATTAATAATCGGGACGGGACGTTTTTTCGTGCGGGGGGAGCGTTGACGGATTATGCACGTGGGGTGCTTATTGCGAACGCTGCTTGGACGGCGTGGCGGACGCTAGTACTGTTCTTTAGCTGGTAACCACTCATCCATTCTTTCGTTCCCTCATCACTTACTAACCCATCTTCTCATTCATAGGATTGGCCTGTGGGTAGTGAGCGGCCACGGCTGTGCAGGATTCTGCGGTCCCCGCGACAGATGGGAAGAAGAAGACGCGGAAAAGACCATCTCAGTATACAGCGAGAGCCCCACACTCGCTGATACACTCCCCTGGAGCTGGCGGGAGTGTACGAAAACGCGTATCCAAGAAGCATACGACTTTTGTCTCACCACCACGCGTCCTGCCTCTTCTTCTCGGAAGAAGGAACTGGGAGATACCCCAGAGCCACTCGAGGGTATGGAGCAGATCATGGCTGCTGTTGGGCTGGGGAGTACGGCGCCCCCGACAAGGAGGGGTGTGCTTACGGATGATTTCTTCAAGGGGCCGAAAGGGGAACCCTCACCGGAGATTGTGGGAGAGCCTGAGGCGTCTACGTCGGGAGGAGGAGGAGGGCCGCTGAGGGAGCTGCCGTATCCGTTCACGACCAAGACCGCGCAGGTATCCTCGGATGACGAAAAGGTGCCCTTCCCGCCTTCTCCGTCCCTGCCAAGTGAGGAGAAGGTCACTACGGAGAAAGACACTGCCGACGACGACGACGATGAGGAAGGGGAAGAAGAGGAAGACATCGCCCAAGCAGAACTAGGCATCATCGGCAGCAGCGACAGACGCTCCTCCGGACGCGCCTCAGGGTCAATGTCCAGCTTAGGCCACCCCGTCTCCTCGCGGTACCCTTTCCAGTTCCGGAAACCCGCCACCACGCGGGGAACGAGTCTCTCCTCTGGTACACCGCCCCGGTCCGTCCATTCGCATATCTCACAGTCGACGGGGAACGTCGAGTCCTCTTCCGATTCGCATTCTCCAAGGTCCCATTATAGTACTAGCTCGGATGCTGCGAGCCCGAGGAGCTTGGCGATCCCTATGCCTATGCCGCCGAGGCATCCCAATCGGAGTCGAGCAGGGACGGTCCCTTCTTCGTCTTCTGGCCCGTCTTCTCCTAGTAGTCCTGTCAGTTTCCCCAGGTCAGGACGCTCTAGAGCGAGGACACGAACGAGTAGCAGTATCGGGGAACCTCAACCCGTGCCTTCGAGTTCAGATCTGGAAGGGGGAGACGACGATGAAGGAATCGAAGAGGGTGACACGCTAGACCAGTCACTCCCTGAAGTAGCAGCAGAAAGCGAAGACGTCGTCGGTCTGCTGACACTCGAACCATCCGGCTCAAACTCCCCTCGTATACCTCTCCGCCCCTCATCACACCGCAGCACCTCCACCTCACGCTCCAACTCCCAGAGCGGTGCGTCCTCCTCCTCGCGTTCGCGCGCAGGATCTCTATCCGCCGTGCGCTCCCGTACCCAGTCCCTAATCCACAGCATCAGCGTAACCAGTCTCGAACTCGTCCAAGGTGCCATGCGTTCCCGCGCGGACTCGTCCATGGCGCGGTTGGAAGAGGATCCCAGTCCCACTCCCGGGCACTCGCGGTCAGGAAGCTCGACGGATCCTAGTGGGAGCGGGAGTGGCGGGGAGAACTGGACGTTCGGACACCCGATGGCGTGGCAGAGGCAGGAGATGCGGGAGCACCGGCAACAGCAACATGAGGAGGCGGAAGAGTATGAGTATGAGGAGGGACCGTATGTTCGGGGACAACAGCCCTCGCCGGTTATTGAGAGAGACTCGGAGAGCGAGTCCTCCCATGACGATCCTGTGCCTGTGCCTATCGTGATGCACGAATCGAGGTCGGAGTTGTCTGTTGGTACGGAGCAGCCGTACATGAGTGCTACGTCTCTATCACCCCCCTCGGTATTCACGCCTAGACCCCGAGAACGAGAAAGCGAGGGTGCGTTGACGTTGAGCAGCCACCCGGACATCAGCACCGCCGCAGCGTCATTCGTCACCGCCCCTGCCACCATTGAGGGGTCCACGACGACCGAAGAGAGTATTCGGTCGGTGTCCACTATACATCATATGGTTGACCGGCCCCATCCGAGTGGGATGGGTGGGTACGGGCCTTTGTAGATTAGATTCGAGGATTCGGTTGACTTATTTTCGTGTTGTTTGTTTATTCCTAACATTGACGACCCTTACTATACATTAAGCATTCACCATTCGTCCCCACCCCACCTACCTACGCATTTACTTATCTTGGATATCTTCCCTATACTTTCGGTGGAACTACTAATCATCATGGAAATAAAAATGTTATCACGATTCAAAGAAAGGTGGGTACATGTAAGCTCCTCTCGTAAAAAAACGGTGAGATGAACATATGCGGATCCAAAGGAGAAACGCGGTGACTTGCAACAAGACAGCCGTAACCGGTGTTCATTCTACTAGCCAGTGCCCTATCCTATACATACCGAGTAAGCGGTACCGAACCCACCATATTCATCACTTACTCGTCTCGAAAGACCAGCAATGCTTTCCAAGCTTGGCCGCAGCGATAGTTCCTATCCCAGCCTCCGAGTCTGCTTGATGATGGGACCTCGCACGTAAGGAGCCTTCTTTCCCCTCGAATCTGATGCAGAGTGTCTTGTCATCGCCCTCGTGTTGTCCACGTCAATTTCTCTCCAAGGCGACATGAGATAATCTTTTTTTCTTTTCTCTTCGGTGTCAAGCGGGTGAAGGGTGTATATTACGGGGGTTCGAACTTGATGTACAGCGGTAGCGTAGGAGTGTATCATTCAGTTCACCTAGGAATGAACATCATACCGTCGACCACCAAACTCACAAAGAAGAATCATCATGGCCCCCCCCCCCCCCGGGGTGGTAACAACACGCCACCCCTCCCACCCCGTCCTCATGAGAGCGTAATACAACGATGAAAACGTCGAGTCCATCTAGATACTACGAACGCTCGCAATGCCCATCTCCATCCCCTGGAGAATACACTCAATCAAGGGCCCGTAGTCTCCATCGTAAGCCTGGGGTTTGTTCTGAGTTAGTTCAGTGAGGACAGTGCATTCATCAGTCCTACATACCTTGTTAATCCCACCGTAATACTCAGACCACTGTGCAAGACCAATAGAAATAGGCGGATAGCCGTGCATCACGAGCGGGATCGATGCTATAAGTTGGGTTGTGCGCCTGTTCCCGTCCTGCAAAGAGAAGAGGTGAGAAATAAAGGCCGTAGAGAATGGGGTCCCCCGCGTACATTGAATGGATGGCATCGGGCAAGGATCAAATGAATCCAGCTCGCAGTGGCGAATGGGTTGCGCCAGTTCTTTATGTATTGCTACTTGCGCGAAATCAAAAGTGGGCTCGGCATCGCCAACAACACGTTCCGTGCCGGCACAAAACCCTGGCGTTCCTTTTTGGGACCTAGATCGATTATCTATCTATCTTGACTCCGACTATCGATGTCAAACTCGTATGAACGCCGTTCACCTCCTAGCCACCTTTTACCTCCTAGCCGGACCCAGGTTATTGCAAGCTCGTATGAACACCTTTTACCTCCTAGCTGGAAGTCCCAGGTTACTGCATGGCTTGCAGAAGATACGCCATCCTTTGACTACGCTGGATATGTTGTCGGTGAAGTAGAACGAGAAGCTTCTCTGTACGGCAACGGCGACCCTCTCGCCGTCCTAGCGGGATCCCCATTCTTCACCGAGGTTTTTACACAGCTAGGGTGTCAGTACGTCCGTTGTCTTATCGCTTCATCTGATGTTTTTTATCATTTCTCAAGGGTTGAATGGCACTACAAAGAAGGAGACACTTTTGGGCCGTTGAGGACAGTCGCGACAGTCAAGGGCAAAGTGAGAAATCTGCTTCTGGGTGAACGCGTTGCCGTGAATATATTGGCGAGGTGCAGCGGCATTGCTACACAGTTCGTGCTCCTATTCCTTTTCCCTATAAACACGAGCCGAATAGCTCCCCCTCAGATCCAAGAAAATCAAAGATCTTGCTCGGGGATATGGATATAACGGCATTATTGCTGGAACCAGGCAAACAACGCCTGGTACGACTTTTTTGTCTACGGCAAATAAGCAACTGACACTCCGGAAAAGGATTTAGACTAGTAGAGAAATATGGCATGCTAGTCGGAGGAATCGACCCGAATCGTCATGACCTCTCGAGCATGATCATGCTCCAAAACAATCACATCTGGTCGTTCGGTAAAGACTGACCCTGCACGTCTATTTCTCTGTATTCACTTCTTTCTGCAGGGTCAATCACCGCCGCTATTTAGCAGGCCCGCTCCGTGGGAGGTTTCAGCTTGTTACTAGACGTCCAAGTCGGTTCTGAAGCCGAGGCGAATGAAGCGATTGACGCTGGTGCGGACATCGTCATGCTCAACCTCATCGACGGCGAAGAACTCGCAAGCGTTGCTAGGAAGTTGAAGCGGAAGTGGCGGGGAAAGAGAAATTTTCTTCTCGAAACGAGTGAATACATCACAGAGGCTAATCTACAAGCGAAAGCGATCAATGGTTAGTGGATTGACGCTGATTCAGCAAACGTATACTGATATCAGGTGCCAGAAATCGACATCTTGAGTACCAGCATTGTCCATCAGAACGTACCGCACATCCATTTCAGTTTCGGCATACAGATACTGGAGCCCTACATGTTTGCGTAGTCGTGATGTGCAAAATTTTGATAAATAATTTTCTGTAGCTCTCACCTGCTGTCTGTATCCTTTAAAAAATTATTATTGTATTCTTAGGTGTTCTTTGATGCTGTGGTAAATATTCAAAGGGGAAAATATGGGGAGTAGAACAGCTGTCGGGCGGTGGCCGAGGTGGAAGGGTGAAAAAACCGGTATATGCAAAATCCCGTGTCACGGTCAAATTGGAAATCCGCCATTACCAGCTACGGCTCCGGGCTCACTGCAAGCTCACTGACGAGCGCGAGCCAAGTACCATTAAGTTTATGGTATACTGAATGGTAGGAGATAGGTACAATATGGGAGGGGAAATGAATGCTGAATATAATTATCTATAATATATATATATGGATTAATATAAGCATGGTTTGGAGTAATGTTAGCGCTAGAAGTAGAACTAGAGGGCAGTCTCTATTACCCCTGTCGGTGTTCACGCCTAGACCGCGAGAAAGCGAGCGCGCACTTACGGGACCTCCCAAATGTTAAGCGTAAATTCAGACCTTTCATTTTATATTTTCACCGCCTCGCTTTGACTTGCCAGCGTCGGATAAACCTCCTCGGTTCCGAGCTCAGGTTGTGGGGAGACAGTAAGTGATATATGAAAAAAAGCTTCTAGGAACCAGGAAGACGACGAGTCCCGAATAAGGATTCATTTCGTGACGACAGTGGTGTTGGCGACTAAAAAAGCTGTAGGACAGTCGTCGTTGGTAGAGGTGTGCTGCACGTATAGATATGATTTATGGTACCTGTTTCGAGGAGATAAGTATGATCAGCCGCAACGTCAGCGAGCGGTACATACGATGCCCTTGAACCTATGCTGAGGATAACTAAGGAATTTCATCGCCAACCCTTAGCTTCCAGACCAAAGTGAAAGAAAGCAGTCCACTGAGATATTCAATGTTCGCAGTAGACCGAAGGTTTGTCGTGACGCGTAGTAAATGGCGGATGCGTCGAGTACGTGTGCCCGATATCCGAATTGGCCCTATCCTGCTTGACTCGCGTGGTTGAGAACTGGATACATAATGCACGATATCTGTAAGTAGTGTAAGAATTCTGCAGTAGAGATAGTTTTACCCCTCTGCTTGATGATGGACCCTCGTACGAGGTGTCTTGGGGTCAAAGTCAATTTCTCTCCAAGGCGACAATGATAATGGGTTTGCGAGGTCATGTTACGGGGACTCGAATGGGTAACGGAACATATTCGAGTGCGATGTTCGTTGTATCTATGTAGAAGTGCGAGTGTTACTTGGAGAGGCAAGCATAAATTCGTGTGCGGGAGTAGATCATTTGGATATGGCCGCCCCAAGAACTCGGAGGGGAGGAGTTCGCACCCCAAAAGAAGTCATATGGTTCCCACCGGTACAGACGTTCCGAAAAACCTTGTCCACGGTTGCCAAACAAGGCAAGTAAAATAAAAAAATAAAAAATGCAAGAAAATCGTGAAAATAGCATGGTGCCTTCATTCGTGAGTGTAATGTATCATAAATAGATTCGTTGAGGATCTACGAGGTGTATAGAGGTAATGTAACAGGTATGAGGCCAATAGGTCAGTGGTAGGACGTCATGAGCGGGGTCTGTGCTAGCGGTAATGGGAGGCAACGGCGGAGCATTAGAGTGGTGTGGGAGGCTGTGGAGATGTTTTCTCCCTTGTAAACAGTAATAAGTCGTTCCAAAATGAAAGTGGATAACTTCCCTTGAAGATGTATGTTTAGCATACCAGCCACCGCGCCCTCTCCAAAGCTTCCCAGTCTACAACGCCTGAACCCCCACCAGCCCAGTCCTAACCATGAAAACTGACGAAATAAAGCCAGGATATCCAGTTGCAGGTGTCTTTGTCGCAGTGAAATGGTGCGGGCGGACTATGGCGTTGTGTTGCAGGAGACCGGGAGCTGTCGACGTCCAAACTGTGGCAAAATCACGGCGGCGGCTTGCTTGACTGAATGCAGAATCGTTCTTCAAAGCTGTCTTGTCTTTTCTTGTCTCTTGAATGACGATGATGGCAAGGTGTGACCGGCTGTTCGGTGCGAGACAGCCTGAACATGTAAATCTGGCGGCGCTCACTAGTTCTTCATCAGTCAGATGCTCTTATTTCAAGTATTATCTTTACGACACACTGCAGCACCCATGGATCATTAAATTTGTATCTTTCTACTAAATGACACGCACAAATGAAGTCTGTATGCTATTTCTACGATTTTCTTGTATTTATCTGATTTTTTGATTTTACCTGCCCTTTTTGGCAAGGTTTTTCGGAACATCTGTACCCGGTTGGTTATATCTTGTGGTCGGAATAAGCGTTGATCATAGGGGAAAGGTCCTGTTATGTCTATGCAGAGAGTCGTAGTAAGCGTCCCGGTGGAGGTCCCAAAGGGTAGTAGAGTAGCTGAAAAATAATCAAAACTTTGTCATCAGGCTGAAGATAAGATAAATGGCGTCGCACTCTAAATCGAAATCTAACGAGCTGGGGATATCTTCAAGTTGTGGGTGGCAGTTTCGACTCATGTGCGAACCAGCCAAAGTTCGGAACAGTGTTTGGCAAAGATCCCTTCACATAGACGAACAAATATTCGCAGTTAAACTCTAGTATTTCAAAATTGGAGAAGACAGGCTCACGGAAAATCCCCAAGAATATCGGTCCATGAAAACTGATTCGTGTCTCCTTCCCACTCCCGTCGCAACCTCGTCATGTCTACCACGGTGACAAATGTTTGCAAGCTCTCGGGAATATACCCTTATCCATGGAAAAGTATATAGCATGTGTACTGCTAATCTGAAAGTCGCGTGCGGCTTACGCCCAGCTTAATTAGGTGTGCTTTCGGCATCTGATTCACTTAAATTTTTTGCACACCATTATGCCCATATCAAAGACGAATGTCCTGAATCTCAGAGGGCGCGCATCAACTTGCCTGCATCCCTTCCACGAGTGACTAGAATGAACATCCATTTCATCCTCTCGAGAACTTGGCGATGAAAACACGAGAGGGTAATACAAAGTAATGATAGTACAAAATGCCGAGTCCGTCTAGATACTACGAACGCTCGCAATGGTGGCCTCCATCCCCCGAAGAATACACTGAATCAAGGGCCCGTGGTCCCCATCGTAAACCTAGGAGTGTTCAGTGAGACATGGATTACTCCTGAAACAGCGCATTGGCCTTACCTTGTTAATACCATTGTAGTAATCAGAACGCTGGGTAAGACCGATAGAAATAGGCGGATACCCGTGCATCATGAGCGGGATCGATGCGATAAGCCGGGTCGTGCGCCCGTTTCCGTCCTGCAAGGAAAAGCAGTGAGGAAGCGTGCCGTGGATAATGAGGTTCCGCGTACATTGAACGGATGGCATCGGGCAAGGAGTAAATGAATCCAGCTCGCAGTGGCGAATGGGTTGCGCCAGTTCTTGATGTATTGCTACGCGAGGTCAGGGCAGGTTCGCAAGACGATTGAGTGAGGTGAAACACACCTTGGCCATCTTGCAGATATAATCGAGCTCATTGTCAACCTCGGGGAACGGGCAGCACTGGATCTTATAGTTGCCGGCGATGATGACTGTCTTCCTCGTCCAAGCACGCGTCCGGCCAGGGGGAGTGTAGGTCTCAGAAAATCTGCTAGTCTCCATGAGACGCGCATGGACGTTGCGAATCAGATCGGGTGTGAGCATAGAGGGATCGGCAACAACTGCGGGTAGAAGTTCGTATGCCTGACCTATGTGTAAATGATTAGGTCAGCGGATGAGGAATGCGGACTGTACCGCGAGGGTATCGTTCAGAATGTCCTTGATCGTCGGAGCATCGTGGATGCTACTCTGCGGCAGTGTGTCCACAATTCCATCTGTTATGCCTCGTCGAATGAGGTCCTGGGTAGACTATATTTGATGTCGTTAGCAGGGAGATACGTAGACGCATTGTGGCGCTTACGCCGACAGTGATAAGAAATGTGCTTTCAACATGGTTCGTTTCTATCGCGAGGTTGCTCAGATACTTCTTAAAGAGGGATGAGCCCTGCGGGAACATCTGTTCCCAGTCCTCTTTCACTTGGTCGTGACCAGAGGGTAGTATCGGTGCTTGGAGTGGGAATTTGTGTTCCCTGGCGGGCTTCCACGTTTGAAAGTAGATATCTAACATGTTGAAGACTCGTACCATGTTCAAAAAATACAAAGCAACTTACCTGTCTTGGATTTTTCCAGTGCAGTCTGAACGTTTTTATCGAGATCTGTCTGACGTGATTCGATCCAAGAGTCCAGTTTGGGATCATTTATACCCATCTTGGCCAGTTCTGCTTGAGCCTGGTGATGCTGGTGATATGTCGATCAATATTTGTGGAAATGCCGCAACGTTTACCTGACGATAGAGTGCGATCGACGTGGCTTGCGAGTTCATGAACCGGTGCTGGAGGCCTAGTTGGACTAAGAAGAATGGGTGCGGACCATGGCGCCGAATCAAAGCATCGTACTGTCGCGCCACTGTCGGGATAGACGGAGCGGCGTCGGCTGCTGCTTGTTCTTCTGCAGTAAAACAATCTGGAGGGTTCTGAAACATTGCTGCATGCGTAGGCTCATGCGAAGATATGAAGGCAAGAGCTTACATCAAGCACTGGACTTGACCAGAAACGTATCATCGACATGGTGGATCAGATCCAAAGGTAGCGGGAATTGCCGCGCGCTCGTGCACTGCCACGATCACAACGCTTTCTTCACACTTGATTTATCCAGGACGCGTTGAAGTGTATGGGTAAGAGTCAGGGAAAAGAAGCAAATATAACAGACGTGGTTTCAATCCTTCATGCTCTTCAGAATACATTAAATGCACACAAACCTACGTCCACTACATACGCTGAGCCAACTCAGCATACTACTTTAGAGATAAGATATCTGAATGTTTGAAAGCTCTTTCCCATGTGCAGACATATAAGATTTCACCCCTGCAAGCGAAAAGTCCTCGTCTCTCCCCCTTATTTCCATGTTCCTCAGCAACTGGCACTTATTTTGATGATTCCGCAACTTCAGCATGCGTACCAAAGCCTGTGGCCGGAAATTTTCGTCTATTTCGATCGAAAGGGATTCGAGTGACGGAAGGAGGATGGGCTGATCTTCTTGAACGACAAGGTTGTCTAGAATAGACACGTCATTACCGACGTCGTTTGCTCCTGGAACAGTTTCCATGGTCCACCGCAGGGAAAGGTTTTTCAAGTGAGGTGTTGCATCCAGAATCCGAGTCGAACGCGCATCCAACGGACAGGGATTTCGGATACGCAATGTCTCAAGTGTGCACCCCGAACGACGGAGGAAAGCAACAACTTTAGAAAAGTTCAGAGGAGCGATGCCCAATGTCTTTAGTCGTGGTAATGACAAATGATCAATGATGTGAAATGAGTTCCAGACAATATCAAGCAAGCGTATCCCGGTATGCACGACTGGAGTGACTGGGGAGAATTTGTGAAGGAATGCGCAACGCTAGCACCAGAGAAAGTTCTGAAAGATTCGGAGCAGGATCGTAGAAGTCGGAACGGATTGCTCTTCACCGTGCCGCTGGTGTGAAATCGTCGCAGTCGGGGCCGGGTTAGGTCTTGTTCTGCACCATCCCAGATCTCCTCGGGAAGGACTTCCTGTAGGCAAAGAGGAGCGTTTTCCTGCACCGCGGTCGTGTCGCAGGTGTTACCTGTAGGCTGAAGCGGGCGCTTTTCTGAAGCCTCTTCCCACATAAAAACCTCCCATCGGTGGCATTGAGAAACAATCAGTCGGGCCATAGCCTCATAGTGTGGAATAGTCGCGCTACCCATGACTACACCGAAAATCCGTAAAGGAGCATCTCCCGATCGGTCCAACCACAACTTCAACGTCGAAACCGGTGGTGCACAGCATGCAGCGGCATCAACCTCGTTGAAGCTGAATTCAGACCAAAGCTGGTTGAGAGAGAGTGCCACGCTGCGCCATAGGCGGGACACACGACTGTAGCTCCAGGGTCCTAGGCGAGTATTATGGACCTGAGGGTAGAATCTCCAGTCATCCCATGATATAGTGTGAAGAAGAATCTCGCCGATGATCTCTGGTGGCACCTGCCGAATGGTAGCCATGACGGGTCGATGGTGTTTGATGAAGTTATACACCTCGTGCAACGCTGAATACTTTCCCCCTGCCACCTGCGAACAGTCATCACCTTGCCAGGCTATGATCAGCCGTTCCATTTCCTCGTCGTCCAGTGACAGTTGGCTTCTCAAGTCCTTCATCGTCTTCTCCGCTTCGCCGAGCATGACCTCGATCTCTTTGTGTTCACAGTCGAGGGGACTGCAGTTGGAAGTTGTGAGGTGCAGATAGGTTTGGGAGAATTCGTGAAAGCTGGAGGGAGCAATCATGTTGGTTGTAAATGGTTAGGTGAGAGAATTGACGTAGGAGTGCAAAATTTAAAGCTTGAATTACGTGGGAAATTTAATGCAGTTTGTGTGCACAAATTTGTATTGGTGAACAAGGGTGTTGTTCAGGGTCATTGCCGAAACGACGGCATCGTCGCGTCGCGTCTTGAGTTTCTCTTTGTTTGGTCTATTGTCTTTGTTCCGTTAATCTTTGTATATATATTCTCCTCGCGAGCAGTGCAGGTTTTCTTCACCCTCGAACACACTGCTCGCAGCTGTATCGTACGCGCGACATCGAATTTTCGCCCACCCGCCTCCGAGTCCCTCATAGACTTACATTTACTACTACTCTATTCCGCTTCATGTACTTCCGTAGTTAGCTTGGGTTGTCCCCTTATAGGCACCCGAGAACTCGGTATCTCTCAATGCCATCTTCATTGATCCCACACCTCACCCTACCATGTTCGCTAGCGGAGGACCCTCACCTTTCCCTTCCTTATCTCGCGGAGATTCGAGCTATGACCTTTAAATAGGGAGTTTCTTTGAACCAGAATTCAGCCTACACGCTAAAAGAACAATACATTCACGACTGAACGTGCCCTTGCCTACACATTATTCGTAGTACCCATTATTTCCGATCCTAAGTAGCGAGCGCATCTAGCTCTCTCAGCAGCATCACTTGTTTGATTTGTCAAAGAGCAGGGTCAGTCGGGCTCAGCACCTCGTCCTCAGTGTACTCAGCGGATACTCGCTAGCTGAAAAAATTCGAAGGTGTGGAAAGGGTGTTGCGGGCCGCGGGATATCGCTCGCTTAAGCTCCGGACAAATATTTGTGGAGATGTCGCGTTTACCTGACGATAGGACGCGATCGACGTGGCTTGCGAGTTCATAAACGGTTGATGCTTGTTCTTCTTTGGTGAAACAGGCTGCATCCGCCGCCAGTGAGTGACTCTTACGGGAACTCGAACTGTTAACGGAACATTATCACGTTCAGTGAAGACGGCGATGTTATTTGTTTGAGCGCGAGCTAATCAGTGTACGGACAGTTTGAATCTATGTAGTATGGAATGAATAAGTAGAGTAGTTGTAACGTGCGAGTATTATTGGAGCGGTATGCAATTTGTGGTTCGTGCTTATACCATTCAGTTTACCTGGGAGTGAACATCATACATCCACTGTACGACCGTCGGAGTCAAGCTACTAGCAAACTCGGAGGGGTTCGCACCCCAAAAGAAGTCATAGTACGGATCATTATGGTTCCCACCCGGCTGGAAACAATACGTCACGCGATCCTTGGGCCACGACTTGAAGTGCTTCTCATACAGAGTGACGATGGAGTCCCTCAACGGCTCGAATTCACCAACGGTGATGAGGAGCTTGTTGATCAAGTTCTCCGCACCGTCGAACCAGCCCTGGGGAGCATGCGAGGCCTCCATGTACGGAATCTGCGAGGGCGGGACGGCCTTGAGGATGGGGGCACCCCATTCGCGGAGGGTATCGGCGCTGGTGATGTCGGTGTGGTTGTTCTCTTCGAACGAGTTGGGGACATCGGTGCCGCCGACGGAGATCCAGGGGGAGAGGAGGTACCCGCCGCCGAGCTTGGTGCCGGGCGGGAGGACGAAGGGTTCGACGCCGGGGATGGGGTGCAGCATGTGTGAGAGGAGCATGAGGATCAGGTTCGAACCGGCGGATTCGCCGACCATGGTTATGCCTTCTGGGGGGACTCCGCTGGCGATGAGGTGGTTGAGCATGACGACAAGTTGGCGGAGAGGGAGGGGGTAGTCGCCTTCGGGGTGGAGAGCTGTGGCGCGGATGGTCGGTTGGTTTGGGGGAGGCGAAGGAGAGGAGGGTACGTACCGTAGGACAGGGCGCACAAGCCAACATCGAGACCCCTGTTCTTCATCTGGCCTTGCATCCATCGCCAGAAAGGATATCCTTCAGCGGGAGCATGGACGAGGAAAGCACCGCCTAGAAGCGGAGGTTAAGCGGAAAGGAAATGGCACTATAAAGCTGAAACACTAACCGTGAAGGAAAATGTTGACGCGTTTAGGGTTCTTGGGACCAACCCACATGATCTTAGCACCAAGGTCGAGTTCCTCAACGTTCATCGGAACACCAATCTTCTTCGTGTACCCAACATAGACAGTCGTACGAGTTCCCGAAAACTGTACTGGAGCTGGGCGATGTTCAAGTGCGTAAGGTAGTGCACGCTGTAGTGGCTGACGACGCGTCTCCAGGTCTTGTCCCTCGTAGCTCTGTCCCATGGGGAGACCAGAAGCCTGTAGAGAACCTTGAAGGCTAGAGTCGAAACATTCCAGTTGCCTGTGAGGAGGAAAGGAAGGAGAGACGACGTACGCAAGAGTCGGCAAAGACCAGGTAGATACCCGCGATTTCCAAGGGAGTGATAGTTTACGACGCGAGTATGCTTGACCATGGTGGATCAATTGTCCAGCCAGCAAACTCTGTATTCCTTATAACCGACCTAGACGAACCCGAGTCGCAGGTAAATCATGCGCCGCAGGTCTTCACGCTAAGGGTAAGCGTCAACCGTGGTCCGTAGGAAGTATCTTGCGTCTGGCATGGTAAGCCTGAGGACCGCTGCTATGACTGAAATACAAAGAACAAGAAATTGCGGGATTAACCGAGGAGAAAGTTCAGCGGGAGTTCGGGCCGGTTCTCCCATCCAATGGTCTTCGACTAGCAGGACAACGGGCAGCCAATCCTGCGTATCTGCAGCGGAAGGTCGTCCCTGATGCTTACGGGTTTGACAACCTCGACCCTTTGTCCGACTCCGGAGACAGGTGCTACTCGATGTAGCTTGTACGACATCGTCGCAATCATGGGCATTTGAACAGTGCACAGCTTCCCTACTCGACGACAATACTTCGATCTTGCACGGTTCTTCAAAGTTTACTGTATGGATATGTAAGCGTTATTATATTGGATTAGCATGCAATTTATCTAGCTTCAGCGACGGTTCCATGTGATTGAAACCGCGACTGATATCGGTTCGAGGCGCATTTTAACGAACATTCTCTATCCTCTCAAGATCTCATCACCGAAATATGTGTCGATACTTATTCACGTCATACTGCGACTCCGAATATCAACTCGATAAAACAGTGTATGTTTTTCACGTCCAAGTTCTAGTTATTATATGATTTAACAGTACAAATAACACAGTTCTAACAACACAGTAAATCCATCTACTCAGCCGTAATAGTCTGCCCTCCATCAATAAGAATACTAGCCCCAATCATATAACTATTCCTCGGGCTACTCAACATCGCCACCATATCCCCAATCTCCCTCGGCTCTCCAAACCTATGCAGCGCATTATTATCCAAGATCCTCTGGGCCGTCTCCGGTGTCGCACCAGGGAACGCCGCCAGACCCGGCGTGAAGATGTACCCCGGCAAAACCGCATTGATACGGATCCCGTTCTTCCCGTGGTCCTGGGCTGGGCCCCACACCAAATCAGTAAGCCATTCGAATGAAAATCGTTAGCTTACCAGCAGCCTTGGTCAACCCATTAGTAGCGAACTTGGTATGGGTGTACGCACCGCCCTCGGGGACAGCGATAACAGCCGCAGCAGAGGACAGCACGACGATACTCCCTCGCTCCGCCGGGCGCGCCTCCGAAGTCAAAGGCGTCACGAGCCTCTCCTGCTTCTCCATCGTCTTGATCTGCTCCTTGACGAGGAAGAACACCCCATTAATATTCGTCTGCTGGAATCGCCAACCACTCCTCCGTGGGCGTCTCCGCAAACGGTTTCCTCTCTCTCCCGAATGACTGCACAAAAATCAATCAAAATCAACCTCACTTTCTCACTTAACACAACACTTACACCAGCGATATTCGCACAATAATCCACCCTCCCAAACCTCTCGACAGACTTTTGCATGAGGTTCTTCACGGATTCTTCGTCGCCCATGTCTACCTGGATGACGAAGGTTTCGAATTGGGAGTTTGACGCGAGAGCTTTGGCTTCCTCTGCGACTTCGGCGGCGGCTTTGTCCCGGATGTCTGCGAAGACTAGCCCGCGTACGCCGGCTTCAGCGAATGCTAGAGCTGTGGCGCGGCCCATTCCGGAGCCTAGGGGACAATGCGTCAGTTCGAATGCATACACTGATGGAAAGAGGAACCCACCGGCACCGACGACGAGAGCGACGCCGTTCAGGTACAAGTCGAGACCCATTTCGTTCGAGTAGAGAGAGGAGAGGAGAGGAGACGGACGGTTGCTTTGCTTCAATTCAATTTACAGCTTTTAAGTGTTCACTCGCTAATACCCTTGCGCGCGCTCCTGCCCTAGGTAATTACTTAGCCGCAATCCAATCAATACGCAATTCGCATTTTTTACTCTGGTACGGCCGTATTGGATCGGCGACAAACGCTAGGGAAGATTTGCGGTCTCTTCTTACGAGTCGGACGCCGTTCAATTTTAATGTAGAGGGACCAGTCAAGAAGCATCTACCCACCTCCTCCGTGTCTAGAAACGCCGACGCTCAGCAATTCTACGGAAAGTCTAGTTGTGTGTTACGCCGTAATGGATATCGAACGGTGGGCTGGATGTCGTTCAAATGATTAGATATGGGTCACGGTTTGCCATGCGCTTGCCGCCTGCAAAATTAAACATAAGCATGGCCCACCTCGGGTCGTTCTTCAGGCATGTGATTTCTTCGGTGCCGCTTAGATACTGAAGCCAGATCCGATAATGGGTAGCCAAGGAGATGGGGTGTCCTGTGGAAGAAAAGGTTTAGAAAAGCCTCAGATCACGGAGCGCCGTCAATCTCTTCACAGGAAGGAGGACTTGCCGCTGAATTTTATGGACTTACAGATAGAAGATGATATTTCGTTGTTCAGAAGCAGGAGTCTTCTTCAAGTAGTGATTAGTCGAGTATCGGAATCCCGAAGCGTATGGTCACCTGGAAAAATCCTAATTATCTGTGATCGATATATCTGGCCCGTTGGGAGCTCGTAAATATTCTAGACATGCTCTTCCCTGATCATTATTGATGCACGCTTGTTGAGTGTCGATGAGAATTCTCACTTCAAGTTACCTCATAGTTGGTTTTTAGCATGTGCGTCATGACACTTGAATAAGTCTTTTGTCGCTCTTGTAGACTGTTGTGTTCTTCCGGCACAGCCGGGGGACACCGGTCCGGATGGCCATGGCGGGCCGCAACCTTTCGGAGATAGAAAAAAATTTCTCTGTTGACTCTGTTCATCTTTCCGTCTTCGTCCACCACGTCCTGCTTTCTGCACGCTGCGCTCAGCAATTACCGTATGTTCGTCATGGCCAGTTTTTCAGAGATTTTGGTGAAGACTTAGGAGGGCCGGATGGTCTGTCCATGGTGCGTATCGAAGTCTATTCTCCCTCTCCAATGATTCCAAACAAAATCTGATTTAATGAGCCTGACCCGGCACGCTGGGCTTGACGATATCTTTGTTATTTCTCTGAGACTTTTCTCCTTGCCATCTACTAGTGAACAATTCGCTCACCATCTCGTTTTCAGACACCTCGTACCTCGGACTTTGCCCTCTGCGGAGCCGCACACAGCCACGGAACATCCAAAGTTCCGCCCATTCACGTGTGATAACCATGGCGCCCGCCCAAGTGGTCCTGTGCCATGTAATATTGATAGTGGTGTGTGTGACTCTTACCTTAGCCCTCCATTCCTTGCCTCCTTCAATGATTCCTAAAAAAAAACTGATTTTAATGAGTACGACCTGGCTCGCTGGGTTTGACGATATTTTTGCATACGACTCTGAGACTCTTAATCCCTTCTATTATCTGGAATGCAGTGATTGTTGCTTACGCTCCCTTTTTTCAGGCGGTTGAGTCACCAATGTTTAGTGCTACGCCCGATTATCGTATGGCGGAACCGCGGGAGGGAAACCAGTGCGTATTGAAAGCATATTCTGCATTCTTCGACTGCGCGTACATACCGGATCTTGAGTCCATTGCGATGATTCCTTGGTTTGCCGAGACCGACTACATCCTATATTCTTATGAAACCTTGTTCATCTCCTTTTGCCTTCGTCAGACTTGCGGGTTCATAGCCTGCTTCAGACTATACCGTTCTGAAGGATGATCCTTATTACCTTATTTATGTACATATTCTTTTGATCCTGAAGAACCGCGTTTTTTCAGTGATTCCAGAATTATTGAGTATGACCTTTTTGTTACTGAGACATTCGTCATCTTGCGTTTTGCGGTGAATTGTTTTGGAAGAATGCCGTTGATGATTCTCTTCTCAGGAAGGAACTCGGACAAGTCGGGGGAGGATGACTGGAACGGCACTTTCGATGTGTATCAGCCGTGTCGAGTGCCCAGCCAACGGTCTTAGTTACTATTCTTGGACGCGCGCCCATGCGCGATCTCCCTTGAAACAACGGAAGCAACACCTGGATCGCGGCTGAAGCAAAACATATCCGCGGGTGAATACAGTCTATCCTAGACTTCGTCATTTCCTCTCTCATAGCCTGGTACAGCCTCCCATTCACCGTTCACCACCCAATGCGCCACGATCCTGTCAGCTGGTCGCGAAACCGCTATAAAAACCGACGTCTCCTCACTTTCATATCTCATCACCTTCACTTCTACTTGCTAGCCTTTTGATCTTCTTCGTCTTCTTGAAAACTGATCATTTTCACTTGTTATTTTTCAACTTTGTTTACAATGTCTTCTTCTACGATCCTCTTTTTCTTCTCTGCTCTCTTCTTCGCTGCCGCTTCCGCGTCACCCCTGGCCGCTCGGGGTACTTGTCATCCCAACTTTGAGGGCGCCTGCTCTCACTGTGTCTACCCCGAGTGGTGCACTCTCGTGGTCAGCCAACGCCGCCGCCGGCGCACCCGTCAATGCTAGTCCTTCACCCTCGAAGTTCTTTTTCCAACAGAACGGGTCTCCTGTTGTCAGCTATACTGTCAAGTACGTACCTTCTACCTTTCTTCCGGAGTCTTGCTGACCAGAATTTTACAGGACCGAGGCTAACAACAACTTCGCCGTCGAACTCAAGGGTAATGCGCTGTTCATGAACAATGTTGACTGGTCGGGTAGCAATGTGTACGTTTTTCTTTCGTCTTTTACATATTTCCGTGGCTGACTCGATGTACAGGAACCAGAAGTGGATGGTTGACTGCACGATGTGTTCTACAGACATCTCTCAGAAGAAGGGCGTCGTCGCTTCGGGATGCACTATCACTTCCAACACCAACAACGGATTGTGTGTTACCGCTAAACCTAATGCTCAGATGACATTGACTCCTTGCTCCAACTCGGGAGACCAGCAGTTCAACTTCTCGGTTTGAAGAATGACCGGAGGGGAAAGTGGGTTGTAGGATTTGTTTCTTGGGGTTGTTTTTTGTGATTCGTTTTTTTTATCTCTTCAATTATCTACATGACATTCGTTTCATGGACTTATAGTAGTGGTATGCATGCATAGCCGGGGAGATGGGAATTTGATTTGATTGTGCACAATTATCTATCCGGCGAGCCTAATTCCGAAAACGGAAGCCCGACTTTTTCTTCAGACCTGACGGCGGCCGTCGTGCTTATCGTCAATTAGGGCCATTTACGTGTACTCAAAAATAACCTCGTCCGTCATCGCATAACCCAATGTAAGTATACAACCGCCTTTGGTATCCGATCTGGCCGAGCCCCTACGTAGCATTCACTACAGCGGTATGCAAAGTGCGGTGTATCTATTCCCTATAAGCATTATCAGCACTACTGACGAAGTTCCCCTACTATGACACATCCCGGATTTACAAAACAAAACATTGGTTGCCGCTGCGATTCGGAGTCCATTGTCGTTGAAGTTAACTCCAAGTGTAGGGGAGCTTCAGGTATATAACCAACATCTGTGGCGCTAGCCCTCCACCCACATTCAATCATGAACGTTACCGAGTTCATCATTGACACGTATAGTACCGGAACACCACTCGTCTCTACTGCAAAGCGCTACCGTCCGTCTGCCGTTATAGAGGAGGGTTACATCCTGATATTCGCGCACGGGACTGGATTCCGTGCGTTTATTCTTCTCCTCTCACTTCCCTACTGATCAAATAGATCAGATAAAGAACACTGGGAACCAATTATCGAACGTCTCTACGCCTATGGTGGGGCCATTGTCGAAGCCTGGACAATCGACTCGCAAACGCATGGTGCAGCAGCTACACTTAACAGAGATGCCATTGATGAACCGGGGTTCACCTACAGTTAGTCTGAATTCCCATAGAGAATCCAGAGAGAAACTGACAATAATAGGCTCGTACCATTACGCCGAGGCCTGCGCGAACCTGTACAAGACCCATCTGAACGGAACGCGTCATCCGGTCGTACTGATAGGACATTCTGCCGGGGCTGCATCCATGTAAGTTTCCCTGCTAAATATCTCATATCTGATACGATAGACTGACTTCTGTGCAACAGAGCATTAGTGCCATCCTTCTGCGGGAAATCCATCACTCAGCCTTTCTCGGCCTTGATCCTTGTTGAACCCGCCATCTGGCCGGGATCCATGATCGGTATTGCAGACTCCCCTGCTTACAAGCTCGCCTGCGTTTCTATCCCACGCCGGCGAACAAATTGGGAGAGTAGAGACGCTGTTCGTAAGGACCTAGGGAGGCGCGCGCCGTGGGGAATCTGGGATAGACGCATTTTGGATTTATATGTTGTAGGTACAATCTAACGTTGCAGCTGTTGATCTATGCTGATTTAATAAATCAGGAGCACGGTTTCGAAGAGGATAAGGAAGGGGTGTCACTCAGATGTCGTCCCAAACACGAGAGCCAACCGTTCATTAACCAGATAAATGCAGTATATCCCTATCGCAGAATTGGATAAGACGAGGAAGAAGGTGCCGGTGCATATAGTCTATGGGGAGAGGAATGATTTGTTGTGTGTTTCTCCATTGCATTCACTGCATGGAGTCTGACTTGAGCTGTTAGCACCCGGGAAAAGCAAGACTCTCTTCTTCGAGGTCGTAAGTTTGCCTCCGTTACCAGAATACCGGGGGCTGGACACCTGGTATGTTCCCGCCGGTTGCCCTTCACATATGCACTGATGGAGAGCAGGTTGTTCAAGAAGCACCCGACGCTGTTGGTGATGTGTTGCTGCGTATATTGGAGGAACTAGGGAACCAAAGGTATGTTGAGCGGGAGTACTGTTCTGTAAGGGCTTCAAGCGTTGGTACAGCAATAAACGGAATAGACATAGACATATAGACATTGTATAGTATCAAATATTTCGGTGATATCTGCCGCTTACCATTTTTGACCTGGTCTAAAAGTTCGCGGAAAGTAGAGGCGTGCAGCACCCGTCTTCACCGATACACAGGAGGGGTATTATATCAGCGGGAAAATTGGATCAAATAAACCGACGATTAATTTATACGCAAGCGAGATGACATAAAATCACCTCAATAATTAACGATGATGCGCTACCCTACATTAACACCGACTCGCAGTTTTACTTGAAGTTATCCACACAGGCAGAGGTTTCAACTTCCAAGGAATATTGCCGAGCACTAAAATTCCCTGGCAAACGGCTGCACATATCAATCGGGGGCTAGCTAGTACTATCCTCATAATATATTTGACATGACCAATGCAAGAAGCCGGAACTAAACAGTAGAGAGCGATGAAGAAACGAGAGTACTTGTAACAATGGAATACCATTGAATTTATGGAAAGTCAGATGAAACGAGTTGTGGGTAAGAAAACGCAGCTGGAAGCAGACTACAGAAGTATAGAACGTTAAAAAAGAGACGAATTTTTTTGAGCATAGCACATTTCTCAGGCTCCGGGAGCAGGGCACACCCCCGATTGACTTCGAGGAAATACGATATTGCTGCCAAGAAAACAAAGATTGATTTCATTGTTGGCATCATCTGTTAGCTCTGAGGGCACTGTGACGATCCATCCATTTCTTAGGCTCGGAGGTAGCGGAAGCTTGCTGAACTTGGGGCAGAAAAAAAGGGGAGGGACTGAAAGATGGGGCAACAGAAGATGCACGGTGAAAGTGAAGACGAACTTGAAGGGAGGTGCATTTCTTGGCCAGCCTGGAAGGGATCGCTAAAGTTGGGCGGAGGAGGCGAGTCCATCGAGGGCATAAGAGAAGGCGATCGACGACGAGAGTGAAGTATGTTGAGGTGTGATTCAGAGCGGCGTCTGTGACTGTCGTACGAATAAATAGGTTTTGGAGGTATGCACCATCCAGAGCCGCGGCGAAGGTGATTGTAGGGAGTCGAGGTATCAAAAGGCCTGCTGGAGTCCAGTCGGGGATCGCAAAGGAAGGGTAAAATGAGTGAACTTGGGAGAGGCGGACTGGGGGAGACCAAGGCTAGCAAGAGGCGGAAGGGAATTCGAGGAGCCTAATGACTCGTAAGGGCGCGGTATCCGGCATGGATTGGACATCAAGGATCGGCGGCAAGCGCAGGCATGGAATAGGATTGGGCGCAGTACCGTTGTTTGACAAATAGGAGTGCGATACGGCTGGTAAGTAACTGTGGAAGGGAAAGTTATCATCAGAGGGCCTTGGTTCTGGCGCCGTTTCAACGGAGGGACTAGGAGAGGCAGGGGGGAGAGTGGCGGAAGAGTTGTCGATGGCGAAGCTGGCGGGTCCGAGCTTGACTGCAAGGCGACTGGTAAGGCTTCCAGCTTTGTTTTATCCTTATTTCCTACGCATTTCTTCTGAGTCGATGCCTGGCCATGCTTCCGAATCTTGTGCCTAGTCATACTGGATGGATGCCCAGTTTGGTACTGGTGGTTCGCATTCGTGGACAGACTAGATTTTGGAGGCGGAGGCTATGATATAAGGAGTGGCGTCAGCGTGGTGGTCAAAGAGACGAAAGAACGATAGCTTGCTGGACAACATCGATGTGAGCTTTCAGGTTTCCCCGTTGAAGACTCTTGAATCTACAGTTGTTCATTGGGCAACGATACATTCTAGGTGAATATGTCCTCAGATGCGGACTAACTGATGCTGAGGAATGAGCCACTTATTCTTTGTCGCGTGCCGCACCAGTCAAATGAACCTTGGAATGCCGACGCAAATTAGCCTTCGTGACGTATGTCTTCTTACATGTCGAGCAGAGGTTTGGTCGAGGTTTGGTCGATGGGGGCTGTGAAGATAACGAGAGTGTAAGCAGATGAGCGATGGCACTCAGATGAGGGAGAATGATCTACTCACAGCCATGTTTTTATTGTGTTTTTGTGGAAGAGATGAACGAGTAAGCGTCAATGAAATCAAAGGATGGGAAATTTTTGATGGAAGATGGTAAGTTCTACCATCGAGCGGCGACTTTATAAGGTGGACGAAGCCTGATGAAGCTATTCAAATTGACCTTTTTTAATCTGGGATCATCTTCTAGATTCATGGAATCCGTCGAATCTCCAAAAGGGGAGGTGCGATTGTTGTAGTAAATTCATATGAGCGACGAGGCGTCGCATTGTTACGAAGGTAGCTTTGTCCAACAAAGCCATAAGGACATATAATTATGGTTTTTACTTCACGGAAATCGAACGTCCCATCAGACTAATGCTTTCTCTTAAGAGCAAAATCAGTAACTGGACAAAGAGACACTGTAGACAAAGTAAAGCACCTTCGACCACGCGGCGTGAGGGGTCGTGAGAGAAAGCAGCCCGTTTCGGGCCTGATATGCATAAACACAAGCACAGTCTCCTTCAGGATCGAACACAAGGGGAAATTCTGTCGAAAGATTGCTGCCAAGGTAGTACTACTAATTGAAGCGCACTGCCATCTAGCTGACTTCATTAAGTAACTACTATCTCAGTGTATTGACACGCATTTGAAATAGCAGATAAATCAGCCTACATGAGTTATCCGGCCAATACAGAGCACTGGCAGGAGTCTTGAAAAAGCTGCAATTCGGAAAGCAAGTACACAGCTATGCGAAGACAGGCGAGCAGATGCGTTGTTGGTGATGTTTCTTTGTTACCCTTACAGCACTTTCGAGAAATTCAGCGAGTATGCCGATGCGATTAGACTGAGTACTGTCGGTAACGAATGAATCGATGAAAGCGCGGTTAACGTTGGGTCCGCGGCGATGCCGGATTGTTCCTCGTTCGGTCCGGAACACGTGGTCTGCTTCTTTCGGCGGACAGTCTGGGTCAGTGTCACAAAATCGATTCTCCGACACGTCCATCATGCGACAATCCAAATCGCCTTGAACAGATTATTGGCCAGTCCTCACGAAGTTTGTCTTTTCAGCAAAAAACTTTACCAGATCAGAATTAGTTCTACGAGACGCTCGTCCTTCTGCAGGGACACAAAGCATCAGTGAGCTATTTTCTGATTGATACGCCACATTCTTTCGTCTCTTGTATTCAAGGCACCATTAAAGATATGTTCATAATATGCCAAATGCACAGGGAAGAATGACCCAATGTTGTTTCCTCTATTGTCTCTGTGGTCTAAGACTAGTATCGGCACGCCTTCCCCTACCGCGAGTATCTACTGGTTTCGCCAGCGTACCAAAGTTGTTTTGGAGCTAAGTGGGTCTATTTATGGGAGTTCCAGGTGCAAGTACTTCCGTTAGTATATCTGACCAAGGCTGCCGGCATCCGACTGAGGATCGGCTATGGAATGAATGACACGCTATTTCAGACAATACATAGCGATGTTTATTTTGGAGCGGTTTGTAGCAAGATGTAAACTCCCGCGATTTATTCTTTCGGTGCGCGCCCTTTTCATATGAATGCCAAGCCGTTGATGTTTACAAGTCGAATATTGGCTGCCTGAGTTTCTGCTGCACGAATATAGCCGCAGGTCGCGGTGTCTTTCACCTTTGCAAGAAGTAAGTACTTGTATGTTCATCAGAAACTCCGACTTTTTTTGATCCTGATATTCGTTCCGTGGTAACCTGTATATTATACTATCTAGGGGTATCGGCTTCAATCGTGACAGCGCTCACGGTACCAGCTTCTGGATGATATCTCTGTTGTATTTTCTCGCTATATTTCAAGGCCAAGGAATGGACTAGCGCGAAGGTGCATACCACTCGAAATAAGGATATCTTGATTCTAAGTGGCACAGGTGCGTTTTAGTCTCAAAAGATATCTCCGAGGAGCCAGTGACTGAAAAAATTATTCAGAGGGTCGCCTAAAGCTTGATGTATCCTCCACCAGAACGTCGAACCCTCGCAGATGGCATCTTTCTGTTCTCTCAAGCTTATTCCCATCTCCTTAGTACCAAAACTGTGATTCCTCTTTATCATTTAGAAGTGAGCGCGTGTTCCTTCTCATCTTCTCCGGCTAATCTGTAGTTTAGACTCGATCGTGAGTACCTTTTGATGCGTATGAGCGCACAGCAGCGAATCGATGAGCTCTTGGCCTATTTGTGCTCCAGGCGGCCTCATGTAGGATGGATTCCTTTGCCTTCGAATCCCTGCTGATACAGACTTTTTCGCAACCGGCTTGCTAGGTCACGAAAGGCCTTTCTACGGCAAACGGGATTGCTGCGAGGGTGACTTGCTTTATGTTGAGTTTCTATCATCCTCGTATGATTTGTATCTTGATGGTGCTAATTAGGTCTTTTTGTCATGGATCGTTCTAGTTAGCATCTCGAGATATATTTAATATGAGAGCTGTATGAATGAAAACATTGGCGGGGATATTTGAATACTATGAGCTCGTATACTGATTAAGAACAAATTGCAAACGGTAAGGACTTATCAAGGATTGGAAACCTTTCGATAGCGCAACCATTGGAAAACAAGGACAGCCGAAGACAGCAACACAGCGGGGATGTAACAACGAGGAAAAGAAGGTACAGTATAACAGACAGATATTTCCAAAACATAATAGGCTATAGCAAGACAGATAGAAATGAAAGCGAGAAAGAAGAGAAAGAAATAGCAGCGGAAAACAGAGAGAATTACACTTCAAATACTTAACATGTCTGCACAGCATTTCCATGGTCCAGGAGCTCCTCATGAGAAGCTGTTCCAGCTACAGTTTTTCTCAAGGAGCAGGAAACACCTGCGAGTCGGGGCGGGTGGAGAGGACTTTGTCACCTACGAAGCGGAAACGGCTGTATTGGGTGTCATTTATCGGATCTGAGACGGTCACAGCACCAACCCACCGAAGGGTAGATGTATTAGTGGTCTGTTGACTGATCGGAGAGCGTGGGTGAGGACCAGGGTGACTGGTGTCGGGCGAAGAGGAAGAGCTCCCACTGCTCATCAGTGCGGATTCGGGGGACTCAAAGGGGCCAGTTAGCGAAGGAAGATGGCAATGAATCAGGCGGCGCTTCGGAATGAGCTCGATGCCACAGTCGTCGCGAAGGAAGTTGCGAAGTGTTGGAACGATGCGTGAGTGTGCCTTGAACTTGTAAGGTGTTGGTGCCGCACAGTGCCAGCTGTCATGGCGGTGCGGCATAATCGGTGTCAGGCAGCAGTCTTCTGGGAGTGGCAAGCGGGCACGTTGAATAAAAGAGCAAGGCAGCATCTTCGGAGGCATCGGAGCGGGCTGACCACGGATGAGAGTGGCGAGTGGCACCAGAGTGATCTTTGCTGGTGTAGTGTGCTGCGAGAGGGCTGGAGGGGACGAAACTGGAGTTTCAGAAGGAAGGGGACTGGTGATGATGCGGGGTAATGCGGAAGGCTGTAGATCGCCGTGTTTCTCTGCCTGGTGCTGAGCGAATGCTTCCAAGTCCGTGGTAAGCACAAACGGTCTGCAAATTTGACATATTAAATGTTGAATGTCTCGGCTAGTGGAAAATTTATGGTAAGTATCTACAATTAATGAGAAGAGAACACGAGGACTCACTGAATCGTTTTAATATGTATGCGAAGGTTGCCTAATTGGAGATTTTTGAAGTCCAGAGGGCAGCCGGTGCCGAGAGGACAGTAATGTAAACTGTATGGGAGCTCGTCAGAGTATGGTCTAGAGGATTTCAAAAATATGACTTACTGTTCTGCCCGAGCATCTCCCTCTAGGTGTTGTCTTTTATGCCTATGGCAGTCATAGCTTCGGTTGAACGACCACTTGCAATCCGTACCATAGAGAATACATTTGTATCTCAGAGGAATACGAGGAGGAATTCCGCGCTGAAGGATAAAAGTGAAGGACAAGTGAATAAATCAGATAAAAGGAGAGAGAGAGAGATAGACGAACCACCATGACTGCGAAATCGAAGGTGGACTTTCTTGCAACAATTCAAGCTGAAGAAAGACTTTAAAATCCGAGAATCCGAGTCGAAAATATTCCCTCGGTTTGGCCTGGTCCCCATCTAATGCTGAATCTTGATTGCCTACCATCTCTACGGGAGCGGCCGATTGTTTAGACAAAGAATCAGGATTGCCACCGTTTAAAGACAAATCGGGGATAAGGTTTCCAAGATTGTTACTGTGAAGCGAGGTTTGATCGGGTAGAGGACAGGGCTGAGCGTCCTACCCTGGTTCTGTTTATTTCCCTATGGCTATGCAACCGTTAGATGCATTTGGCCATACCCCCTCTTGAAAGTAGGGTTTGTATATTTTCTTAGACGCCATAAAGAGTAGAAAGTAGGCAATTTATGCGTGGAAGAACCGAGTGCAAAGGGCGGAAAACCCAGGATACTCGCTCGCCTCACTGGAGTGGTGGCAGTGATCAAATTCCAATGCAAAGTCAAGTTCCGATGCGTGTGCACGGATCAGAATCGGGTCAGCTTCACAGATAAGGTTCGAACACATCAGGGACGAGGATCCGAAATCACGAAGTGACCACTCGAGAAAGCTGGTGTCCAAGTCCGAGTCGGCGTCACGAAGAAATTTGCCTGGTAACGGTCGAAGTCTTAGAGATATTATCGAGCGAGAGTTAAATATCCTTCTTCATTTTCTAGACGCACTGCCATGATAAAAGGGGTCTCGATTATCCAGATCTGAGTACCATCATTGACCATGATGTGAAATCGTGAAGGACAAGATAATTTTAGGACGGGAGCAAAATGCAAGCACGAGATCACGTCAAGGGATCAAGTACGACATTCTGCAGTTCGTTCCTTAGCACCTTTGATTATCAATGCCCAAGACAACAGAGAAATCGAGAGCAGGTCTTCCTCGCAGGGTTGTCAAAGTGATGCCGGACACGAGGCTCGTAGCCCCTTTCTTTACCCTGACACTGACAAGTGTTATCCACCACCAGAATTAATGAATATCCGAAAGTAAATGATACTTTTTGTCAGGATTAGAACCAGGCGTAGTCGAGTAAACGCGAGAAAAATAGTAAGCAGAACCTCCGATCAATGTCATGAGACCGTGCCACTGAAGTACCAAACACGAAACAGCAACTCCTCTCGAATCTCCATCACCTACAACTATGGGTCAAGCATGGAGATTTGTCAATATCGACAGACGCCAACATCTCGGGGACTTGGGAAAAATAGGCGAAATCTTTCACTGTCACTTCACTGAAATCACATCCCTTTTGGCAGGCTCCTGGGCGGGGGTGCCGTATCATGTGTATAGGAGACTATATGGGAGAATGTCCACCGGGCGTCCTCACCTCTGAAGAAATGGCAAAGATCAAACAGTGTCCCGGATACTCGGATGACTATCCGACTGGGAAGACGTTGTATAGGTTCGCGTCCCATTACTATGCACGAATAAAATATCGAACACGCATCAATCTACAAGGAATGGTTCTGAGGAATCTGACGAAGCATGTCTATGTCCAGCAGGATGTGGTGGTCGAAGAGCTGAAGAGAAGTGGTAGAGGTGGCGATATTGGCAACGTCTTACTCATGAACATTTGTTGGTCTGATGACCCGTCGAGTGCAATGCCGGTGGATCCTTCGGGAGGGGGCTGGGCAGGGGATAGGTTTGATGTTGTACCACTGAGCTCAGTGGAGAACGACGAGGAGGATTGGGAGGACGTGACGGAAGATCAGGCAAACTTACCAGATTAATACTACGCTTAAGTCGGGTGCGGGGTAGGAGACACGGAGATTAAATACTTGCTATCGGCAAAGGCACTGAGAAAGCAAGCAAGCAAACACTACGCAACAACCGACGTGTGTCCACTGTCCAGTAAGTGGAACGCCAATGTCAGAGGAGCTTCTACGAATATGATAATCAGATGAAGTGAGGCCAGTGTACCTCAGGTACTATTGATGGGCCAAGTGCACCGATGGATGAGCTCTCAGCTAGGTAAGCCTGAAGGATGTGCGGGGAGTATACAAATAATCCAAAAGTACACCGTGAGCTACTGATGGTGCAAAGTATTCACCAGGAACAGTAATAAAAACATTACTAATGTCTGTTATGAGGCAAGGTGTACTGTGTATTAGCTTACATCGTACAGGAAAGGTGGACCACATACCTGTGTACTCTAGCACCTAATCCCGGAGTTCATAGGCATAGATGTCGCTATGGCATTAAGTTACTAAGTACATGCGAATCTGTGTGCACAGATTTATCAACAAAAAGCTTGTTATTGTTGCACTTGCGAAGAAACAAATCGGATTACCATTAGGGCTTCGCACCGTCACCGTATAGTACGGTTGTACGGGTGCCGTCATACGGGTACCGTATCCGTTCCGTCTGGCAAAAGACTTTGCCCAGACACGGACGGTATACGGATATCCCGTCGCCCGTTAACAACCGTATAAAGACGGCCGTTATACGGCACTCGACGGCCGTGTGGGTTGTCTAAAAATAACCCTCATCAGAGCACGCTATACGTGTGTTTACCATGTGCTCAACATCGTACCACGATGCGCTAGCACTGCGATCTCTTCAACGCTACAGCTAGCTCTTATTTCGCTCGCTCACATGAAGCTCTATTTCTTATGGCAGGCATAAATACTTGCTCTTCCCTACTTCTGCTGCCTCTGCCCTACTCCTGTTCATCCCTTTACTACTCGCTCATGTTTCGAAATACATTGCCCACAGGTGGCCGGTGCACCTGTCAAATATGGCGAGTAATACATTTTCCCACTACCTTACGGCCGTATTGACGACCGGCACGGCCGTCTATATACCCGTACCGTACCGTCAGCCTAGTTCTGAGAGCCTTGACGGTACGGTATACGGACCAGCCGTCGCCCGTCACTGTACCGTGGCTATACGGCCGTATACCGTATACGGTACGGTGCGAAGCCCTAATTACCATTGAAACACTGTTGCCACCGAGTATTATCAGTACCTGATAGGCTCACAAAGTGGCGGTGGCAGGAGAAGGTATGTGTATCTGGGAGTTATCAGCGCACATTTCTACCCGAAAGCCTACCTTTCCCAGTGGGATGGTGGTTGATCGGATGCAAGAAAAACACGAGCCCGGATCACGAGATCGTGTTGATGACCAAACAACACCAGACAACAACCTGCGGTTTCCTTTCTTTTTTTCTTTTCCACGATCACTTTGAACCTCGCCCTCAATTACTCACCAATGGGCCAATACTGGAGACTCGTCAATATCGACAGACGCGAAGTCGGCGGTGACTATGGGAAGCTAGGTGATGTCTTTTCCGACGACTTCAACCATATCATGTCACTTTTGGCGGGCCCCTGGGCAGGTTGCCGTGTCATCTGCATCGGAGACTATATGGGACAATGCCCACCGAGCGTCCTCACCTCCGAAGAAGCCGCTGAGATCAATGACTTGGACAATTCCGACTGTGACAATTCCGAAATGCCGACGCTATACACGTTCTCGGGCTGGTACTATAGGAGGATAAGGTCTCGAGGAAGCGTCGACTTACGAGGAATGGTTTTGAGGAATCTGACGAAGCGCGTCTATGTTCGCCGGGATGTAGTGATCGAAGAACTGAAGAGAAGTGGTAGAGGTGGCGATATTGGGAACATCCTACTGACAAACATTTGTTGGTCTGATGACTCGTCGTGTTCGATGATGTTGGATCTCACGAGAGGTGCTTGGGCAGGAGATAGGTTCGATGTTGTGCCGCTGAGTTCAGTGGAGGACGAAAAGGAAGAATGGGAGGATGTGACGGAAGATCAAGTCAAGTTGACTAGGTTTGCTCTCAGTCGCTGATAGATCCTGAATCGGGCTGGGGAACAGGCCGTTGTAAATTGTAATCAAATTTAATTCTCCCTGCCTGTCTCTTCAGCATCTTTTTAATTTTCCCTGTTGCGTCCTCTTTGCGCCATTAACGTGATATCCTTCGGGAGACCTTCGTGTGCGACGGCTGATTATTATTATTATTATTTTGCTCTGATTTTGACCATGACAACACTATCAAGCACAATGTCAACAAAAGTGAGCTCTGTTGTTTCCGTGTATATTCTTATGATTCTAATGTTATATAGATATCCCAAAGCCCTTTATGGTGTTCAAAAGTCTGCCTTTTCTGTGTAGTTATCATTCCTTTGCGTTTTTATACTAATTCATGTTTTTTTTTTTGGCCATTTTAAGAGTTAAGTGGCTGTTGGGTCAATGCCGGTCTTCATGCTAACCTGCCTTTATTTTATTGGGCTAACAGTATGCAACGATAAGCTGCTTATAGTCACATTTTCTGACGTCTTTCCTTAGCTCTTGGGAGGACTCTGCGATGTACAAGGTATGTCGTCGCTCTGCTACATTCGTAGTTTCGGCTCTAGCGAACATACGATGGAACAGATCAGGATCAGAGCTCGGCTTCTGGTTTAAGCATTGAAAGCATGTAAGATCTCTGGTAAGCAAGCTTTTTTCATCGCTTGTGCCATCATTGACACACTTATTTAATTTCATAGGGCCTTGCCGTGACAACGAACGTTGCGAAACGTGCTGACTTGGCGCGGTGTTGGATCCTAATACTCGTGACAAGGTGTTCACGGCTTTGCATGCATAGGCCGCCGAAATTAAGCATGACATAGACTACCAGGTGACGGAAAACAGTGATCGGGCGCTCGAGATCTCGTGACGGCAACCATCTCTTCATAAAGGTAAGCTCTTGCAAATCTCTGGCTTGCTCGCTTGCAAACTGTTTTCTTTATTTTTCCAGCTACAGTAATCGCAGCGCTGCTAGCTTTCCTCTGATGTCGCTAATGAATACTTTATTTAGATCACTCGATAATCACAGCGACTTAAATTTCAGTGGTATCACTGTTCTAGGTGCGTGTATTATCCCTTCACGCTAATGCGTTGTAGGGACAGTTGAAAACAACTGAGATGGAACTGGCGCAAATATTGGTATAGTTCGTCGTAAAGGGGCTCACGCAAAAGTGCAGACGCGCATCCGTGAAAGAGCAATGCAAGGGTGGACGAATCTGGACACATGCAGGTCCAGAAGGGGAAGTGACGTCACGGCAGGCGTGGGGTGCTCGAGAAGGTGAACCAGACGTCTGCCTGAAGGAGGGGTGGGTGTGTGCGATAAGATCTGAATGAGGGTTGGATGGAGTAGAGAACGGCCCGAACAAGTCAAAGAGACGTGAAGGGAGAGGCCGACTGGCGAAGGGTGGCAGCAAACTTTGGTTATCAACATTTACATAATTATAGTGCCTGACCAAACACGAAGTATAAACAAACTTAGAAGAATATCAGTCCGGATCACGAGACCGTGTTGACCGTTGAAATGTCACATTGACGACCAAACAACAAGAACAATAATTCTACTTTGACTCATTCTTTCTTTCCACTACCACCTCTCTCTCACTAGAATCCCACTCTCGATTGCTATGGGTCAATACTGGAAACTCGTCAACATTGACAGACGCCAGGAGCTCCGTGGCTGGGGCAAACTGGGTGAAGTCTTTTTCCGCAGATTCGACGATGTCATAGAACTTTTGGCCGGTCCCTGGGCAGGTTGCCGCATCATGTGCATTGGAGACAACATGGGAAAATGTCCACCGGACGTGCTCATCTCTGAGGAAGCCACCGAGATCAAGAACCTTCCTGGCCGCTCATACTACTCGGACGAAGACGAAGACTCGTCTGATGCGGACGATCCAAGCAAGACTTTATACAGGCTCTCGGACTGGCGCTACAAAGAGATAGAATCCACAGAATATGTCAACCTAAGAGGCATGGTCTTGAGGAATTTGACGAAGCACGTCTATGTTCGCCGGGATGTAGTGATCGAAGAGCTGAAGAGAAGCGGTAGAGGTGGCGATATTGGGAACATCTTACTGACGGACATTTGTTGGTCTGAAGATTCGTCGTGTGCAATGATGCTAGATCTGTCGAGAGGCGGTTGGGCAGGAGTTGTGCCGCTGAGTTCGGTGGAGGACGAAGAGGAAGAATGGGAGGATGTGACGGGAGATCAAGTCAAGTTGACTAGGTTTGCTCTCAGGAGATAATTATAGATCCGAATAAGGTTGCAGGTCGAGTTGTAATCTACATACTCATAAACAGCTGCAAGGTCTCGTAAAATGCTTCATGGAAGACACGCAGATAGAACAAGAGGACAAATGAAGAGTAGCTAGGTAGTAGCCTCTGGCAGATCACACATACCTGATGTCTGCGTCAAGGTCAGGGATTGATAAATTGAGACCTTCCTTTCTGTAAACCTGCAATTTTCTCCGATCGCCCTGCGAAAGACTTCCAGGGTCTAGCAACTCTGGATATGCTTCTATGTGGACGCGTTGTAATTTCCTCTCCCCGAGTACTGGGTTCCATCGAGCAGAAATCATGTCAACAAAAGCCGTGTCACAGAACATCAATGGCGCAGAAGTGTTAGGCGCTTCAATGATAAAATCAAGATTCCTCAGCTCAGAATGAGGCGTAGGCGGTGATATTCGTCTTTATCAGACATATGAGAGATGATGGTCTGCATGACGGTGTTGGAATCATCTTCCCAACCGTCAATGGAGAAATGAAAATCCTCCAGATGGGGAGTTAGCTGAAGGATGTCAAGGAGGATAGCCTCCAGAGGCCAGAGGTTCACGATGTGTAGGCTCCGGAGAGAGCAACAGGAATGTTGTAGTAGGTCATGTAGACCAAGAAGGGAATTTGGGGGACAGGGCAAATTCCACGCGCTTGTCTCCAGGCTCATGTGCTCCAGCTGCGGTAGGATAAGACTACGAAGGAAAGAACCTTCGCACGCGTGAAGGACATGGATATTGGGATGCAGAAAGCGGGGCGTGACACCGAAGGCTCCGTCGATCGCAGTGTTTTGGTGCCCTACTCTGAATCGGTGCAAGTGAGGTGCATTGCGGATGATATCCAGGAAATACGCATTCAGCGCATCGTCCCCGAACAGTCTGTCATTGTGGAAATCCGAAAGATGAGATGGTGGCAGTGGTATCATCATATTCTCGATGCCCAGTATCGTCACGGATTTCAGTCGCGGCACTACTTCGAAGGCATCTATATGACCATCCAGCGACATGTTGCCTTGGAAGTCTAGAGATAAACGTTCCAGGCTATCAAGTCGGCCACGTATGGGTGCAAGATTAGGAAAAAAACCAGCAGGTAATTCCAGATCGACAGCGAACCAACGGTCCGAGGACTCCATTAAGATGTCGAGGAGAGAAATTACATCCGAATCAGACCCAGAACTGAAGCGTAAGCTCAAAACAAGCTTACGCTCCTTGGCTCGGCTGATAGCAGTTCGTAGTAAAGATGTAGCTTTTTCCGTCGCCTTTGGGGAGTGAACGTCGAGGTTGCACCAAAACTCCGAACAGTTCACGACGACCATCTGCCATGACTTGCAAACCCAACTCAACATCCAGGAAGGACTCGAAACGACGAATACCTGGTGGTACTCTTCTTGCGTATGGAAAAATATCTCTGATAAGATCTTGGAGGGGATGCGACGTATGGGAGAAAGCAATGCGGCGTATTCGTCATCGAATCCTTGCAGGCGCGCATGTTCGACTCGGAGTTTCTCCAATGTGAAAGTGAGGTTATGAATCTGATTATCAAGTTCGGTGATTGAGTGTCTGATGTGCTCCCTTGATATCTTTAGGTTCTCGACTTCTGACTCTGGCGGAGCCGTGTTCGTTCGCAAGAGACCGGCGAGGGATGATGGAATTGTCGATGTGAGTGGTTCCTTGGGAAATAAGGTGAGATCTTTGCACCTGGAGCAGAGGCCTTCGAGCATGTTCTGGCAGAGCATCAATTCAAATTAAGTGTCCTGTTCGGAAAACTTGAACTCACATTCATCAGGGACACTCTTACAGGTGAAGCAGAGATATAAGTATAGCGGTAGCGAGGGGCCGTAGCGATAGGTCAGATTCGCAAACCTGTGCCGATGAACGTTGACTCTAGCGTCCAGACGTGTTGGAACTTTGGAAGGCCTTGAATGGCACGTGATCTGATTCCGCTTCTGTCGAAGCGACCATTGTAATTTGAGAATATAACTCAAAAATGTGCATATAGACACGACGACATTTTACGGTGGGGTATGAAGGAGTATTGGCTTGAAAGTATACGTTTCTTCCATAATTAACTACTACTTATATCTCTTTCCAATCTGTTCCGTTTTTGGCGACCCAACCAAGTAGCACTCTGGAGTGCTGATATCATCTGTCAAAATACAGTATCCTCCGCCCAACTAAGGTCAAGTGCACTGGTCCCCTTGCCCACCCAAGCAGAGCCCGGAGGCGTATCACCGCCTCAGCGGACGGTCGACCTAGTTACTGTATCTGATGGTCGGGACAATCCATGACTCGTTCGATATAAGAGGAGCCCTACTCGCCAGAGACAGTTCCACAATAGCCGGTCTATTCACAAACGCCCACACGATCACGACTCTTCCACGACCTTTCACGACCGCAAATGATGCCCTACGTCAGCTCCTACGCATCCTCTTACTATCCCGGTAGCAGCAGAAGCGTCTACCCTTCATATGGTCGTAGCTATGGGATGCCTGTCCAGCATTACTATGGTACTCCCATGTCGTACGGCAGCCCATACGGGTATTCGTCATCCTACTACGGCTCGTCGTATGGCTCTACGCCTGTAGTTGTGGTGCCATCGAGACGCCGCCATCACAGCCACCGTCACCATCGCTCCAGGAGCTATTATTCATACTGAGAGCGATGCAGGACGATCGATACTGATAAGTCGGGATGAGGTTGTGTATAGCATTCTATGATAATGTATTTTGAGACGAGGAGGGGTTTCAAACTTGAATGAATGAAGAATTACATGTCCAGATTCAAAGGCTCACAATTACATAGTTCTAGGCATTGATACAGATTCATTCGGCATCATCTTCCGCTTCAATTTCTACAGCATTACGGCTCTGCCATAATGAAAGCCCTTTCTCAAAAACCTTGTGGTTGACGCCGTCCGGTACGAGGCAAAAGGTAACACCTAAAGAACGGTTACCATCAGTACAGCATATCTTCAGCTTGTATTGGCGGGCTGACCCAGTTGCTCTACTTCTTTGTTACGGTGCTCGTCGTCAAAGAAGAGCTAAAATATGCGTTCAGTTTATTAGCGGATAGCAACCGGACGACAATCATACCATTTCAGAGTAAGGTATGCCCGTCTTCTCGTGAATTCGTTTAAAGTGCGTCAGTTTTGAACCTGAATCCAAGGCTCAGCATCGGCGGTTGTACGATATGGAACAAAGACGCACCAGGATATATCTCCGCATGATCAAAGAAATGCGCGGCCTTGAGAGGGTTTGTATCCTTATCACCATGCTTGGGCGGGACAAGAAGCAGTGAGAGGGCCTGTCGGGCTCTGTAAGGGAAAATATAAGTCTCACATAGACAACATCGTGGATAGGAAATAATCACAGGTTGGGAGCCGAAGTTCTCGATGCTGCCGCTATGATAACTTCTGCCTCCCGCAGACGATGAAGGATATGGGGGACATCCCGATAGAAAGATATAGGCGAATTATGTCTATGTACTAGTCAGAACAGGAGTGTAACATGCGGAAAAAAAAGAGGAATGTTACCTGTCTAGAATTTCGTTCAAGGTATTCTTATGTCTATGAAGAGGCCCGGAAACATGGGTATCTATCCACAGGTCCCAAAGGGTATAGCTAGAACATAATTAAAAGTTGATAGTCAAGTGGAAGAGTATATATATGCACTCTAAATCGAAAGCCACGAGCTTCGGATATCTCGTGGTCATCCTGGAGATGATGATGGTTCGAGTCAATGAGTTTCGCTGGCCGAGGTTAGCCGAAGTTCGGCAAAGATGTGTCACGTGAGACGTTTAGGGCAGGTCGAGTCGCGCCAGCATCGGCAATGCCATCCAGCTAGACTCCGTCTCTTTCACCCTGCTGATCCCACTCATGTATGAAAGTAGCGCCTAGTATGGCGCCGTTGATGGTAACTCCTGATGACGCGAAGGATATCGACATGGGCGTATTTGGCGAAGCCGTGTCACCAACAGGCTGTCACGGTGGACTTCAAGGTCAATAAATGCGCGCCATGATCGTTTTTTGCGAAAGGATAAAAGTGGATAAATGGCGGCACTAAAGCAATATAGCTAACTTCACTTAGCACTAGCACAAAACTGAAGAATTACAAGCTGGAAGTCCTCGGTAGATGAATTTACTCTCTTTATATTTGGCGTCTCATCCTTCTGACTATGTATAGACTCGGCATCAACTCACAGGTGCAGGTCAATTGAGCGTAAACAGAGATCATATTGCATCCAATAAAGGTAACATTTATATCCATTTGTGAATGACGTTGAGTCCCTTGCATATCCTGTCCCAGCGCGTCTTATCTTCCACGCTATTGAACGACAACGCATCACGTCTCTTGATCCGGAGTTCCTTCAACGATGCATGCTGTGGTCGCATCGAGCTCGAGCCTTGGGAAGGGGGGTTGATAGCGTCGCCTCCTCTACCATTTCCATCATTCGCCATCAATCCGGGACCTCTTCGAGCATCGTTGTATCTCGACTCGAACATCTGTAAAAATGGTTCCGTGCTGAAAGTAAGAAGGCGGGAGGAGAATGTGAGGATTCGAAGTGCGGGTAGTATGGCGTTGAGCTTGGTGCGAGTGAGTGCGATAAGCAGATTATCGGGAAGTTCGGCCATGTGGAGACAAAGGCTCTCGACATGGATCGTTGTTTTGAGAAAGTCGATGAAACGTGCAATATTTTCTGTGTCAGGGAGTAGATTACGAGACAAACGAAGATGGGTCAAGGATGTGGCAGAGGCGCCTAAATTAGGGAAGTGGATGTCAGCGTGTTCTGCCGTGAAGAAAAGATTGAGGTGATTGAGTGATGGAACATGAAGACACTGGAAGACGCGGGCAATGGTTCCAGTCAAGGATCCACGGGACTCCTTGACTGCGATCTTGAGAATGGAGGGCATCACGACAGGTTTATCAGGAAAATTCGCAGATTCGCTACAACAGAGAGATAGTACTTTGGCAGATGTCAGTTTCTCCAAAGCATTCCAGCTGTGTTCGCTGGTAGCATCCTGGGAAGCGTACGTGGTAATTTTGGACCACGGAAGTCGTAAAATGCGGCAGGGTTCTGCATCGTGCATGGACTCGAAGTCGAGGAGGTGAGGGGCTGTTCGGAACACATCCACGGTAATGGCTCTTTCCAACGAAGTTGCTCGACTGTTGACCCTCATTTTGAGTGTATGCAAGCGAAGAAAGGTGTTACCCGAAAACAACTTCAATGCGTTAGGTAGAATATGCAGACGCAGGTGTTTCCATCGAGACATACTCGTCTCCAGCAGCGTTAAAGAAGGCTGGTCGGAGATAAATTGGCTGTTACTGTGAATTGAAACAGAAAGATCGGTATCTCTGGATCGCTGGAGGTAAAGCCCAAGTCGGAACAGACAAGTCATTCCTGGAATTTCTAAACGGATATATTCGGAAAAGTCGAGGATCATAGTAGACCATAGACGTGGAAAAGACACGGCAATCTCCCGCCATCTTCTGCTGATACGAGTGAGCGTCCATGGAGGACGACGGGGATCAAGTGATTCGTTTGGGAGGTATCTGCACTTGACAATATCGTCCCAGTCGTAGACGCACCACGAAAATATTTCGCGGAGTAGGTCATCCGATAGTAAGCGTATGGGGTGTAAGAGTGTTTCCGCATCTGCAACATCAAGCGCGACGCGTTCTCTTTCAAGCAAAAGGTTTTCCAGCACTTCTCGCGCCTTTTTGATCTCCTCGTCGAAATTCAAGAGCGTTGCCTTCCCAGCTTGGACAGTAGCTAAAAGGGCCGGCCTTGCAGTATACGAGGGTGGTCCATTTTGTTGCAAAAGCTCTGTTACGCGGGCTGAACGCGTGGATTTTGGATCAGGGAGAAGGCCGATGCCGCAGAATGTGCACGAAGTAGGGATTGTATCAAGCTGAAATGAGGATTGTTAGTACAGAAAACGATAGGGCGGCACTGAATGGATTAGTACCGAATTTTCTAGTGAAGACATGGTCGTTTGATAAGAGCTAGTAGAAGGACGGGCAGCAGATCGAGTATTGGTCAAAAGTAAGGATTGTTGAGCGAGCGAGCTGATTCTCGGCAGTAGACCGTTCAGTAAGAAGACTAAGTGAATTACTGTGAAAAGGGGTAGCTGATCATGTCAGCATTTCTTAGTCCCGAATAAATATTGAATAAATAAAAGGTAAATAAATATGTCCGTATTCGGCATGTCGCTGCATTTATGAAGTTGATTCATGCCTCGATGCCGCAATGCAATACTTCTTAGAATCGCAGAGCCGTTCTCAAGCGAGTGAGTGTAAAAATGTTACATCCCTGGAAAATACTACATGGGGGCTAACTACAAAATGTACAGCTTTCTATACTAAGTACGAAATTCCCGCGAGAACAAGCAAGTAAATCCGTACCAATAACTAGAACGGCGACTGGCTGTTAATGCCATGGGAAGCTCGAAATCTCACGGTGCTAGTAGACCTTATCTCTACCAGCGTAGTCCCTGCCTTTGCCTTCTATCTTTCATACCTCGTACTTGTACGTAATCGGCTACCCTTTTTCCCTCAACCCTACTGACCCTACTGTGGAGTGTATATATAATATACCCCGTGCGATGCCATTACACCTCGTGCCACATGTCTCCGAAAGACGTTCGTGCAGCGGACGAGGCTCTATTAGCGGCTTTGGGTTATAAGCAAGAATTCCAGCGTGCTTTTACTCCTCTTGAGGTGCACCTTCCTTCCGCCTTTATAGCCAGTGTACTCACGACCCTCATTTCAGGTTTTTGGAATCGCGTTCTCAATCATCGGTCTGGTGCCCTCAATATCTTCGGTTCTTTTTTATGCGATTCCCAACGGAGGTGGGCCCGCCATGGTTTGGGGGGTATGCTTCCCTCAAGTTACTCCCATAAAGAAGCTATGCTGATAGAACAGCAAAGTGGGCCGTTGCGAGTATTTTCATACTATTTGTTGCGCTGGCAATGGCCGAACTAGCCAGTTCTGCTCCTACCTCTGGAGGATTGTACTACTGGACCTATTCATTCTCGTCTCCCCGCTGGCGTAATCTACTCTGCTGGATAGTCGGATGCCAGTTCCTCCGTTTCACATACATCAGCGTACCCTCACACTTTCATCGTAGATATGAACACGATCGGATCTATAGGAAACGTGGCTTCGACTAACTGGGGATGCGCTGTTCAAGTCATGGCTGCAGCCAAGATTGGCTCTAATAACCAAAGCTTCGAGCCAACGAACACCCAGCTTTTGTGCGTTATTTTTGTTTTTTTCTTCTTCTGTACTCTCAATTCAAGTATGTCAGTGGCGTATATGTCGCTATAAATCTCACTCATGTTGTAAGCTGCTGTCTGGGCACGACCGTTTTGGCAAGGTTGCAGTCCGTGTACGTCGCTCTCAACATCCTGTACGTATTCCAGTTATCCGATAGCGCTTTTCATCATTCTGATGTTCCGATACGATAATTTTGGCAGGTTATGCATAGGGGTTATCGTCGCCTTGCCTACCGTTACTCCGCCGGAATTCAAGAACACCGCACACTTTGCATTAGGCGAATTCGTTAATCGTGCGTTAAGGATTTATTTCCGTGTAGCGCTTATCTCATCGGGTATAGTGAACAGATGGACAGATGGCTTCGCATTCATATTGAGCTTTTTGGCGCCACTTTGGACTATTGGTACGTTTGCACTACTAGAGCAATATGGCATGGTACATCGATAATCTTTTTGCAGGTTCATTCGATTGCAGTGTGCACATAAGTGAGGAAGCATCAAATGCCGCGACTGTCGTTCCTTGGGCAATCGTACTGGCGGTAGGCATCGCTGGAGTGTTGGGCTTGGGTACGCATTTTTTACAATACCGATAATCCATACTGACGTTGAATATACAGCAATTAACATGACCCTCGCTTTCTGTATGGGTTCAGATGTGCAGGCAATAAATGATAGTACCCAGCCTATGGCGCAAATTCTGTTCAATGGTTTTGGGCAGAAAGGAACGTTGGGTATCTGGGCGATTATTGTATTGGTACAGTGCGTTGACATTTTCATCTTTCGTTGCTGTGTATCAATATTGGCTTCGCTTGGGCAGATACATGATGGGTTCCAGTATGGTAAGCTCATGTTTCGCCACGGAGAATATTACATAATGTCCTTTATCAGCTTCTAGCTGCTAGTCGACAGACATACGCGTTTAGCAGAGATCAAGGTATCATCGTCTCTTTTATGATCATCTCACATTTCAACGCTTATATCATATGCCAGCCCTTCCGTTTTCCAACTGGCTGTACCGAATGAATAGCTATACGAAAACACCAGTTAACACTGTCATTTTCGACGCTGGCTTCTCAATATTGCTAGGACTACTCTCATTCGCAGGACAGAATGCCATCAACGCTATATTCTCCATATCTATTATTTCATTGTACGTTGCATACAGCATCCCCATCGCTGCCCGCTTTATCAGAAAGAACGACTTCAAGCCTGGGCCGTTTTATCTCGGGATTTTTGTTAGTTCCTTCGAATCATATTTTAATGCATCTCTAACTGTCGTTCCTTGTAGAGCTTTCCGATCGGACTAATAGCTGTACTGTTCATGGTCTTCACGAGTGTAGTGTCCATGTTCCCTATGACTCCACAAACGACGGTTCGAGACATGAACTACTCCGTTGTAGTGCTAGGAGGTGTGACGATTTTCTCGTTGATGTGGTACTACTTCCCGAAATATGGTGGAGTTTACTGGTTCACGGGTCCTATTCCTACGTTGGACCCCATTACGCTCGTATAAGAGGACATGCTCGAAAAGGAGACAGTCAATATTGTTGCAGAGCTAGTTGTAGAATGATTGATATCTAAATTTGCTCTCGTTATCTCGTTATGTACACGTAATTATCATACAAAGGTAGAAGGTGAATATTTACGACGCCCAGAACGAAGCATAATATTGACAATAATACTTGCCTTACGCCAAAGACAGTATGAAGATTCGAGTGGACACTGGAAGAGGAAAGAGAACGGTCAAAAGTGTAGGTTTGTGGTAAATTTTATTTCGGCAGAAGGTCGGCCGATGAGATCCGGATCAAAACGACATTCGGATAATCTCTCGAGAATTACCGGCTCACTGTCCTTGAACTTGACCTACCATCATGCCACTGTCTCTGCTCTCTTTGCCCCCGGAAATCCTTATTCAGTGCATGGCCAGCTTGGACTACTTGTCTCTGCTCCAATGCACGAAGGTGTGTGCATTTTTGGCGTAGTCCGAGACCTCGCTCAACTTGGGCTCATAAGGTCTGTAGAACATTCAAGAACGTCGTCGATGGCTCTCTTGCCCTTCAGTACACGATTGAGCTCGCCCTTGACGGCATGGAGGATGGAAATAGCTCCCACCTTCTAAACGCCGAACGGCTGGGACGTCTTCGTGACCTGCGACGCGCCTGGGCAAATCTGGATTGGAAGGAATTTACAAGTATTCCGTTTAGCGGGGAATGCAGTGCCTATGAGCTCGTCGCCGGCGTATTCGTCAAGATGTTTTTGGGAAGAGATTTCTCCTTGACGCGGCTTCCTTCGTCGACGCGACCTACTGTGGATCAGGTGCAGCTTCCGGACCAAGACATGCTAGTGAAGGATTTTGCTATGGATCCAAGTCAGGACTTGCTCGCCATGCTTGTGGATGATGCGTCGTTCGTAATGCTTCTTATTCCTTTCCTTCGCACAGCGCTGAACTATGGCCAGACCGCCTTCGTACACAACGAACCGCATTCTCACGATGCATTTGCGGTCCCTTTCTACACTTCGTGATCACCCCGAGGCGGAGATACCACAAATAAACATCTATATTCAGCCAGGCGAAATGTGGGCCAACCTTGTGGGCGTTTGTACTATTCAAGTGGCACAGGATTCTCTAGCTCTCTTCATTCGCCAACCCGTCAAAGAGTCGCATTTGTATATCGGGAACTGGAAGACGGGGCAGCTTCTAATCGTGCGTAATGCCATCGTTGACCCTTGTCAATGCGCATTCTCACAACCGTTCTAGAACCACGATGACCACTGTGGGCTGCCGAAGGGCGTGTACCATTTCGGCTTCGTGACCAGGGACACGTACATTCTGACAACAACCTGTGCTCCTGGTTATATCTATCTAGTGCAGATGTCGGAGGAAATTCAATACAGGACCATCGTTGTGCTTTGTCTGCCGGAAATCGTAGACAATGTTCAGGTCGAGGCGGTCATCACACATTCCGGAGCAATTACCGCTTCCGCTACAGACAGCGAACAGTTCATTGCTACCCCAGAGCGGCGGATACATACGTTCACCGTGATGTACGGGTTCCTGGATCCTACTCGGGACGCAGTGACATATACATTGTTCGTCCCGAATCAAACATTCTTGCACTATATCTCGGATTACGAAGATAGGAAAAAGAGCCTTTTGAGTTATGTTATATGGGACAATTGGGGCCCTGGCCACACGCGCATGTTGTCGAATGAAGGCTCTTTCAACTGGATGCGGTGGGTCGCTTGTACTATCCTGACTTTTCTCAATGGCTAAGCGAAGTAAATATAGATACGCCTACGGAGAGAAGGTTGTCTGCCCCGCTATTCCGGGGAGGAACATAGTACAGGTGCTAGATTTTAACATTCATCCATCCCGCCCTCGTCCACGAACCTTGTTCCCTTTTTCACGAGGGCGTGTTGTTACCGGCCCGACTACATTGGATCGGATGCATATATTTAAAGAAAAAGTACGGACCAATCTACCGTTCTATTCTACATCGCGAGAGATGGGAGAAGGAGTATTCGGGATTTATGATCGACGAGCAGAGGATCATTGCTTTGAAGGTACATGCCCCGCTAACATTACTAATCCGCACAAGGCTGACCTGTTCCTAGATGCTTGGAGATGTTGATGAGAGTACTGAGCTCGAATCTGTTGACGTATACTCTTTCTGATTCGGAGGTCAATGTTTTCTACGGATAAAACATGTCATCTGTCGAAGAATATAAGGAACAATGACTTTTGATTCATAATTTCTCCTGGTGCAAAGCTCTGCTCGCTGACTCGAGATGCGCTCATGATTGTACGACACTTCAGGTTACAAACAATCAAGTCAAGCCGATGGTCTAGGCAGATGCAATCTGCGAGCAGGTCGAAACCTATCGAATTCGGTATGTATGGCGTGACGGAAATTGCAGTCCTCTTGTTCCGGTACATTATTATGCTCCTTTTGTCTCGCAAACGGGCTCATTCCTTGCGTCTAGGTTATACTGTGATCCAGAATCCACGTACTATTGAGAAAGGGGATCCCATGCCGAGATGCCGCGGTCCGAGTTGCATATACTGGCTGACAATAGACGGCCCGCCTCAGCAATAAAGTGTACAGCTGAAAACGAGATGGGGTGCCCCAATTTCACCCTTACACTGTTCATTTGTCTCTTGTCCATCCATCCTCACTATTCTGATGAGAAACACCAATTCTGTTGCACTCGACGAAATCTCCACGAAGACGGACGTTCAGGACCATGAATCTGTGCGGACTGCTATAGGCGACTTTCACTGGAACACGGAGCAGGAAGTCATAGAGCTCGCCAGGACCATAACGAATGCCTCTTCTGCTGGACAAGGTCTTGCGGAGGCAGGAAATCCGTTCCAAGGCAGCAAGGACCTGCAACTGGATCCTCACTCTGAGCATTTTAACTATCAGAGTTGGATTCGCTCTGTGTTATCGATCACCTCTCGCGATCCCGACAGGTACCCTCAGCGGACAGCAGGTATTAGTTTCCGGAATTTGAACGTCTTCGGATATGGGAAGTCGACCGATCATCAGAAGACCGTGGGGAATATTTTGCTTGATATCCCTCGGCTGATCGCTGAGTTATTGGGGAGTAAAGGTCGAAGGATCGACATTCTTCGGGATTTTGAGGGTGTTCTTAGAGCTGGTGAGATGCTAGTAGTTTTGGGTCGACCGGGAAGGTACGAATTTACTCTTCAGTTGTTCCAGTCAAACGTTAATCCTGTATTTCCAGCGGCTGTACTACTCTTCTGAAAACTATTTCCGGTGAAACTCATGGCTTTTGGGTTGAAAAAAGCGCGAAAATCAACTATCAAGGTGAGTCGCTTTGATCAAACCCCTTTGGCACAATCTCATGGCGCCTTAGGTATCCCGTGGAAGACTATGCATCGTGATTTTCGTGGCGAAGTCGTCTACAATGCCGAAACCGACGTTCACTTCCCCAACTTGACGGTCGGCGAGACGCTCTCGTTTGCAGCTCAAGCACGGATGCCTCGTACTCGGCTTCCTGGAATCTCTCGTGATATGTGGGCTGAGCATATGAAGGACGTCGTCATGACTGTCTTTGGTCTTACACATACTGTCAACACCAGAGTTGGGAATGATTTCATTCGTGGCGTGTCCGGTGGCGAGCGGAAGCGTGTCAGTATTGCAGAGGTCGCCCTCAGTGGTTGCCCTTTACAATGTTGGGACAATAGTACCCGCGGTCTGGATAGTGCGACGGCCCTCGAGTTTGTAAAGACTGTCCGTCTCTCAACTACATATATGGGCGCCACAGCCGTCGTTGCTATCTACCAGGCTTCACAAACTATCTACGACGTAAGTGATATGGCCGCTCTCCCGACTTGCGATACTCACACAGAGAAATTAGATTTTCGACAAGGCTGTTGTCCTTTATGAGGGCCGACAGATCTATTTCGGCCGAACGGATGACGCGAAGAGGTTTTTCGTCGATATGGGTTTCCATTGTCCCGAGCGTCAGACTACAGCCGATTTCCTCACCTCTCTCACCAACCCAGCGGAACGTAAAATCAGACCAGGTTTTGAATCGAAAGTTCCTCGCACTCCTGATGAGTTTGCCAGAGCATGGAAAGAGAGCGCAGAACGGAAGCTCCTTCTCGAGGACATTGACCAATTCGATGGCGAATTTCCGATTGGCGGCAACCAGCTTGCCATGTTCCGCAAAGCTAGGAGGTCTCAGCAGGCTAGAGGAGTGTAAATGCTCCCATCCCACCAGTTTACGAGATATACTAACACACGATTTTAGTCCCTCTCACTCGCCGTATACTTTATCAACGCCTATGCAAGTTCGTCTGTGTCTTGTTCGTGGCTTCCAAAGATTGCGAGGTGATATGAGCTTGGCCCTTACGACAATCTTCGGAAATTTTATCATGGCATTAATCATCTCTAGTATCTTCTACAACCTTCCGCATAACACCGCCAGTTTCTACAGCAGAGGCGCGTTACTTTTCTTCGCTATCCTGCTGAACGCTTTTAGTAGCGCTCTCGAGGTACATTCATTCTTCAACCAACGAATGACACGTCATTGAAGAGCAACTTGCAGATCCTGACGCTATGGGTTCAACGTCCCATTGTCGAGAAACATTCACGGATGGCTTTCTACCGCCCACTGTCTGAAGCTATCTCCTCCATAATATGTGATCTCCCACAGAAAGTCATCACGTCTATCAGCTTCAACCTGGTGCTCTATTTCATGACTAATCTACGCCGCACTGTGGACGGTTTCTTCATCTTCCTTCTTTTCTCTTTCATGTGCACCTTGGCGATGTCCATGATTTTCCGTACCATCGGCGCCCTTTCCCGGACAATCTCACAGGCTATGGCACCCGCTAGTCTGCTCATGCTTTCATTGGTGATCTATACAGGTTTTACAATTCCTACAAGGTGAGGGATAATCTGGATAAATGTAAACTCGTTTATCCAATCTTTTTTGATCCGCAGTGGCATGAAAGCCTGGTTCCGGTGGATAAACTACCTTGATCCCATTGGCTACGCTTTCGAAAGCTTAATGGTCAATGAGTTTGCCGGACAAGAGTACCCCTGTTCGGTCTACTTGCCCACAGGACCGGACTATACAAACGTCAGTGCCTATGAACACGTTTGCGCTACGACAGGAGCGAGGGCTGGCTCAGACGTCGTTTATGGATCCAATTATCTCAGTGATTCTTTCAAGTACAGTCGGGCCCATCTTTGGAGGTGAGCCGTCAATAAGGGATCGTCGCTTGTTATCTTACCGGTGCTCCCCCCAGGAACCTCGGCATTGTCATTGGCTTCATATGTTTCTTCTTTGCCACCTACATCACAGCCACCGAATGTGTTACTGCGGCAAAGTCTAAGGGTGAAGTCCTCGTTTTTCGACGAGGACACCTTCCCCACAAGATGAAAGAAGTTGATGACGAGGAATCCACCAGTGACCCGCACCTCGAGGCCAAGCTCTCCCTTCACCGTACGGTGACGTTTCAAGATCGAGCTGTTTCCGCCATCCAGAAACAGACTGCTGTCTTCCATTGGGAAGACGTCTGTTATGATATTAGCATTAAAGGCGAACCCAGAAGACTGCTTAACAATGCAAATGGCTGGGTAGAACCAGGCACACTCACTGCGCTGGTGGTAAGCAATGTCAATTCGTGTCTTCAATCTACCTCTTCTCATCTTTCAGTCTGTAGGGCGCTTCTGGTGCGGGTAAAACAACGCTTCTTGATGTCCTAGCAAGTCGCATCACTATGGGTGTAGTTTCTGGTTCCATGTTGGTTGATGGACATCACCGGGACAGCTCGTTCCAGCGGAAGACGGGATACGTTCAGCAGCAAGTATGTCTTATATTCCTCGAGCTCAAGATGTCGAACCTAAGTTACTTATACTAGGACTTGCATCTTGAAACGTCGACTGTCCGTGAGGCTCTGGTTTTTAGTGCCATGCTGAGACAGCTGCAACATATTTCGAAAGCCGACAAGGTCGCTTATGTTGAGGAGGTCATCCGCTTACTCGAAATGGAACTATACGCCGATGCTGTTGTCGGTGTTCCCGGAGAAGGCCTGCTGCAGACCATCGTTCTAGCGTTCAAGGGCTGACTATCTAATCTAGGTCTCAATGTGGAACAGCGCAAGCGTCTCACCATTGGTGTAGAACTAGCTGCGAAACCCGAACTTCTACTTTTCCTTGACGAACCTACGTCAGGTCTTGACAGGTAAATGTTATCTCCTTCGTTGCTATCTATTTCAATGCTCATGGTACAAAACGAAAGTCAAACTGCCTGGTCGATCTGTACCTTGCTTCGAAAGCTAGCGAAGAACGGGCAAGCTATCCTCTGCACTATCCATCAACCTTCGGCTCTTCTCTTCCAAGAATTCGATAGACTTCTGTTCCTTGCAGAAGGTGGACAAACTGTCTACTTTGGCGATATCGGCAAGAATTCAGACACTCTCATTCATTATTTTGAGCGAAACGGTGCACCCCCTTGTCCTCCAGATGCTAATCCAGCTGAGTGGATCCTCGATGTCATCGGTGCTGCCCCCGGTGCCGTTGCAGTCAAAGATTTTGTCAAGGTTTGGAACGAAAGTCCAGAGCTGATTGCTATTAAGACAGAATTGGCAAGGAAACGCGAAAACGTCAAGCCGATCTATTCCAATGTCGCTGTAGACAACAACTCGCTTAGACCATTCGCTACACCATCCTGGTACCAATACATTATCTGCACACATCGGGTGTTCCAACAGTACTGGCGAACCCCCTCATACATATACTCCAAACTCATACTTGGAATGTTGACTGTAAGCATCTATTCCGTCCTCGTAATGCCTTTATCTTACCAATGGCATTTCCGTAGGCGTTATTCATCGGTTTCTCATTCTACAAAGCTGACAACACTCTGCAAGGACTGCAGAATCAAATGTTCTCCATCTTCATGTTGATGATCATCTTCGGAAACGTGGTCAATCAAACCATGCCTCATTTTGTTACTCAACGATCTTTGTACGAAGTGCGGGAACGGCCTGCCAAGGTTTACTCATGGCAAGCTTTTATGCTGGCAAATATTACTGCCGAGCTTCCCTGGAACACGCTCATGGGCGCTCTTATCTTCTTCTGCTACTACTATCCGGTCGGGATGCAGCGAAATGCTCACGAGACAAACACGGTCACCGAACGTGGTGCCTTGTTCTTTCTCTTTGTTTGGTCATTTCTCATGTTCACTTCTACATTCACGGATATGGTCATTGCCGGTATTGAAGTGGCCGAAACTGGTGGTAACATTGCCATAATGCTTTTCTCCCTCACACTTTTATTCTGCGGGTGGGTCATTCCATTGATCTTGACCGACGTCGTTCTTCATCTATTTATTATTTAGTGTCCTCGCCGGACCAAACGACTTCTCTCACTTCTGGATCTTCATGTATCGCGTATCGCCTTTCACCTATCTAGTGGATGGTATGATGTCAACTGGCTTGGCGAACGCCGCGGCTACATGCTCCACCGTCGAAATTTCGGTCTTCAATCCTGCCAATGGCACGACCTGTGGCGAATATATGAAGTCGTACATTGCACTAGCGGGCGGGACGGTACTGAACCCAGACGCGACGTCAGACTGTCGCTTCTGTTCCATAACATCGACAAACGTCTTTTTAACCAAGGTGAATTCGGCGTATTCCCACCGATGGCGGAACCTTGGCATATACTGGGTGTATATCCTCTTTAACATTATCGGTGCTCTTTTCCTCTATTGGCTTGCACGCGTGCCAAAGGGCGCAAAGGCCAGAAACATTTGATTCTAGTCCGTCATTTCGTGAAGCTCTTTTACGATATTTTTATTTCCAGGACTCTAGAGCCATATGTTACGAATAAATCCTCGTCGATTGTAACTGTTGGAGAATAGCTTAAACTTTCTAAATGACCACTCTGATCTTGCGAATTTTGTCACAACATGACACTCAGTATGGTTATTATTTCCTTTGTAAAGCGTGAAAAGATAAGACCATATAATACAAAAATGAACGAGGCTGCCTCTCAGAGTGCCTCATTAACCAATTCTACGGCCTTTTCACTTCTTGGCTTGACCACGCACTTGAACGGCAACGTATCACTAAGAAAGCGAGTCAAATTCATTATTTGACGGTGACTCAAATATTTTTATCATACCTGAGAACGCCTACTACTTGACCGGGGACAGGCTCCTGAATGTCACCATTTTCGTCGGTAGCTTTTGTAATATTGAACACAGCCAATGATCTTGCCACAGCAAGGAACACAGACGCTTCTGCGAGAAGCTGACCCGGACAGATGCGTCGACCAAACCCAAATATCAGTTCGCGAGGGTCTAGTTGAGGGGACGGGCCCAAGAAACGTGTAGGATCGAAGACGTCGGGATTAGGGTAAAACTCAGGGTCATGAGACATTTGCCTAGCGACAAAGACGTGAATAGAGCACTTTACGAGCAGGCGAGACTCACCATATATTGGCAATGACTATTGATCCCTTTGGAATGAAATACCCGTTGTATGTGTCGTCTTCCATTGTCCGGTGAGGAAACCCTGAGGTCCTTACGTCGATACTTCGGATTAAGAGTAAGCCAGGGATGTATCACGCACCAGTCGGTATGGGAGAATGCCACCTGAAAACTTCGTGAAGTACGGCGAGAGTGTGAGGAAGCCGTCCTTCGTCCCTATCGGCAAGAGAAGGAAGTCTTTCACCGCCAGTGACAGAGTCGATTTCCGCCTGAACGCGAGCCTGTATCTCAGGGAACATAGTCATGGCTTTGAAGAATGTCTTAATAGAGATGACCGTCTAGCTTGAGGTCAGGGGAATTCAAAAGTAGGACACGGAGAACTGTACCGTGTCAAATCCAGCTAGAAAATTTCATGTTAATCATTAACGCCTGATAATTCCGGATGGGGGAAGGATAACTCGCCTCCGTACATTGTCGACGCAGTCCATTTAATCACAAACTCGTCCTCTCCATCTTCAACACCGGAAGATACGTAAGAATAATCCGCAGTACCTTTAGCCTAGTACCGGTGATCAATTCCGGGTCATAGAAGAGAAGGAAGAAATACGCACCATCTGATCCTTCACCCAATTAAAAGGTTGGTGTGTCATCTCTTGCACATTTACATTCCACCGCTTAGCGAGTCTCTTGAATTCCGCACCTGGAATCCAATCGGGAAGGTGCCGGACTTTTCTCGCATAAGTTATGATTATTACGAAAATAACGAATGGAGCATTGGACACACGAGCGGGGAGTTTGTTCACCAAGAACTTAGGAGATGCCATTTGCAGAAATTCGGCGGTTATCTGTCTGCACTTGACGACTAGAGGGTCGTTTTTGCTAATCGTGTAACCATATGCGATCCGGAGTACAATCGATGCGACATCACTGTCAACGAATGCGGATAGGTAAGAATGGAGTCAAACTGAATGGAATACGCAACTCGTGAATATGCTCAACCCAATGATCAGGATCTCGTAACATATCCTTCAAGAATTTGCGTGTCTGTTCGTCTTCAACGTGATAAAATCGCTGGAAGTTTTCCAACGTCCCAAGGAGCTTGTGGAATAGCTTGCGCTGTGCACGGAAAGCAGATCCATACCCGAGAATGAGAACTATGTCGCCCCATCCCGAGAGGATATGCATCGACAGCGGAGGCCTGTCCGAATACTTTGCTGTTGAAAGGCATATAGTACTCAGCATAAGCTGTTTAAGAATTCAATGGGCTTACCAGACCGGTTGTTGAGTAGTTCCTTGGCGACACTATATGAATTCAAGACAATAATTGTCTGTCCTAACACGGTTGCTGAGGATATTCCTCCTGTTACACGGATGCTAATTCTGTGAGACTTATTACAAGTTGAGGAAGCTTACCATATCTTTTCCCCCATTCCGCCCACGTTACCCATTCACGCTCCTTGGGCATATCAAGAAGATTGCCAATTATGGGCAGCCGTCGTGGGCCCGGAGGTAGTGAGTCCGAGAGTGACATGCGTATAAGGGAGATGACAACCCACATAAAGACGCCCAGAGCAAGAAAGTTAGACGTAGACAACAAAGTCATTGGAAGGAGTAGAGAGTAAAGGAGAATGCCACCGAGAGGTAGACTTTATCGCGCTCGGATCTCACCACCAAGAACCGTCAAGGATCCTATTGGCAGCAAGTACAGGAAGGAGGTGGTCAGGGACTCTATCGGACCCCGTTTGCCGAGCCATGTGAAAGCAGAGAACATCAGAAAGAATGGAAGACCACGTGCCAATAGAAAGTTTTCATTAGGTATTCAGTGGGCCCTGATACCCTGAGATGCAACACCCTGGATTTTGGATAATACGGAGAAAACACCGAACCGTACCGATTCCACCGTGGGCAAGAAGTATTTCTATAGCAACCGGAGAGATACTAAGCATTCAGTAGCACAGCACTCTTGCGCCCGCATCTACAAGATCCGGGGAACGGACCTTCGACAACAGTAACTGGAGGAAGTGAAGAAATAACTTGACCAAGGGGGTTGCGGCCCGGCAAGCCGGCACATCGGGTTGGTCGGTCGGTCGGTCCAAAAGGTCCTTAAAAATTTTTTGCCCCCCTCTTGTAAAATAGCATCCAGAGACCCTAGACGCTGCTGGAGGTGTTTATTTCAGCTGATATATGATATTCATGACTTAACATGGCTAAAAAGCGCCGGAAAAGCGGTCAAAATGATGTCGAAGGCTCAAAACGCCAAGGGCATGCTGCCGGATATCGGCAGGATTACTGAGAATGGAGTTACCGGCTGTAAAAATATTTGGTCAAGTTCGACGGATCCAAAATTGGAAGGGTCTGTCATGTACAGTAGGACAGTGTTGTTGCTAGCAGATAAAAATCATATACTATCAGCGTTTAGATCGAGGATGAGAGAACTAAGTATGCGGAAAGCTCGCACTGGCGGATGACTCCGACACGGAGTGATTACATAATGTTTCCTTTGTGGGTATGTTTTTTCCACGGAGGTCGGTCGGTCGGTCCATCGAGGCCTTAAAAATTTTTTCGACCCGATATGATTTTTTCGGTTTTTGCGACCCCCTTGAACTTGACTGAAACAAGCCAAACATAAGCGAGTTACCCCATCTGGATATTATATGGTCAGCTGACACGAATCACGGATCGGGCCGCTTCGCGGCACTTTCACCATTACATGTTTGGGCTGTGGGCCCGGCCGTTCCTTATTGGGACCTTGTGCCGGTACCGACACCAACACCAACACCATTCCTGTCTTTCACCGACCATCGTCATCGGTTCACTGCTCGTTGACTGCTCGTACTCCTTGTCGAACACACGAAGTACGCAAGTCATTGTTTTAATATACATTGCATATCACATACCTGCACAGGTGATTCACAGTTGATGAACCTTAGCTCGTAGCACCCGACAACGATGATCGCAGCAGCGCCACTCATATATTTACTCCACCACCTGGGAACCTTCATAATGAAGAATACCCCTTTCGCACGTACAGGGCCGCCCACCATGTTCTATGTATTGCTAAGAGTCCGCTATTTCGGAGAAGAGTTTTTATATATCTTCGCCACGCCTAAAGACTAAATCGCGCCCAACTTCCCGAATATTTCCTCCAGACATGAGCGTTATCAGCGATCCGTTTGGCATGATTCTCGTCTGTGAGTTGCACCTACATATCAGCAGTGGTACCTGACTGATATTATGATTGGCGCCAGGTGTATTTTTAAGTATCTTGCTTCTAGGCGTCATGATAGTCCAGCTGTTTCTATACATCGACCGCTATCCGACGTCGGTGTCTCTATTCGCTTGTACAACTTCCTCTTACGGTGACACTATAGAGATCCGTCATATCTCAAGATCTTCGTCGTATCGCTCTTTACCTTGGATGTCCTTAACTCGGTCTTCGTAATGTTCTGGTATGTTCCGTTCGAAATTCCAGTATTCCCAGCTCTTATGGATGTATAAGGACATATACGATGCTTATAGACAATTTTATGAACCCTGCAGCATTCGGTAGAGGTATTGTACTACCTCCCTCTAATGATTTCCAGATTTGTATTCCTTACCATTCAACAGCCGATTGGATTGTCTGCACAGACCCAATTCTGTCAGGTCTTATGGCGTCTATGGTACAAGGTTTCTTCGCCTGGAGAGTATGGGTGTTGACGAGGTACGGCTTCCGATCTTGCTCCTTGAGGCGCGACTTGATGACTACTTTATCAAGAAATCCATTTTACCTCGGGTTTGTAGTCCTGTGTGCCATAGCTTCAACAGCGGGCGGATTAGGGACGGGAATATATGCTGCCATCATTGGAGATTTCAGCGAATTTCGGAAAATCAAGGCAGTCGCACTCATCTGGCTGATATCCGGAGCGCTAGGAGATTTGGCCATAACCTTGATTGTCTCAAATTATTTGCGCAAAGCTAGGGGAACATTCCCCAGGACGGACCGCATTCTGACAAAGCTTATTCGGTGTGAGTGGGATTAAAGTTCTATGGAAATGTAGTACTAATTACTTGGTGCTCCAGTAACGATGCAAAACGGTTAGTTGTGCTTGTGGTTTGGGTCACTGATAATCAATTGTCTTATTCCTTGAAAGGTCTCTTGACATCTGTACTCGCCATAGTTGATTTCAGTTTGTACCTCGCTTCGGTAGGTTTCATCTTTGATGCTGAAATTACGGACTCAAGTTCTCTGTATAGAATAAGCCTTACTATTTCGGTGGGTAAGTTTCCGAAATATCTAACGTATCTCTATTTACCGCTTCCGCTAGGAATTGCGTTCCTCATACCAAAATTGTACACTAATTCTGGTGCGTTGTCACCGCCTTCGCTCTATCATGAACGAAACTTACTTCTAAAGCCAGCTCTTTCAAGCCTGAATGCAGTCTGTGATATACCCGTATCTTGGTTATCGCATTTCTTAAGAAATTATCTAGCGCGCTGTCAAGCGCTCCACTTCTGACGACTCGGAGCGATCGTCACATCAGCGAATGACGACGGAACCTAGGTTTTGGAATGACGCTGCCCATTCCGGGGTGAGTGTAATGTCTGGAATAAAGTTGGACTTTCCTGACACTTCCGATAGATTGAGACTGGCGTGCGCCCGACAGAGGTGAGTACTTACTCATTTTCGTTTCTCTTGGTTCTATTAGAGCTTTCTTACGCACATACAGGTTGTTGTTAACGTCGAAATGGAATCCCACGAGATGTCCGATGTATTGCAGAAAGATAAGGATTTCGCGCCATATTAAGATTTTGATCAGCATGGTTATGACGGTACACCATAAAGCATACGGCGCAACATTAATACTGTTTCACGCCGTGATGCCAGCTGATACCCCGCATTTTGTTTAGTCCTGAGTAAAAAAGAAAATTACCAATGGGAAGGAAGGACGAGCATCATTACCGTCGTCAAATTTCGTTCTGTCATTACAGGTTTATCTATAAATCAAGGGAAAGAAAATGCCGGTAGATGCCGAATAGTTCTTATTGGGTGCTCACAGTACCAACACGGCGCAAGCCTGGAAGTTTGATTGGATCAAAAACATACCGCTGCTTTCGGCCCGCTGTCCACCCGGGGCCGAGACAGCTTTCCTTTTAACCATGAAGCCCACGCCTGACGGGACTTCTCAAATCGAACATTACCTCCTTATTGTTGATGATTCTGGTTGCGATATCCTCCAACCATCCTCGATAATGCTATTACTCTCATTCGTGGAGCTGTTCCTGAAAAATTGCGATATAATTCTTCTGGTGGAGGTTGTGCGGTGCCAGTTGCTATCATTATTGTCCCACGGACAATGCAACTGTATCAACAAAAGAAACCCGAGTGTTCTCACTTTGATCTAGGGCAATAACCACAGTGTACTTATACTGTTACTTTTCCTATACCGACGTTGCCTCAAGCCTCTTCACAAGAACTCGCGCTGCGCTGCGCAATGGATGACACGTATCTTGATAATCCCATTTTGTACCAGCTCAGCCAACCAGTACCAAAACCACCCCCGTCTGCAGAAACCTTACGCAGAATCCAATCTCTGAAAGAACGTTACACCCGGTTGCGTGAGCTAGAAGACATTGGTACGTTCGCTTAAACGCTCCTGCCTTTAAAATCAATAACCACCTTTGCAGTCAAACCATGGAACGAGATGAACTCTAGAATCCAGCCCTGGGTGTCGCCATTCAGCAGCAGTGTGATCTCTCCTGATGATGAGTGCTACATCCCCGTGAGCGAAGCAATCGCCAAACTGGAATCTAAGCTTCCAACTGAATATCTCCCTGAGTGGCCTGTCCACCGCGAGCGTGGTGGAGGTTCCAGATCCCCCAACACGTCCTTATTCGAGAATTTCATGTCTGGTATGTTGTCATTCGCTTCGCGTTTGCGAGCCTCAATATTGACCGTTTCGTAGGTGTTTTCTCAATTGAGAGGAAACTTCATCGTGATAAAGAATACGTGCTTGACAACATCCGTAGACTTGGCGGAAGTCTATGAAACATTGAAACTTCTATCCCTTCCACTGCTTCAACTGTAGCGAGCTTCGTCAATTATTGTCTGCTTTGATATCTTCTCGCAAATTTAAAAGTTTTCGCGACGTGTTCTCCAAGTCCGACTTATTGCAGATCGGCTTTCTAAATCGTTACGTGGATGCCTATCTGGAGTCGACATGTACTTTCCATACCAATGCCGTAATCCTTCGCGGCAACCGATACAAGCTTCATATTTATCTAGGTAACTCACAGGGCGCCTAGTGCTATTGGCATGAAGGCGATTCCAATCAAGCTAAGTATGCAAACTTCGAACAATATTGCCATCCGGAGTCGGTGTTCAACAGGCATTTTAACTGGATAATACTGTTTTAAAATTCTGAGCCACACACGTGGCCGCGCTACCCTGCATGCTGAGTTTCTCGGGACCAGATTAATTGCACTTGATAGGCTTCCACCACCATCAGCAACCCTGTTCTCCCGGTTTTGCTAAGGCAGGGATTTCTCTGTTGTAGATATATTATGTCCGCAACGCTCAGCCCTTCGGATTTTGTCTACCATCGAAAGTGAGTATTCCCCATGTTGAGCCTTTGACGCGTCATTAATTCGTGAAAAACAAGGGGTAGCATTTCCAGCCTGCTATGGTCTATCTGGCTCAGGTTTCCACCATCCATTCAACTATCCTACTATCGACTGCTATGGCGCATCGCATAATGGCATCATCCACGAACGACACTATGGGTCATCCAACTTCCCTTCAATCTTTACGCTAAGGATGGGTATGGCGTATCTGTCGGCGAAGCTATCGCCACTCAGTTCGTCTCAGAAAACACCACTATACCAGTTCCGTGCATCTTGGATGTTGTACCGTCGGGCCTAGACAACCCATACTTTCCAAACATGCAGAGAAACTTCATTCTCTCGACTGGCATCCCTGGGACAATGTTCGGTCGCAGCGGTGTACTTGCGGACAATATGACTGAGGAGCAGGCGTCTGTGTTTGTAGACACTCTTCGTGGGTGGATTGACCAGCTTAGAGGGTTGCCTCCACCAGGCCACGCGATATCTGGTATCAACGGTGCTTCCTTAGCTATCGAATTCGAGAAGGCGAACTCGTCTGTCCCTTTGCGTCACAAGAAGAATTTCATGCTCAGTATTTTTGCACGCCTTGGGAACCCCTCGATGATCATGTTCGTGCAGCACTAGCTAAACGACAGTCGACCCAATACAAGATATGCTTCACGCATGGCGATATCACACCTATAAATATTCTCGTTGATAAGGAATTGCGACCTATTGGGCTAATAGATTGGGAATGCGCCGCGTGGATGCCAGAGTACTGGGAATATACAAGAGCCATATATATTCGCCAGAGCTACGCGGGATGGTACCATTTGTTCGGACGGATATTCCCAGACGATGACGACGAGGTAGAAGCGGCGATTTGGAAACATTACGTGCCATGACAGTTATCCATATTTTTTACTCTTAAAAGGCATGCATGATACTACGAGGTCTTGGTCCTGGTCTTCTAAGAGATGTAGAAATTCCACTGTACTTTCTATCAAAAAATCCATTGTTCGTTACCAAGCGCACACACCCATGCGTCAAGGGTAGACGACTTTGCCCACGAAGGGTGTCTCATCGTAAACCACCTGTTCGAGGCTACAGCTAGCTAATCGACAGCCAGCGTCGGCGCATCATGGCCGTGCACGGGAACTGGTGCCTACCTCAAAGGAGGGAACCCGCCGTGTTCCGAAGGCGAACGAAGTACACTGTGAGGCACGCTTGGAGATCCGAACACGTACTTATGTTTGTATATTATAACCTCGATCTGGTAGTTTTGATTTTTGATTCACTGGCTGGGTCGATCTGAGACAAGCTAAGATCGGGTAAGCTTTCTAGGGCGTCAACGAGATACATACTTATTCAGTTCTGCCTCGTGCTACCGACAAGTTCAGCAGCAACATATGTAAGCACGCACAATGGGAAAGACCATTCTAGTATACAATTTCAATGGGAATTGAGCCATCGATGGCTCAAACAGCTCCTCAATACCCGCACGCTCATTCAGCTGGATAGTCAACATCCTACGCCTCACTACAAACCTCAGGCCTACCGCAGTCGTGTATGTAGCGTCTGTCTATGAGAAACAAGTTTCTCCCATCCATTTGACTATCTTGCTATTGACTGCTATGGCGCATCGCAGAATGGCATCACCCCCACGGCTTGGTCCACTGGCTAAGTACTAGAGCGGTCTGAGATCGGGTAATTTGTCCAGTCTACGACGCGAAAAACTCGCGATATTGGACAGAGAGTCAAAAACATACGCGAATGAAGCACTAGCACTCATCGCCATTACTTGAGGTTCATTAGGAAAATCGTCTGATAGGAGATAATTTATATAAATGCAATCGAGATCCTAGGTAAGAAAAGGCCTGAGGACGCGTTAGACCTTGCTCGAAGAAGGATAACAAAAAATACTCGCTATTCCTGATTTTTCTTGGTATTCATATGTACTACCCGACTAGCCTTTCAGCGATCCAAGAAGACGAGTCCAAAAAAGGCCACGAGAGTAAGCAAACGCATTTTGAAATTCCCCGATTACCCTTTGCACTCTTACCACCACATCAAATCCTTCGTCTTTGTTGGAAAATGCGAGATGATTCTGGCAATCCGGCATTCCGGCATGCTGAGTAAGAGATTGGTAAGAGAATGATTGTATAGAAATTACTAGAATAGGCGTAGTTTAGTATAAATATGCGAAGTAAATGGGCAAACTCCTCACGAGTTTGTAACTCAGAGACTAGAGGTCTTACAAGCATTGTACTAGGATACAGTCCAAAATACAACAGTCTTCAATTTCACGTTCTCTTCAGGTTGACACGAGTGCAAAATAATACCCGGTTCTTTCAACATCAAACATCATAGCTGTCGCGACGAAAAAGTACCACATATACTTGACATATACACGAAGTTTATGTCCCGGCTCGTTTCGGACCGACGAACGAAAATATTTTTGGAAAACGTCACCAGTGGCAATGTTTCTTTCTTCTTTACCTTCAAGCTAGGAACCCTGCTCCCAGTCTGAAGGATTTTGCTATTTGTATTCTTGAACGCAGCCCACCCCCAACCTTACGGTCCTCAGTGGGTTTGCAATTCCTGCCGTTGCTTAACACGACGCCTCGTCATGTCCGCGACAACTGTTGCTTTGAAGGAAACAGCGACTCAATTGTTCAGAGAAGCAAAATTTGATGAGTGCGTATCGCTCGAAGACTTCCATGTTCTTGACTTATCTCTAGCCTCAGAGCGGCCAAAAAATATCGGCAAGTACGCAGCAAACCGTTGACTTTCATATTCTCGGCTGACTCAAAGAAAAATTCACAGGCCGAAGAAATAAATCTTCGTGATGCTGTATTTCCCTCCAACCTAAGCGCTGCCTTGTATGAGCTTGGAGATTATTGTGGGAGCTTCGAAGCAATCTGTCGAGCTGTGCAACAACCGGATTGTAGTTCTAATCTACACCAGCGTCTCTCCCCTCGAATGGCGAAATGCCATATCTATGGCACTCGGAGTGGTACCATTTCGTATGAATTGATCTCTCAACACGCCTCTTCTGTCAAGATGCTAGAATCGACGTCCCAGGAGTGGGAGGATCAAGAGTGAGAAGCCCGGCGTTTCAGCCGCGGCGCGATTAAGGCTTGTCGAACTGCCCAAGTCAAAGCCTGATCCGTATGCATTTCCTTAAACATGACCCTGTATCGGCTTGACTCTCCTGACAGTCACCCTGTCCTCGAGTATTTCAAGGTTAGTGATGCATGACGTCTTACAAAAGGTTTTTTTTGACTCGGCCCACCGTAGATTAGGCATGATATTCTCATGTCACTGACCGATCAATAGGATCCTCAACAAGACGAAAACCCGCTCGTTTTGAGCCAACTCGCGCTCTCGAGAATCTCAAAGTTAGCCTTCTTTTTTGGTGGCTGCGGGGATGGTGAGTCAGCTCCCTTCTATTTATTCACGTATAATTTTGTTTTGCTAGCCCGGCATGTCTTTGGAACGCTGATTAGTCTACACAAATCATTTACGCAGCTCGGGAAAAACAAGAAGAAACACTTCCGATCACATCTAACTTTTCTTGACATCCATCCAACAACACTGGCTTGCGATCTGGTTCTTTTCATGTTCATGGATGATCTGATTGCCAGTCGCAATTCTGAAGAAGAGGAGGCCGAAATCAAAGCTACCTTATTCTACACTTATTTTGGTGTTCTCATGCCCTCGTACTGTCACCACAGGTTAGCATTATTCCCCTGTCCTTGCATCTGCTAACTCATCTTTAATCCAGGTTTCAATGTGTTGTCAAGAGGTTGATCAACGGGTTACAAGCGACTCCTCCCATAATTCCTGCGTGGATACACGCTGACGCTGGGGCTATACCAAAAATCGTACGCTCCTTGACATTCTGGCAAGACGGACTGTCTGGTAAGACCGTCGACGGTATGCTGGCCCGCCATGTTTTCGGCTTGCACACGCAAAAAGTGGAGCCGAACCAGGATCTCCCTCCCGAGGTCATGACCAAATACGGGGCTCGGGATCTGCGCGAACTGAAGCTTGAGCGAGCGATTCATATCAGGGACGTTATGACAGATGAAGAGGTCATACAATTGTTTAGAGGAACCTTCGCACAGCCGTGCCCGGGGCGTAGCGAGCCTCTAGGTCGAGATATGTAGCTAGGGAAGACTCGCGAATGTGTGTACAGGGCTATGTGCAAGGACGTTGAAGCGGGGACCGGATGGGTATCGCTCAATGCCCACAGGGAGGAGAAATGGTATAACAAGACCTCTGTTTTTATCCCTCCGGCAAGCTTGTTAAGGCGACACGATGGTTTCGAGAGAATTTGGAAGACGATCAGGGACAATTCCTCCAAGGACAGCGGCGATGGCGATCTCTTTAAAAAGGTTTGTTATGTCGTTTTGACTGAGCGATGATGACGGCTGATTGGTATTTGATGTTTATAATAGGTCAAGATGGACATCATCTCGTCTTGGAAGCCCAATCCGTCACTCTTCGTACGTACTGATTAGGTTCAATACTATCTTTTCTGAAGCGCCTGTCAGGACCGCGATATTGATGAGAGTGGCACAGACTATCCCAAGATGGACGGCAATCCTTTTGAGCCGATTCGCCATTTTGAAAAGTTCGGTGTGAACAGCAATCTCTTGACAACGGTGGATCGTAATAATCCTGCCTTTTCGGTTGCGATGTTCTTCTTCGATGCTGTGGTGAACACTCTCAAATATATGCGAGGACGCGTTAAGCTTGAGTTTTTACTCGGAGACGTCTCGCAGCAGCTGGCGAAAATAAACTTCGATACGGACAGCTCGAGACCAGTTGACTTCCCAAAGACCTTTACTCGCATGTGGCTGAGCAATGTTCCGTAAGCGTCATCTCGCCCTAGTCTCGACTCCACACTAACCGCTTACTGTCGCCAGAGATTACACTCACGGTCCGCTGAACATGGCGCTCTACGTTGTGCCAAACAATGAAGTCTCCCCACAAGCGACTGTTTCAGCCAATTGCTTACTCGACAGAGGACTATGGCCTGATGATGATAGTTATTGTCATACGTAAGTTCAGCGCATATACTACCTCAGTCTGAACTGTACCTTACCAAACCACTGGCAGATACACGCTTCTCATCGCCGAGGAGCTCCCAAAGTTCCTTGGGTGTCGTGTCATCTCGATGTCGCCTTACACGAGAATAGTCCTGGCTTCTCGCACACTCCCAATACCTCTAAAAGAGCTTGCCTCGCGAAATGAACTCATCACTTGGCTTACCCGTATCCTCCTCTGCATCATCCGACCCGGACATACAAAGCCGACACCATGCCTCGTCCATTACCCTAACAACCTTGCCGTATTTGTCGATCTCCTGCTGCTACACCTCCACAAAGTAGGCTTCCCGGCTCACTGGTTAGCGTACTTCCTTGGACGTGTCCTGTTGAACAACCTGGCGACTGATGTCGCACCGTACCTGGGGGCTTTCCCTATTCCCCCAGAGGAACGTACGCGGCGGGTACCTATGCGTCGAATAAACTTGGATCCTTGGTGTGCGGAATTGAAGACCATCTTAGCGGAAGGATTCGAGGCGTTGCCGTTTCCTGTCTTCCTTTCCTTGCCCTGCGATATTGGGATATTCGAAGTTAGTGTGCCAACTGAAGTGTATCCGCGCTCGTCGAGCCCGGATGTCATGGCGCTCATGTTCTACAATCCCAGGGTGTCTATGGCGGAAGACCTGTTGTTCAGCATTGATGATATCCTAGAGAGCAAGAGAATACCGCCGCTGCATATACTTACTGCGGCACTCGCAATCGATCTGCGTCGCAACGGGGTCATCAAGTGGCGAATGAGCAGAGAGTGTGTTAGTTCGATGAAGCAGGAAGGATGGGTATTCGCGGTTTTTCGTACAGACATCTACTGTCCTGGTGAGTTATCCCCTCAAGACCATGGGACGAGACGGCTGATTTTGTGTTAGCTGCCGGTCCCTTTTCCGCTTCGCGGTGGATGGAGGTCTCGAGCTGATGCGTTCCTTTGGAAGCTTCAAGTACAGGTATATCTAGTTTGGTGCGAGGGTCAAGTAGTGAACATAGATCTCAATGCCTTACTCCTCTTGGTTTTCTTGAAAATCGTTCTCGGCTTTGGATATATCAATGTACTGGGAGTAGGCACGATCACTTGTAGACACAGACTACGTTATATTTTTGCAATCACTATCGTACTCCCGCTAATGAGTTTCTTTCTCCGCTTCCGAAGCACTTTTCAAAGTTACTTGCTTCACCCGTGTGTACCAGCATGTCCGGCACGGTAAACATCTTAAGATACTGTATATCGAGGAGTGTACAAAGGTCAAAGATCGGTCCACAGGCTATTTCCGACATACCAGCATTAGAATGCAGGGGACCATCTCTGTATAAACATACAACAAGCAGAATTCTTAGTCAGAATTGAGCCATCGATGACCCAGCAGCTCCTCAATAACCGCACGCTCATTCGGCTCGATAGTTAACATCCTACGCATAAAGTCCATGCAATCCGGCGACAACGTCAGAGCGGCCCCACTCTGCTCCTGCATCAATGCTTCCAAAGACTTCTTTGGGAATAATTCTTTGTGTCGAAGGGATCCTGTAAAAGGAAGTGAGCACGACTTGGGCTCTATACGGAAGATTGGTCTCACCATCATCACTGAACCACGCCTTGCTCAATCGGCTCCGATTCCGAAGGCTCGCGGGGAACTCGCCCAAGGCCTGCACCTGGTAGGCAGGGAGAAATATGGGATCGCACTGAACGGGGAACAGAGGTCTCCCGACGAGCATGCCGTACAACTGGACAAAATCAGCTTCTTCACTGGAAAGACAGGGGACGGTACCATGCAACCAGCGCTCCATATATCAACCGATTTTCCCCAGCCTGCGCGCAGAGCCACCTCTGGGGGACGTATGCCGACGGGACAAACCTCCTGGGTAAAATGTTCTCCGGTTTTATCGGCGTAACAAGCTTCCGCGTACATGTTAGCATGCATATACTGCGAACGACAAGTTAATACACGAACCGACACCGAAGTCTATCAGCTTGAAGCTAAACAGGTCCCACGCCTCGGGGCCGTCGAGATTAGGCACGATTTGGATACTTTTTGTTATCGTGACGGGTGCATCGTTATCTGCGCATACTGGAAACGTATGTTGCTGAGCAGGGATTAGTGCGCCCACACCCTCTTTGGGCATTTCTTCTAGTGGGGCTGTCATGACGACGTTGGTGATTTTGACGTCTAAGAAAACGGTTGGAATTAGCACGAGAATGAACTTTGAAGAGAGAAAGGCTGACTTGTATGTATGATGTTGCATTCGTTGTGAACATAGTCCAGTGCGGAGAGCACGTCTCGCATGACGCGTTTTGCGCCGTACTCTGGTATTCTGTAGCCAGCGAAGGATTGCTCCGTCAGAGACAGCAGATTGGATAGAGCCATTTCAGTCACGACGCATAGATGTTTTCCGTGAGGTCCATTGATATGGAATGAGTCAGTAAGGTGGACGACGTGGGGGTACCCGACGTGGCCGGGGTTTTGGCGGCGCAAATATTGGAAGAAGTCGAGTTCGTGGAGTTCTGGTGCTTGCGTTGCTTCACCTAGGTATGTATCAGCATGAAAATTCAACGAGAAGCGCCGTTTATACGCGCACCAATCATTATTTTGAGGGAGACATCACTGCACAGAGTTGTTAGTCACAATCTCATGTACGAGTTTCACACTCGCATGTTTGTTTCATTGTCGCGCGTGAGCCAGACAGTCGAGTATTCTCCCCATCCCAGTTTCCCAGTGATTGTGTACCGTCCACCCGCATAGTTGTCGCCTACCTGAACTGGGTGATACCCTCCAGGTTTATATCTACATCTATTCTCTTCATTGAGGGTCCACTCGGGCGAGGCTTCTGTGGAAACTTCATTATTGACGGCAGCGTCATCTTTGTTGGCAGTCTTATGAGCTGCTGGTACCGATGAGACAAGGGCTCGATTTTTTTGAGAAAAAGACATGAGGGTAGACAGTCGTGGGGTCTTCGAACGAACGACGAGAGTAGAAACTTTTGCATCTAGTAAAAGTCAAGCCAAACAGTCTTGCTGCAAGTTGGAACAACGCGTATTAGTACTTGGTGTGGCTCTGACTGTGTTCGGATTTTCATCTGCTTTTCGAGGAAATTAAAGGATGCCAGACATTAACGAGAAAGAGAACGGCTATCCAATGTCCAGACGGTGGAGATAGATTAATGAGGAGGAGACGGAAACCTACGGAAACGTGTTTAGAAGTTGCTCAGGGGTGATGGAAAAATATCTCGCCTATTGCCGAATCCATCCGCTGTCCCGATATGGGCATCACCGCCCGTTTTGATTGCTAACATCCGTCTCACAGTAATGAAAGATGTGAGCTACAGGCTGCGCAAAAACAATCTACAGATAACGGTTTGTCATCCGTCATTCATTTCGCTTCTGATTAAATCATGAGCACCACGAACCGTGAGGACTATCTGCTTTGAGTGTGCGACGACTCAGTTTCATGAAGATATTATGGATATGCAAAGCAGAATATCAGAGAGCCTAAATTTTCCTGTTTTAGAGTCGCGACAAGGACGCCGACGACTATTTTGAGTCTCGGACGGCGGATCGGCCCGTTTATCCCGCCAAGACCAAAATAAACCTTGGACCCCCTATCCCCATCTTCCATCCTTACGCCCATCACGCCGTCTCTCTCGACAGCACCATACGCTCTTTAACAGTCGCCACCATGCCTTTCACCACTGCCGTCGACTCTGCCCACTCATTTCTTCACGAATGCCTCGTCATCATCCTCATTGCATACCCAGTCCTCCTCTTCCTCGTCCGTGTCTATCCACAGAACCTCATTTCCCCGGTCTTCCTCTTAGCATTGACGACAATGTGTACCTTTGTAGTATCCGCGGTACTGAGCGTCGTTATCCTGATGTTCCACCCACCAGAGAGTAGAGATGTTGAGGGTTGTCGCGACGAGAAACTTGTCGCACCGATGATTGTTATATCGGAGCATGATGAGGATGAGAAGTTGTGAGTACCTCAGTTACGTTCTGTGTTCTGGTTTCTCGTTATCTTATGCCACGATGCAGATGAGCATATACCTGGTTTTCTTTGGGTTTAGGGTCGAAATACTGGCCTCACATTCATTTCACGTTAGGCGTTAGCTGGGCTTTTATGTCTGTCAGAATTCAAATTTCTAGGGTGATTGTTGTGCGAAGGTGTCACTGCAAGTCGCAGAACGCTCCGGGATATCGAATCGCCGTTGTTATTTTCGAACTGTATCGCCAGAGAATGTTCCTTAGAACCGGCGAGGTAGTATTAGCTGTCCTTCGTCGTCTAGGAAGAAAAGGACGGTGTGCACCTTTCACCTCTGTTACGATCACCGGATAATTAATCACTTGGATGACTTGATGGTTGGTAGCGAATAGGGTTAGTAAATTTATACTATTTACTATTTTTTTAACCCCCATTCCTGGAGAGGCTTGACACCAAGCTTACTTGGAAACATTTATATAGCTGGTCCACCCGGATTGCGACCATTCATCCAGCCTGCTAACTCGAGCAGGATATTCATCTTTGACGTCGGAGAACGTCAGCGTAAGGATCACTCAACTTGCACATGCTCGAACTTCGACGAACTGCCCGACTATTTTCTCCTGGTTTCTAAAGAAATTTCTGAAATTTGGTTTTGGTCGCCTCTGGCATTTTAAATTTCTGAGTGCTACTCGCTCCAGCAAGGTGGGGTCACGAGACCGTGAGTCGCGATTCTCAGACATTCCACCGCCTCCTTTTCTTTTCTTTTCATCTCCGGAACACCAACACCAACCTTCATTTTTCGCTGATTTACCCGGAAACCATGGGTCAATACTGGAACATCATTAATATCGACAGACGCGAGCATCTCGGACACTGGGGTAATTGGGCGAGTTCTTTGAAGCCACCGAAAGCTTGCGCATCATAATCCTTTTGGCGGACACGTGGAAAGGCTGCCGTATCATATGTGCTGGAGACTATATGACGGATAGTCCCCCAAACGTACTCACCTCTGAAGAACTCGCTGAGATCGAGAGTCTCCCTGAGGACATTGAGACCGGGCGTGGGAGGACGTTATATACGTTGGCGACTGAGCATTACAAGCATCGAACCCATTGGAATAGAAGTTTCGACTTGGGCGGGACGGTCTTGAGGAATCGGACAAAGCGTGTTTATGTGCGGCGGGACGCGGTAGTGGAGGAATTGGCGGAGTATGGTGGTGATATTGGCAGCGTACTGCTTGCTAACATCTCCTGGTCGAATGACTCGTCGTGTGCGATGAGAGTGGATCTTTCTAGAGGCGCGTGGGCGGGAGATAGGCTTGATGTAGTGCCATTGTGGGCGGTGGAGAATAACGAGGAATGGGAGGATGTGACGGAAGACCAGGTCAAGCTTACTAGGTTTGCTATTAGCTGTAACCGCTGATTTGTTCTGTCTTTTATCTGCTATTTGATCATGAATCGTATCTCTTGTTATTTTTGAAGGATCAACAAGGTATGCAGTGTGAACTGTATAGATCCGAATTACCCAAAGTATTCTAGTGTCCATGCCGCACATCCCAAACAATCAACCCTGTTCGTCACGAACAGCGGATTTGGGTGATGTCCCCATCTGTGAACTATATCATACACAGTCGACTGTCATTTTACCATAGCGTCCAACGCAAACGTTAAGGAGCTCCCATGGCAGAACCTTGTACTACCTGAAAGGCATCAGGACTATAATCCGCGAGAAAGGTGCTATTACACTTACGTTTACCGTTTGCAAGGTATACCTTTCATCCTAATTCTCCGCGCTACCCGCTATAGCTAAGTCGAATTCGTTACATCTATAGACGAAGATTGCGTCAAGACGCGAAAAGTTCATCTATCCTAAAATACGTTCAGCCGGAGCCAAGAACGGGTTGGTCGGTCCCAGTATCACGTTCCTCAAGGCAAAAAGTTATAACCGTAGATGTCGGTGGCTGACCAGAGGCATTACCTGTTGAACACTAAGAATTGGCACGTAGTTTTTTGAGGAAACAGAAATGACCCCCACCAGATTAACTGTAGAATTCGGTTGATCGGTTAGCCGATGATGAGAGTGCGTTCTCAAATCAGCTCGAGCCATACGTACCAAAGGTAAGCTCGATAACGGCTGAAAAAACTACAGTAGCCATCAATCTCCAACCATTGTTGACAATCGACGGCAAGCCCGAACATTGGGCCGTTTTCACCAGCTATGTTGACAGTCGCGAGCAAGTTTATTGCCTGTTGATCTCACAGGCATAGCGACAGCCTGAAAAGTCTCGTGCTATACATGACAGACGTTCAGCGAAAAGAGAAGTTGGTCTCGAAAGGCATGGGTAAGGATCTGGGTATTGTTATTGTCAGCGGCGATGCGAAGTTCGAAAGTCGAGTAAAACTTGCCATACTAGCTCGGTGCTCAGCCCTTGATACCGAAGATATTTGTTTCCTTTATTCTTGCTGCTTGTCAGAATCGAGGATGGCGGGGGAAATGTTGGTACCAAGTACGGCCGTGATGATCACGGTCAGAAACGTGTTGATCGGCTTAATCGGCGACCTGCTTGATTTGGTACTTCCGTCATCAACGTCAGCTGCTTCACCCGTCCATTTCTTGCGACGTTATCAAGGGCCTTTCAAAGCTGGCACTGCGATTAAGTATCTGTTATCTTCTTGAAGATGATCAACGTTCATTGTTGCGGCTGGCGTTCGGAACAACGATGCAAAGCACTGGAGCTGTAGAGGAAGAATACCCCCAAGAGTGATATAAGTGAGCTCCCAGAATGGATTCCCTCTTATTGATCTAGGATTGTGTATTGACAACGTCCAATATTTTCTAAGATCTAAGGGTGGCCGGCGTGCTGCTCGCCGCCGTTGCGCCATTTTCTCAGCATGTGCTCTCAGACTTTATCCTGCAGTCAGCTTCCTTCTTGTACGACGCTCGTACACTTCCCATCCGCAAAATTTTGGATGCTGCCTGGAATAGCATGTACGAGGGCGAAGAAGATACAACGTGAGTGAGAATACTAGCTTGTGTACGTGCTTGTCGTCTCTCAAATACTCAAATACCCCGTTCTAACAGCCGTTTCAGAACTAGAAAGGCGCTCTTCTATCTGCTCATGATGATATAGCGATCGCAAAGCATCAATTCTATTCAAGGTTGCTCATCCTGGATTAAGTATCGATAACTTGCAGAGACGCGGAGTAAACCCTGCCGCCATGAGTACGGTATGACCGGAGACCTTTGTACGTCCTTTTTGAATGTCTCAAATGCAACAACTCATTATCCTCTTGCCAGCCAGAGTGCCACCTCAAAGCAAGCCTGAGAGACAAAGAGATATCGACCCCACATTTCTGATCGCCACAGCCTAGATCAATACTATTACATGTGTTATAACCAGAAGCACAGTGAACGACGATGAGTGACAACAAGTCCATTGGCCTTCTCACACGCCGTACATTCTCGAACTGATCATCTGTCTATAGACACCTGACTCGTATATACAACCCTCGGTTCAGAGTCCGTGTGGACGCAGAACTTCCCATACCCGGGGGAAGAGATGCCATCAATAACTCTGATGGGTGTTCATGGATGGTCACCGGTACATATTGTGGGCTGGAACTGGGAAGGTATGCTCAACTACATGAGAAAGGTACGCGTTTCGGAACAATTATGCTCCCCAAAATCCAATGCCTGCCGAGTCGGAGGCTTTCTCAGCACGTAACGGCCAAAAATCCGCAAGGGGCGTGCAACCCGATGATGACTATCGCGGATATAGCGGGGTGATTGTCAAATCGTCTAATGAGCATCTATTATTATAAAATATCCTATCCTATCCCCGATTCAAAGGCAGTAAAGCTAACGGGATCTGGATCACTCATTTCGTGAGTAATGAAGTTCGACCCCATCCCATTATTCGGTACACAAACCCGTCCAACTGTACCCAGACCCTTTTACTCATCTGTTTCATAGGAAGGACAACTGACCCATTCACTCAGCCGGCAATTGACGCGAGATATTCTTCGTTAGACTGGGACCTCGATGTCCAGATCATCAGCTCCCGTGTGTCTCGAACTATTCTTACCAGTCCTCCACTCAGGTCAGCGGTGTTTTGAGGCCGTAATCGACTTTTTTAAGGCCGTAGTCGACTTGAGTATTTATGATGAATTGTATAGCGACCTCTTGACCAGCGATTCTATCCCGGGTAAATCAGATCCCGAAGATGGCGGCCGCAATAGCGAAGAGGATTGGAGATCATGTACTCTCAGCGGCTTCACGGCAGTATCACACCCAATTGGCACACTGGACATGGAGAAATATAGTCTTGGTGGTGCGTTGAAAGTTTCTTTTTGACTTACACTATCTGATCGTCGCGCAGGCGTTGTCGACTCTCAGCTCAAAGCTTAAGATACGTTTAACGGTGGTGTTGCTGACGCTTCTGTTCCTTTACACAATAATGCTCATTTTGCGGTAGGGCTCCAAAAAGCGGCAGATCTAATCAAGGACTCGTATTGAGTGTCTCGATGTCCTACACAAAAATAGCATACCAGTAATAATGGTTACACCAGAGGCAGGATGTGCAATGAAGTTGCGCCCTGGATGCCCCTTGGAGCTGTTGGGTATGTCCTGTGAACACGAAGAACTTCTCGGGTGTTTGGGACATACTAGTGTTCAGATGATCCCACCACGGGCTGGATACTTAATTCAAGTCATGAGCAGGGCTTCTCGGGAGCTTCATCACGCATGTGCCTGTACGGCGTAGGTGAAGTAGCCGAGAGGTAATAATTAGCTCTACTCTCAACCACGTTGGTCTCGTCTTGCCGTCGTGCCTGGAACCATCCCGTGGATTGGGGGTGTCTGGAATTCTGGATACAATTATATATAAACTACATTAATGGATTGAAGTTTCCCCATCGAACGAAATCGCCCTCTCTTTCGATACATCCAACATGTACTTCTCTCTCGCTTTTATCATTTTTGGCTTCGCGCTTGTCAGCCCTGTCTTGTCCCGTATGCGTTCTATATTGATATAACCATTATGCTAACACTACTGTAGAAGAAGTTTGCCCTGGGCAGGTCACCCTCAGCGAGTCTTATATTGGCGTGGACAAGAACGTCAAGGTCGAGACTGTGTCATGCCCTGAGGGGTCTCTCACTAGGCGTGGCGACGTGGTTTCCCGCCAAGCTCCTGTCACGAATGTTTGTGGAGCGCAGTGTAAGTCTATCTGCATATTCTGTATGTGGGAGCTTGGGTTGATGTAGACGACTAGGCAACACATTCTGTTTCACTCCCAGTGGTGGTGGACCGGATCCTAACGATTGTCACGTAATTGCTGATGCACTTCGCTTTGACGGTGTTAACATTGGTGCGTTTCTCCTTGATTCAAGGAATTTCTCCGAGTTCACAGTCAGATAGGGAACCTCTTCGATATAAACAACGGTGTACGCTCTGATTAAAATTTAGATCATTGCTGTCCAGAACCTGAACATATTTCCAGACTACTGGCAACGTCGTCGTCATGAGCTATATTAGTTGCCTGTCCTTCTTTGCCAATCAAATCAACGGAGTTATGCAGTACTGTCGTGATGATTGGGTATGACGACGGATCTTTGTTTGCTGTGATCCATTAACTCACTTCCGCTATAGGCATCTGTCATTGATTTCGTTGCTCCTAATTGCCAATCTACCCAGAATGCGCATGGTGGAGACTGCCTCGCCGCCGATGGAACGTGGTTTATCCAGTGAGTTTTTCCATGGCTACTATAGCAGACGTGTTCTTTAATTGAGTGCGAATTTCACTACAGGGTCCAGCATTCTTAAAACAGTCGGCCGTCTGAGCGTTTGGGATGAAGTAACAATACAAGGACAGCCACAAGCGAAAGAATTTCAGATACTTGAACATGCGTAGTACCACTTTGTCTCTCCCGTTACCAATTAGCAATGAATGTGTTTAAACTACATTTCACGAGCTTGACTAAGGAATATGGGTAGGTGGGTGGATAGGGGACTGCACAGAGTAAACATACCGTGTATATAGCATGGCTAGAATGACTATCTTGGTTATATACGGCCAGATTCTGCAGGTCAGTGAACATTCACCTTTGCTAGTGTCTCCCATGACACTAATATGTTGCTCCAAGGAACGATACGGGCGCTCTCAGTGTCACAACAGGATATTAAGATGTCCAGCGATCAAAACGGGGGAGGACGAGCAAAAATTCCGATGTTTCTGCATCAAGCTTGAGCCGAAAAAAATGTGATACGGTGCAACACGTACGTCGCCCATGTATCACGCCACGCTGACGGATTGACAAAAAAAGCAAAGGCCACTCCTGGCCCATATCGATGATCATGAAAACGAAACAGTTTTTAAATTCGAACATTCACACAAGAAGGCGTAGGTGCTTTGTATATTTGACATTCTCTTGGAGACCGCTGCTACGGGCTAATGACTCGCAAAAATACGCAGGAATTATACTAGACAAGAGTTTGTTGGGTAATTGATGAGCATTTGCTTCAGTCAGCCACCAGGCCAGTGCAGGAGTCCGCCGTAAAGGAAGTCGAATAATAGGGAAAGTGCCAGTTGGATCAGTGAGAAGAAATGCAAGACCAAGCAAACGTCTAGGAAACCTGAGGACCCGAGGAGCTTGCGATGCTCTTAAACATGCCCAATTTTTGAAAGGAATGAGTGCCTCGATGAAAAACGTTCTCTCCCGCCTTTACGACATTGAACGAGGTCGCGTCTCGGTCTTTCACGGAGAAATTCACCAAGAATAGTTTCCCAAAGATAGTTATAGCATTGAATAGCAAAACACGATAGACATGTATATGAGATCTGTCTAAGCGTCAGACAAAAGAAAAAAGAGAAAGCACAAGAACGCACGGATTATTCGATTACAGCCCCATGCGGACGGTTGAACTACAGCAGTGAACTAGAGGAGATCAGGCGAGATGCGTTAAGGAAGGAAAGAGACTTATGTGATACCAGAACTTCCTGGTCCCAACCCATGTCTATAACCAGTCTCCACGGAAGCGCTCGGCCTTCTTTAAGATAACAAAAGGCGGCCGGTTGAAAATGGTGTCGAGGGAGCTGGCGTGCCATACCAGCGTTGGTTTTCCTTGTTCCCTTGGTGAGGGGTATGTTTCATCGCAGCTATTGGAGAGATGAGAATGCAAATGTATGAAGAAGGTGCCACCGCTTACTGGTCTTCTACTTCAGGCTAGAGACTTGGCTCTTAAAGGTCTCTTCCTCGTGCGCTGATATTTCGGCTTTCGTTTCTCGTTTTGGTGCAGGTTCGGGAAGGCGCGGTGAAGGGCGAGGATCAGCTGTAGAGATCGCTGTCAAAGGCCAAGTAAGGCAACTGATTGCCTCGTTGAATTTGGAAGTCCCAATGCCGTTTGACAATGTGTCGACTCCTCTCCAATGAGCCCGCCTTGTCGATGCTGTGATCTGGAAACTGAATCGAGGAATTGGATTCTTTTCCAAACAGTCGAACGCACTCGGATTTCATCAACCAGGGTGACTCAAAGTGAAGAACAAACGCAAGACATCGCGATTTCGTGTCCTGATGGCGAATAAATGCTGTATACTTTTGGGACACGTAGATATGAAGATGTCGATGTCTAGGAGCCCTAGGGATGGCGCTGAGCAATGTCGCACACAACGATAGAGCCAAAGCACGTACCTTGAAAAACCAAAGCGTTTTTCACGGCAACGAGAGTCCTTGAAATTTCAGAAAGTTTCTTCAGCATCATCTGTACTTCTCTTGCGAGCTGCCTACGCGAATAATGTCGGTGCAAAGAGAGCAGACCCTGGGTATGCGACAATTAGCGACGGCGCGCGCAATCATGAAATTCAAACCGTACCTGCGCCTCATATTTTTCTCCCCGGGATCTCGAACTATATATTTTCCACCATTCTGCAGTCATCCAGTATCATTGTCGCGTGAGTCCGCCATCATCGAGGTCGTCGTTGGCGGGTTCGTGACCAGCCAAGTTCTAGAAGTTGCATATATGCCAAGTGTCTCCCCGCAGGACCTTTGGCCGTCTACTAGAATGCACCATCCTGAAGGTGACGCGGCGAGCTGGATGAAATACGAACATATTGACATTGGCGTTGGTGGGGCTGATGGTGGTACGAAGCAGAAAAGGAAATCGACTGAATTTCAAAATCGTACCTGCCTCCTGCTCTCATGTTTGTTTGACGCTTCCTAGACCCACACAAAAGTGATTGGGTAATATACGCACAATTACTGAAAAACACTAGAAGTCCTAAGTAGTACGTGTCGTCGTTATCCTTTGTTGAGCAAAGGTCTAACGCGTTGTCACGCCTTTTCTTACCTAGGATCTTCATTGTATTATCCCAGAAAAATATCAATGCTTTCCAGTGAACAAGCGAGAACTTAAGGGATCTCGATCAGTCCTTCAGAACCATGCGCCATTATCTATCGCCAGCCCAGGTAAAATTTTCGTTGACGCCCTAGAAGGCTTACCCGATTCTACTTTGTCTCAGATCACCCCAGCCAGTGGGCCAAAAATCAAAACTATCAGATCGAGGTCATAATATACAAACATAAGCACGTGTTCGGACCTCCAAGCGTGCCTCACAGTGTACTTCGTTCGCCTTCGGAACACAGCGGGTTCCCTCCTTTGAGGGAGGCATCAGTTCCCGTGCACGGCCATGGTTCGCCGACGCTGGCTGTCGGTTAGCTAGCTGTAGCCTCGAATTGGTGGTTTACGATGAGTCACCCTTCGTGGGCAAAGTCGTCTACCCTTGACGCATGGGTGTGTGCGCTTGATAGCGAACAATGGATTTTTTTGACTAAGTTGCAACCAGGTAATTTCTCCTCAGCCTTTAGGCGTTGCGTGTGAATAAGAGACTTCACATATTACTCATGCTCTCCAGCCTGTCTTCCAGTAGTGCTTGACGGATTCCTTGGGGGTGCGTGGACGTATTAATTCGACATCCTCGTTGCTATATTTACGTTGTTAGTTAGCGACAAACGTGATCGAGTGCTGTCCCCCCCTCGAGCATTACTCACAATTGTATTTTGGCTCAATACTCAGCGAGAGCTATCGCAGTCGATTCAATTTACATGCAGCACGCGTAGAAACTTTGTTAAAGTTAGGCTTTCTGTCCATGGTGTCCGGTGCATTTTCTTCTCCAATGATTCCAAAACAAAATCAGATTCAACGGTAGGCCTGCCGGTCTTGATGGTATTTACTTTTGAGTTTTGCTAAGGCCTTTCTCCTCGCTGTTTGTAATGACAATATCGCTTATCGTGTTATTTTCACAGGTGAACCTTTCTACCACGTACACAAGATCTTCGCCTGTGCGACCAATACGCCATTTTGTTCGAATCAATTACCACAACGTGTTTCATTACTGCACAGTAGGCGTCATACGAAGCCTCACTGCGGATAACTTTCGGAAGGCGAAATAAGCACCGCGCGTCGTGGTTCTCACGCTGGACATAAGGACCCTTCAGCATATCTCAGCGTGTTCCCTCCAACCGGCACTACCAAATGTCGCTCATTTCGAGAAGTCTTACACGTTGAGGCGCTACTAACGGGACTGGGACTGTGGATGGCAGCACAAACACTTTTCCCCGAACAGACTCCCCGCCGGCAGAGCCAGAGCCGGATAGCACCGCTGTCCCCATCAACCAGACGGAATACGCTGGGAGATGTCGGGAGCTTGTGGAGTTGTATTGAGTTTTATCGCGTTTTTCAACTCTTCAAGCCCTAGGGTTTGCATTCGTTACCTCCTGCCGACATATGCTCGCATACGCATCTGCCACGATGCAGTGCGGATAGGCTGTTCCTGACGTTGCCAAAGATCATAGTTATCGGTGGCTAATCTAGCACGTTGTTCCTTGATTATTGACGCGAAAGCCATACTGATTCATGTCTGTGAACAGCCAGAAAGAGCTCATTGGCAAAAGTCGTCTCCGGACTACGTTTACGACCTTCATTCCCCCGCTAAATTCTCTCATTATCATCTAGATCAATGTCCTCGCCTCGCAACAGTGGGACTTGTACCAGGTGAATGCTTCTCAAAACTTGCTATACTAGTTCGGTGCTCAGCCCTTGATACCGACGAGATTTGTTTCCTTTATCCTTGCTGCTTGCCGAAATCGAGGGTGGCGGGGGAAATGTTGGTACCAAGTACGGTCGTGACGGTCACGATCAGAGACGTGTCGCTGCGAATTGATCGGCGACCTGCTTGATTTGGTACTTCCATCATCAACATCAGCAGCAGCAGCAACCGTCCATTTCTTGCAACGTTATCAAGGACAATTCAAAGCTGGCACTGCGATTAAGTATCTGTTCTCTCCTTGAAGATGATAAACGTTCATTGTTGCGGCTGGCGTTCGACATTTCGGAAAAATGATGCAAAGCACCGGGCTATAGAGAAAGAATACCCCCAAGAGTGATATAAGTGAGCTCCCAGAATGGATTCCCTTTCATGGATCTAGGATTGTGTATTGACAGCGTCCAAGGTTTTCCTAGACTTAAGTGTGGCGAGTATGCTGCGAGCCACCGTTGCGCCATTTCTCGGCATCTGCTCTCAGACTTTATCCTGTAGTCGGCTTCCTCCTTGTGAAATGCTCGTAAATTCCCTATCTGCGGACTTTCGGATGCTGCCTGGGATAGCATGCATTAAGTATGTATGAAGGCGAAGAAGATACTACATGAGTGGATATGCTAGCTTGTGTACGTGTTCACCGTATCTCCAATGCCCAGTTCTAACGGCTGTTTCAGAATCTAGAATGACGTCCTTCTATCTGTTTATGATGTCATCGCAATCGATAAACATCAATTCTATTCAAGGTTGCTCATCCCGGATTAAGTATCGATAACTTGCAGCGATGCGGAGTAAACGCTGTCATGGGTGCGGTATAACCGGAGACCTTTGTACGTCCTTTTTGAACGGCTCAAACACGACAACTAATTCTTCCCCTTGCCAGCCAGCCAGAGTCCCACCTCATTGCGAGAGAAGAAAAGCTATCGACATCACGTATCTGACCTCCACGGCTTAGGTCAATACATGTACGACGACGAGTGACAATTGGCCCGTTTCTCACACGCCATACATTCTCGGACTGAACATCTGTCTATAGACACATGACTCATATATACACCCTTCGATTCAGAATCCGGGGAAATCTGTCTAGAATCGTTGAGATGTCATTAATAACTGTGATGGGTGTCTATGGATGGTCATCGGCACATACTGTGGGCTGGAACTGAAGGTATACTCAACTACATGAGAAAGGTACGCTTTCGGGGTTATTCTGCTTGTTGCTGTTTGACCAATCCGATGCCTAGTCGGAGGCTTTTTCAGCACTTAACGGCCAATATTCCGCAAAGGGCGTGCGATCCGGATACGGCGGACTTGTTTAAATGACATGCCTCGATGAGATGTGTACGGCAGACCTCGGCAAGGTGATTTCGTCAACAAATCGTCAATGTATTAAGCATCCATTATTTCCCCAATTCAAAGGCGAAGCCAATGTGGTCTCGATCACTCCTTTCGTGAGTAACCAAGTTTGACCCCGTCCCATCATTTCACTAAATAATACACGTAGACTGACTTCAATTGGGACGACGGTGATCACCGTCCTTCATCTGTTCAGGCATGCCCTAGCCCTGTCGAAAGTGTACGATCTAGTTGGCTCACCCTTGCTGAGCATCAGTACAATTTGACAATGCACATGGGACATCGGTCTGTAATCGCCATGATAGGCTCCTAAGTTCAATCGGGACAACATCGGGAGCATTCCCTTGACTGCATTTGGTGTTGAGTTTGCTCATGCAAACCGAGAGTCCACCGAATATGCTACCACTGCTAACGAAGAGGAAATTATTGCATGCAGTTCCATCCAGGCTTGTTCAGTGTCTTGGTTATTCAATAATTCTGCTGTATTGACTTTTCATTTCAGTTTCCTGTGCTACTTCATATTCTTGGAGTCAACGGCTCCGACGTCCTAGGACATCTATTTCAAGATGGCCGGCAAAATCTCTAGGAGCAAGCACTTGCCATCATCACGCTAATGTTACCTAGGCACGCCTTATTTATTATTCTTAGACCATCCCTTGGCACTAACAGTAATTTCGACTATGGAGGTCGTGGACCTTCAGATGTGCTCGATCAACCAGAACAGTAAGTTCTCAGATGGCATCCGTATGTTAATTAACATTATATATCAGCACCCACCGTTCTCTTCTTCGGCAGTGGTTTCCCAGAGTAAGCTTGACTATTCAATTCGTGCCATTGATTCTAACGCTTTTTCAAAGTGCTTGGTATCGATCAACAGTAGCAGCAGTAACTTTACCCATTTAGCAGAAGAACCGCCCAAATCTTGGTTAGCAAAACTGTCTAACTATATCCGGATCCTTTCACTCTTCTGTACAACGGACCCATTAAGCCGGCAATCAAAGCGAACTTTCCCCGTTGAGTGGGACCTCGATTGATGTCCAGATCGCCCGCTCCCGGCTGTCTCGCACTATTTTCTACCAGTCCTTCACTTAGGTCAGCGGCGTTTTGAGGCCGGAAGCGGCTTGGTTGTTCATGACGAATTGTATAGTGACCTCTAGACCGGCAAGTCTATCCCGGGGAACTCAGTTCCTGACAATGGCGACCAAAAAGCATTGGAGATCGTGGATGCCCAATGGCGTCGCGACCGTGTTGCATTCATTTGGGATTTAACATGATGAAACGTAGTCTGGGTGGTGCGCTGAATGTTTCCTTTGATTTACACTATTTGATTGCCTTACATGTGTTGTCGACTCTCGGCTCAAGGCTTATGACACCTCTAACTTTCGCATCGTCAACGCCTCAGTTGCGTCTTTACACATTAACGCTCATCTTGCGGTAGTGCTGTATGATTTTGCCAACAAAACGGAAGATGTAATCAATGCCTCGAATTCGATGCTCTGCACAAAATCAACATACAATTAATAATGGTCGTAGTACAATGAAATGGTGTCCTGGATGCCCCTTGGAGCTGTCGGGCTCGTATGACCCTCAAACACGAAGGACCTCTCAGGTGTTTGGAAGGTTCAATTGTCCAGACAACTCCACCACGCGCTCGATACTTAACTTAAGTCACGAGTACTGCTACTCGAGAACTTCATCACACATGTGCTTGCCCGGCATAGATGAAGTGGCGCAGAGTTAATATTTAGCTCTATTCTCAACCACGTCGGTCTCGTCTTTCCGTAGTGTCAGGAACAATCTCGTGGACTGGGGTTGTCTGGAACTCCGGATCCAACTATATAAACCATGGTAAAGGGATTGAAGCTTTCTCATCGAACGAACTCTCCCTCTCTTTCGATATATCAAACACCATGTACTTCTCTCTCGCTTTTATCCTTTCTGGCTTCGCGCTCATCAGCCCTGTCTTGTCAGGTATGTGTTCTGAATTGGCATAACAATTGTGTTAACGCTTCTTGCAGAGATTTGCGAAGGGCAGGTCACTCTCAGCGAGTCTTATATTGGCGTCGACAAGAACGTCAAGGTCGAGACTGTATCATGCCCTGAGGGGACTCTCGCCAGGCGTGGCGACGTAGTATCCCGCCAAGCTTCTGTCACGAATGTTTGTGGAGCGCAGTGTAAGTCTACCTGTATACTCTATATGTGGAAGTTTTGGTTGATGTAGACGACTAGGCAACACATTCTGTTTCACTCCCAGTGGGGGTGGCCCGGATCCCAATGAGTGCCATGTAATTGCTGATGCACTCCGCTATGAAAGTGTAAACACTGGTGCGTGTCTCTTTGATTGAAGGAATTTCTCTGAGTTCACAGTCGAATAGGAAACCTCTTCGATATTGCTAATGGCGTACGCTCGCATTCAATTCTAGATCATAGATCCTAACATATTTCCAGACAACTGGCAACGTTGTCGTCATGATTTATAACAGCTGTGAATCCTTCTTCGCCAATCAAATTAATGGGGTCATGGAGTATTGTCGTGATGATTGGGTATGATGACGGATTTTGGTTTGCCGTGATCTATTAGCTCACTGCTTTCTTTCTCCACTATAGGCATCTGTCATTGACTGGGTGGCTCCGAACTGCCAGTCTACCCAGAATGCACATGGTGGAGACTGCCTCGCCGCCGACGGAACATGGTTTATCCAGTGAGTTTTTCCGTGGCTACTTAAGGTGTTCTTTAACCGAGTGCGAATTCCACTTCAGGGTTCAGCATTCCAGTTAAAACAGTAGGATGAAAGTAACAATACAAGGACAGCGAATTTTATGTGTTAAATGAAAGAATTGCGCGTACTTGGACATACGTAGTACCACTTCGTCTTTCTCGTTACCGATTAACAATCGATATGATTAAACTATATTTCCTTTCCTGCAAAGAAATACAAAGGAGATAAAAGCAAGCTACGGACATTAAAGAAATCGCTACAATGTTCGCTACCCCAGCTGGTCTCATTCCAAGCAAAATTCAGCAAGTTCACCCTTTCTGAAATCCCATACCCCGCAAAATTAAATACAGACACTCTGCAGAGTTCAACAATCTGATCCAACTGGCGTTCTTGACCATTGAACAAACAATCGTCGTCAAATCGAGGTTGTACTAGCGTATATGTCCAACTCTGTAATTTTGTAACAGAGGGTTAGGAGCCACTTTCAAGCCTGGAGCTAGGGTATTCTCTAGGTTCGAAGGGAAGGCCCAGGCTTGTCGCATCAACCTAGATATAGATAGACGGTAGCACTTTGGATGTAGAGGACGCCAGCAGCCTGTACTCGTCATGATGTAGAAGCTGAAAACAAGACCAAGAGATGATTAAGTACCTACGAGGAATTTGCGATGCCGTGGATTGAGTGGTGTCAGCACTAACTTCGGATAGCTTCAGGGATTTTGAGCTGGTTTCGAAGCTTCCGGCCGTCATATACTATTCACAAGAAAGCGATAAGATACTAGTCTTTCTCAGGGTACGAAAGGACTCACTTTAATTCTCCCTCAGCACAGTGCATGAAGGTAAAGGGCTTTAGGACATGGGGAATCTTTACGCATATGAGATATTGGTTCGTCGCCTTCGCTTTGTCAATTTCATCGTTCCATGTGTGCGCTTCAGAGTTTTCGGCCGAGTGACTGTTCTCCCCACCTTGGTTCCGATATTTCTTGGTGGAGATGACTGATATTAGTCGAGGAACTGCTACGTAGTCGAACGTGATAGCGACTGGGGATTTTGTGCTTTCGGGGTGCTGTTAAATATAGGCCGCTTTCATGCTTTTGATGCTATCAATGTTGGCTTCTATTTCCATGCTCGCCAGAGCCACGATAAAGTGACGATCGCGAGGCGCAAGTGTTGGAGGTACACCTTCTGTCGATTACTCATTATATTATTATTAAAGCTCCTCTGTACCCACGAATACTTTACCTTCTCGTGATCATTGAACGTCCAGGCATTGAGCTCGATGCCCAGCTCCAGTGAAAATTTTTGGCATTCACGCGAGCAATAATATTGATGCTTGCATCCGAGGCATACCTTGAGTGTAATTGAATCGCTATTCTGTGTAGTAGAGCACTAGTGCTGAAGGTCAATCGGGATGGACTTAGACTGTGTAAGTGCTATTTGAATATACCTCAACGTTCGAACAGTGCTTGTATGCAATTGGAGAGTCGGCGTAAGATATTCGCATACCCCATTAAGCCTGTACCCTTCGCTCCAGAGCCAAGAAAGCGATCCATGCCTTTCGATCTTCTTGACAATCGTCATATCGTACGAACCATTTCGCGTTTCGGATGCGTACTATGGAATACATGGCCTCATGCAGGACGGATCGATATACAAGGTAGCAGTTAATGGTGTTGTAAAGGTCCACGAGACGTTTCTCGAAGGAGGTCCAGGGAAACGATCGCACGGAAGTTGATAAAGGGAGATATGTGTTGGAGTTTAGGTGGTGGCGACTCGGAAAGAGGACGTGGTTGACTCGAAAGGCAGGTATATTCTGTCGTAGGTACGGAGACAGTGGGTGGTCGGAGTCAAGATACGATCGGTACGAAAATGTCAAAGTAAAGTAAAATGGCAAATAGGTATAAATAAGATGTAGCGTTGAAGCCGTGAAATCAAACCTTCAATAATATGACGTTGCTTTAAGCAAATAATCCAGTGCCTTGTAGTGCAGGGCCTCGGAGACATGTTCGTGAGATCCTTCATTCCAAAAGGTTTCCTGGAAAGCGAAAGCACAGCGTGTCGAGCAAAACATCATAAGGGTGGGGTCGTATTTTGGAAACCGGGAGGCGATACAACCTAGGGCATGGCACACCCAACGCGTACTTCTATGCTTAAGAAAGATACATCGAAAATGATGGGATGACCGCACAACAAAGTGGATGAAAGTGATAGCGTGCATAAATAATATAGACTGGGAGATGTCCTGCAGATGGCTGACAGTGGGAGCGCGGGCACGGCCCGGTTCCTCCGCGATCACGTGTAGCATATCCGTAGTTTCCCGCTTGTCCGTAGTTACTAGCAGTCGTCGGTTGACAACACCAATACCTTGCTTTTGCGGTTGTCGTCTAAGTATTCCCATTTTTCAGTGTTTCTTTGAAACGTATAATCCCGATCCAAGCCTTCCATTATTAAGGTACATTAAGCCTTGAGCTTGAGTACCTAAGTGCGGGACTTCTTAATCTCGCCTTTCTCAAACCCCCCTGCCTTGTCCTGCCTTTCTCTTGTTCTTGGTTGATTGTACAACAGTGCAATCTCGTTTTCAAAAGGTCGTCGGGTGCTTTCTTGAATCTCGTTCCGTACAGTGTCCTGGAGGTCCGGATGGCATTTAGATATGTAGTAGTACAGGTATGGCCGCTGGGTCGCTATGACGAGATTGATTGCAAACTGTGGGTGATGTCAAGTTGCAGTTGAGGGAAAGCTGAGAGAAAGTGCCTCTGCCTTACATTGTGATGTTCGAATATCTGATTGATTTGTTCCATGTCGAGTTCCTGTGCGATGTCTTTCCCGTCGTAGAAAGACATAGCGTGGCCGCTCAGAAGGAAAAAGGAAATATTAGCATCACACGATTGCCACCTCTTAGTCATCACATCGTTATGCACAGCAGAGACCTTGCAAGCAAGGTAATCATCACTAGCGATTCCCCATTCCCTCTCTTGGACCTAGCGATATGGTTCCAACAGCTGTGAACAATGACGCTTTGACATGATCAGGAGGAACCAAGTGGAGGGTCGATGAGATTTTGGTCTGCTGCTCCACAGATTCTAGCACTTGTCTAGCACCCCGCTCATCATCTTGGAAACTCGGAGCTCGAAATGGAAGTTCTGGACATTGGAAAATATGCGAACCCAAATTCGCATCATGCAAGAACAAATTGACGTGTCGAAACACTCTGGAGCGCATACGGGGAGCGTATAAGAGAGTCCCGATGGAGTCCATTACTGCCATTGCAGTGGGAGTTAGGACGTCAAGGAGTTCGGCGTACAATGCGTCGTCATCCCCTGCAACAGTTACAAAATGAGTTTGGAAAAAGGGTTCTGCCCAAATCCAAAGATCAGGCCACATAGACGTGAGGGTAACAGAGTTTCTGTGATAACGCAGCACATCGTGTTCCAATGAGGTATTCAAGGCTGTCAGACTGCGGTGAATTGTTTCGATCTCGTCTTTGCGTGGAGATATGCGGGGGTCCATGTAAGTTGTAGGCAAGGGAACTGAATGAAGGTCACAACGAACTCCTTTGATGATATCTGCGAAGGCCGATTTGGTCTGATATTGGGTTGACAGAGCGGCAAGGCTGTCCAACGACCCTTGTGCCGCTGTATTCTACAGTCGTAATGAGCTTTCCGCTGAAGTAGTTGAAGGATGTAAAATATTTTTGCTATTTCTTTCAGCATTGAAAAAGTGAAATACCTGACAGTAGTAGCCGCGATAATGGTTCGATGGCCGTCCTTTATCAATTTGTTGTGGCCGGCCCGGAATCAATTTTAGTCCATCAATGCCGCGGCATTGCTTCAACAGCACAATCATCACCGAGCGTAGCATCAAGACAGCATAGCCTCAATTCTGTTCTTGTTTATAAGGCAGCCATATCCGTTGCACTCTTGTGCCGTTGACATCGCCATAACGTCGTTCTACCGTCGTGTAACGTGTTTAACCACGAGTATATGATGTTTTCCTCGCTCCCTGTCGAATTGTTATGCAAAATTACCTCTCTGGTATGTACAACGGCATTTGGGAAACACGATACTGAAGGGACCCACTCATCCATTTATCTATTCCAGCCCAGCCTTGAAGAAAAAAAGAATCTGCGCTTGACATCCAGGAAATTCTGCGATCTGGCCACTCCTCTAGTTTTTCAAACGGTCTCTCTCTCTCTGAATGAAGAACGTCGCTACCAGGAATGCATGTCATTTCTTGAGGCACTGGTCTCGCGCGTTTACTTGGCTCGACACATACAAACTCTTCGTATCCATGGGTCGTTCGACCCACCTTACGGAAAAGGTGGATTTTGGTATGAAATAACGAACGGAAGGCAGCGCGCTATTCGTTTAATTGAGAAACGCCTTCTTGGGGGTATACCGTCTCTTGTTTCCTTGCGATCTTTGTAGTAAGCACCGTTACCCTTGCACTCTACGCACTCGCACTAATCTTCGAATCCGTAGTTTCTCTGGCTTTCATCCGGGAGAGCTGGGTCTGGATTCAGTAAATGCCATAATGCTCGCTCTCAGCAATCTTCCACTTCTTTCTGTTCTCAACATCGGTCTTCATCATGGTCAAGCGTCATATCTTGACTTCCATGACCTTGATAACATCAGTTTTAATGGAAAACACGGACTGGACATCATCCCTTCCCTTGTAGCCCGCAGTCCAAATCTTACGCGACTACGTCTGTCATCCCCTCATCAAACGAGAGCTGTACCTGAAGCCGCCCTGGACATCTTCGCCGGCCTTCGTAAAGGAAAGCTCAGCTGCGTAGAGCAGTTAACCTTGGAGGGCGCTCTTACATTGCCCACACATGACGTTCCAATAATTGTACCGCACCTTCGCCGTTTGACTTCCCTCCGGATCCACATCACCGACGTTGCTGAAGAATTTTGGTCCGCTCTTCGGATTGAGATGATCCATCTAGAAGACGTATCTGTGGATATTGTGAATGATGCTCTTCTGGAGTACCTCGGTTCGTACTCTGGGTCCAGAACCATGATGCTTATCACGGAGCAAGAGGTCGATCATGGCTCCCCCGAGTTCTGGCGCAATATCCTTCCCAGACACGCTGATACCCTTGTGGAACTGTACGTTCAACCCAAGTACGCCGGTAGATGGTGTCTTGATACTAGGTCACTTGATGCTATAAGACAGTGCAAGCGTCTTGAGATTCTTCGAGTGAAAGTGGACCAGGAGAAACTGGATGTGAACGATAAAACCAATATAATAGTGAGTCCCAATGTGCGGCTACACGTTTGACTACTAACCTTCACTTTTCAGACTCGAATTCTAGAAGGCCTTTATGAATGGCCTTGTCTCACCAATCTCGAGCTTATTTCCATTCAGACGCCCGTCATCTCTCGTTTACTAAGTAACGATGAATTTGATGCAATTCGGAAGATTGTCGTTGCGTTTCGCTGTACCAATCCCACGGACGGCGCTTTTCGCCTGAAAGTGTCCATCAGCTACGCTGATTATTGTCTATCGAGACGAAAGCTAGACCCTGGAGTATATTCATTCAAGGAGGTTGATATGTAGTTCGACTTCGGGCCTCCTCCCGATGAGGAGGAATGACCTGCTCCTTAGTCGTGGACCGATTATACCTATTCATATGGGTGGTCGTTGTTTATCATGCTATCGTGTATGGAGACTTTGGATAGAAAACCTTTGCTGCGGTAGCCATGAGTATCTCATTCATGTAGAATCGAGCAAGAGACTCAATAAATTTCATCTCAGACGCTCTGGTCTGTCGTTCGAACAGCAGTATTGAACGGATAAACGTTTCTGCTTCCGCGGATGCATTTGGATCCATAGGGGCCCATAAGTGTATACAGCCGTAGTGGCAACGCCGTCATATCAATGATCATGAAAACGAAAACATTTTTTAAACTCGAACACTCGCACAAGAAGGCGTAGGTGCTTTGTATATTTGACATTCTCTTGGAGATCGCCGCTGCGAGCTAACGAGTCGCAGGACTATGCAAGGATTATACTAGACACGAGTTTGTTGGGTAATTGATGAGAGTTTGCTTTCAAGTCGGCAACCGGACCAGTGCGGCGAGAGTCCGCCGCTGCGAAGGAAATCGAATAATAGGTGAAGTGCTGATTGTATTAGTGGAGAAGAAACGCAGGACCAAACAAATATTAGGAAACGTGAGGATCCGAGGAGCTGGTGATGCTCTCAAACATGCCCAACTATTGAAACGAATGAATGCCTCGGTGGACAGCGTTCTCTTCCGCTTTTTCGACATTGAACGAGTTTTCGTCTCGGTCCTTCACGGCGGAAATCACCAAGTAGACATGTATATGTATGAGATCTGTCTACGCATCAGATAAGAGAAGGAAGAGAACGCACAGATTATATAATTACATCCCCATACGGACGGTTGAAGTAGAGTAGCGAACTAGAGGAGATCAGCGAGATGCGTTAAGGAAGGAAAAGAGACTTACACGCTACCAGAACTGCCTCGCTTTGACCATGTCTATAACCAGTTTCCAGGGAAGGCACTCGGCCTTCTTCCTTGAGATAACGAAAGGCAGCCGGTTGAAAATGGTGTTGAGGCAGACTGGCGTGCATACCAGCCGTGTCCTTGTTTTCTTGGTGAGGGCCATTTTTCATCGCAGCGATTGGAGAGATGAGAATGTGAATGTATGAAGAAGGCGCCGCCGCTTACTGGTCTTCCACTTCAGGCTAGAGACTTGGCTCTCCACGGTTTCTTCCTCGTGCGCTGATATTTCGGCTTTTGTTTCTCGTTTTAGTACAGGTTCGGGAAGGCACGGAGAAGGGCGAAGATCAGCTGTAGGATAGAGATCTCTGTCAAGTGGCGAGTAGTCGTACAGTTTGCGGACTGTGATGGTAGTGGTAAGGAAAGGAAAGGCAGCTGACTGCCTTGTTGAAGTTGGAAATCCCAATGCCGTTTGACAACGCGTCAACTCCTCTCCCATGAGCCCACCTTGTTGATGTTGTGATTGGAAATTAAATTAAGACTGGATTCTTTTCCAAACAGTCGAACGCACTGGGATTTCATCGATCAAGACATCCACGATTCCGTACCCTGATAGCGAATAAATGCTGTATACTTGGTTACTTGACAGGAATTTTGAACACATAGATATGGCGATGTCGATGTCTAGGAGCCCTAGGGATGGCGTTGAGCAACGTCGCACACACAATGATAGAGCCAAAGAACGTACCTTGAGAAATCAAAGCATTTTTCGCGGCAACGAGAGTCCTTGAAACTTCACAAAGTTTCTTCAGCGCTATTTTACTTCTCTTGCGAGCTACCCACGCGAGTAATGTGGGTGCAAAGGGAGCAGAACCTGGGCATGCTATAATTAGCGACGGCGAGCGCAACCATGAAGTCCAAAACGTACCTGCGCCTCATAGTTTTCTCTCTAGGATCTCGAACAATATATTTTCCACCATCCTGCGGTCATCCAGTATCATTGTCGCGTGAGTTCGTCACATCGTAGTCGTCGTCGGCGGGTTCGTGACCAGCTAAGTTCTAGAAGTTGCATATATGCCAAGTGTCTCCCCGCAAGACCTTTGGCCGTCTACTAGAATGCATCATCCTGAAGGTGACGCGGCGAGCTGGATGAAATACGAACATATTGACATTGGCGTTGGTGGGGCTGATGGTGGTACGAAGCAGAAAAGGAAATCGACTGAATTTCAAAATCGTACCTGCCTCCCGCTCTCATGTTTGTTTGTCGTCGCTTCCTAGACCCACACAAAAGTGATTGGGTAATATATGCACAACTACTGAAAAACACTAGAAGTCCTGAGTACGTGTCGTTATCCTTTGTTGAGCAAGGTCTAACGCGTCGTCACGCCTTTTTTTCTTACCTGGGATCTTCACTGTCTTATCCAAGAAAAATATCACTGCTTTCCAGTGAACATCAAGCGAGAAGGGACTCCTTCAATACTCTGCGCCATTATCTATCGCCAGCCCGAGTAAAAATTTCGTTGATGCCCTAGAAAGCTTACCCGATCTTGGTTTGTCTCAGATCGACCCAGCCAGTGGATCAAAAATCAAAACTAATACGGATAGTGGGGGACCCACCGGAGCGAGCAAACAAAGAAGACGATTCTAGGGGAGGCGGGAATCTGCTCGGCGTGTGTTTGTTCGTGCTTGGCGAATGAATTTGGCGGGGCCTCGTGTATAGTCAATATATGCTCGCTAACGCTCGCAACCAGATCGAGGTCATAATATTCAAGCATAAATACGTGTTCGGACCTCCAAGCGTGCCTCGTAGTGTACTTCGTTCGCCTTCGGAACACGGCGGGTTCCCTCCTTTGAGGGAGGCACCAGTTCCCGTGCACGGCTATGGTGCGCCGACGCTGGCTGTCGGTTAGCTAGCTGTAGCCTCGAGCTGGTGGTTTACGATGAGACATCCTTCCGGCTTCGTGGGCAAAGTCGTCTACCCTTGACGCATGGGTGTGTGCGCTTGGTAGCGAACAACAGATTTTTGGACTAAATTGCAACGAGGTAATTTCTCCTCAGCCGCTAGGCGTTGCGTGTGAGTAAGAGACTTCACATATTATTCATGCTCTCTAGCTTGTCTTCCAGTAGTGCTTGACGGACTCCTTGGAGGCGCGTGGACGTATTAATTTGACATTCTCGTTGCTAACTTTACGTTTTAAATTAGCAACCAACTTGAACGTGATCGAGTGCTGTCCCCCCCTCGAGCAATACTCACAATTGTATTTTGGCTCAATACTCAGCGAGAGCTATCGCAGTCGATTCGATTTACCTGCAGCACGCATAGAAGCCTTGTTAAGGTTAGGCTTTCTGTTCATGGTGTCCGGTGCATTTTCTTCTCCAATGATTCCAAAACAAATCAGATTCAACGCCTGGCTTGCTGGTCTTGATGGTATTTGCTTTTCAGTTCTGCTAAGGCCTTTCTTCTCGCTGTCTGTAATGACAGTATCGCTTATCGTGTTGTTTTCACAGGTGAACCCTTCTACCACGTACACAACGTCTTCGCCTGTGCGACCAACACGCCATCTTGTCCAAATCAAGTGACCGATGAACCGCAACGCATGTCATTACTGCACGGTAGGCACTATACCATGCCTCATTACGGCTAACTTTATGAAGGCAAATAAGCGCCGCACATCGTGGTCGTCACGCTGGACATAAGAACCTTTCAGCACGCCTCAGCTTGTTCCCTCCAACCACCACTACAATATGTCGCTCTTTTCGAGACGTCCTACACGTCGAGGCACCACTAACGGGACCAGCGCTGTGAATAGCAGCACAAACACTCTTGTGGGTACTCCCCGAACAAACTCCCCACCGCCAGAGCCAGAGCCGGATAGCACTGCTGTCCCCATCAACCAGACGGAATACGCTAGGAGATGTCGGGAGGTTATGGAGTTGTATCGCGCTCTTCAAGCCCTAGGGTTCGTATTCGCTACTTCCTTTCGACATGCTTACATACGCATCTGCCGCGATGCAGTGCGGATAGGCTGTTCCCGACGTTGCCAAAGATCATAGTTATCGGTGGCCAATCTAGCACGTTGTTCCTTGTTTATCGATACGAAAGCCATACTGATTCATGTTTGTGAACAGCTGGAAAGAGCTCGCTGGTAGAAGCCGTCTCCGGGGTACGCTTACGTCTTTCACTAGTCTGATACATTCTCTCATTATCATCCAGATCAATGTTCCCCGAGACAGTGGGACCTGTACCAGGTATATAAATACCACTCAAGCTTTTCTTGGGTGATCTCACTCCTTTGCAAGGTGTCCCATGGAATGCACGATGCTCAGTTCATCCTCCACCTGGTCGTGCACGATATACCTCAACTTGAAGTACGCGGCAGACGGTAGCGAACTCGTCATCCCAAAGAAGGTAAAATTTGGGTCAGTTATTACGAACAAGGATACGGTCGAACTCTGGATCAGGCGAGCACAAGCTGCAATACTCTGCCGTCATCGTCCCAAGGAGGATTTTATCAACATGAGCACTGAGGACCTACGCAATCTTGCTACAATCGACTTACAGATGCTGCCATTTTCGAAGAATATCATCCAGGTGGAATTGAGAGATCCAGCCTTGACGGATTTGTCTTTCGTGGATCTGCCAGGTAAGACGCTCGTATTACTGCATTCTTATACTAATTGTTGTTTTCTCAGGGATCATACACAATGCTGAAGAAGAGACTATCCAGCTCGTTCACGACTTGGTAGTTTCCTATATCGAAGAATCGGAGAACACAATTGTCCTCATAACTATTCCGATGTCCGGTCAGTTCTCTTTTCTCGAAACCAGATGAATCTTCCTCACGCTTTCATCTATAAGATGATATTGAAATGCAAGCAGCGGTGAAACTCGCAAAGGCTCGTGATCCCGACGGTGATCGCACGATTGGTATGGATGTTCGTCCCTCTGCCTCTATAACCGGCGCTAATTGTTACTAGGAGTGTTGACCAAACCGGACATGCTTACAGTAGGCGCCTCTGGTGCGCGTCAAAAGTGGAGAGAGATCATTTTGGGGCAAGATCAGAATCTTGCTCCTTCGGATGGCTAGCGATTAGGCTCGAGGGGGAGTGTTGAGCATGGCGAGCGTTAACTGCAAGCCACGGACTATATTTAGATTACCGGTACATACCTGATTAGTCTATTTTTTTCATCGCGGCATCTCAGCGTTCAACCAACGTCTTCACGCTGAGATGTACGTGTATACTCATTATATTTCTATTATACTATTGCTAATCGTACCTATAGATATACTTGATACTCATACATATCTTATAGGTACAGTACAGCGTTCAACCAACGTCTTCACGCTGAGATATATACTTGATACTCATACATATCTTATAGAATCTTTTTCCCTCTCGCAACCGTGCCTTCCCTTCGCGTACACCCCGGTCCACTGCTCAAGAGGTTATGGGCCCCGGCGATATGAATACCACCTCCACAGTGAAGCTTCTCAACCTGCCCCGGCTCAAAGATGACGGGAGCAATTGGATCCTCTACAAAGAGCGAATACCCAACGCGGCAACCTCAAAGGGACTAAAACGTCACCTCACTGGAACCGCAAAGAAGCCAGCTGAACTCACTGAAAGGAATGGGGACTATTACAAGCCGGGAGAACTTGCACCACTGTCCGACGATGAGCTCGAAAAACACCTAAAGCTCCAGGACGAGTACGACCAGAAGGAGGCCTCGATGCGAGAGATCTTTTACGAGACAGTCTCAAACTCTACGTTCATGCAAATAAAGAACCAACCGAGCGCAGCACATGTATGGGCTGCACTCGTAGCCATCTTTGAGACAAAAGGGGACCTCGTACAGCAAGATCTCCTCTCACAGTTGCAAAACACACGATGCCCAGAGGATGGTGACATTCGCGCACACCTCTCAAACATGCAACGCATGGGCGAGGAACTCGCCGGCATGGGCACTGTCATCACCGATCAGTCATTCTGCACGTACATTCGACAATCTCTTCCCCCCAGTTACCGCCCAGTCCTGAAAACGCTCAGCGTAGCAGCTAAGCTAACAAGCAAACCCATAACAAGCGCCGTGCTCATCCAAGAAGTCTTGGAAGCCGCCGACGAGATGAAGGTTGAAAAGAATATCGACGAAGGAGTACAGAACTCCGCTCTCGCAGCAAGCGCTAGGGCTGCAAAGGACAAGGGAAAGGGAAAGAAGAAGGGAAAGGAATCAAAAGAGAAGAAAAAGAAGCACTGCACGAACTGTGGCATGGACAACCACGTCTTCGATGACTGCTTCCGTGAGGGAGGAGGCAAAGAGGGCCAAGCACCTTGGGACTTGAAGAAGAAGAAAGACGGCGACTCGGCCAATGTTGCAGGCCAGTCCTCAAGCTCTGAAGTCAAAAGCTATGGCTTCGCTACAATAATTGATGACGAGAACGTGGAGCTTAGCGCCACGTCTGACTGTCAAGCCCAGGCTGAAGCATTAGCTGCCTCAGGCATACGCTACGATGGTGAACTCGTTGACATGGGAGCTAGCCGCCACTTCTCACCTGCCCGAAGTAAAATGATCAACTTCGTGGATATCAAGCCAACACCCATCCGCACCGCTGATGGACATTCATTCAATGCTATCGGCAGAGGAGACTACATCACATACCTGCCAATGGGCCATGGCAAACCAGCGACCAAGGTCACCCTCTACAACATGTACTACTCCCCGCACCTAGTGTTTACGTTAATATCAGTCAGCTGTCTTGATATAGCAGGCTATTCACTCACAGTTGAAGACGGAAACTGTTATATCAAAACCCCGAAACCCGACAGACACGTCATCGGGATCATGCCCAAAATCAATGGACTCTACCGCGTACAAGGCTCCACCAACCATCACCATAGCAAATCCCCCACAGCAGCTGCCGCTACCCCTCAAATCAGTATCTCGCAGTTCCACCGCATGACAGGACACGCAAGCCATGAAGCCCTGAAGCAGAGCATACGTAACGGGGAGATTATCGCCCCCAACGTTGACCTAAACTCCGAACCGGAGTTCTGCTCAGCATGCGTGCAAGCTAAAGCTGCGACGAAACCTTTCCCGAAGCATAGTGACAATGAGTCAGCCAAGAAATATGGCGACAAGGTCACAGGAGATGTATGGGGACCAGCTGAAGTCAAGTCTCTTGGCGGTTCAAAGTATTTCGCACTATTCAAAGATGTCGCAACGAGGGAGCGCTTACCATACTTCATGAAGAAGAAATCGGAGACATTGCGCTGCTACAAGGAGCATGAGGCTTGGATGAAAGCCCAACATGGAGTAGACATCGTGAAGATATTCGGGTGCGACCGTGGAGGAGAGTTTACAAGTGAGGAGTTCAAACGACACCTTAAATCTGCAGGGACAATACGTCACCTCAACGTCCATGACTCGCCATCCTCAAATGGAATGACGGAACGAGAAATGCGCACCGTGCTTGAAGGCGCCCGAGCCATGATAATTGCAGCCAGGCTGCCCAACTATCTGTGGGCCGAAGCCGTAGCCTACCACTGCTGGCTGAGAAACCGGCTCCACCACAGCGCTCTCGCTGACGAAAAGACAACCCCACATGAAAAGGCTACACAAAAGAAGCCCGACATGTCCAATCTGCACGAATTCGGGTGCACCGTGTGGGTGAAGCAACTCGGACGGGGGAAACTACAGCCTCGTGCTGATCCTGGCCGATTTGTAGGCGTTGACGAAGAGTCAAAGGGTATCCGGGTCTATTGGCCTGGAAAACATCATGTCAGTGTTGAGAGAAACATCTACTTCAATAAAGATGAAGACCTGAGCAAAGAAACCATTAAAATTGAGGGGGAGTACAAAACAATTGTCAATCCCGACGGATTCCATGCTACAAACGACACTCGTGACAGCCCAAAAGAGACCAAAAACAAGGGAGACAAACCTGCCACACCCCCTACAGACACTCAAGACACTCCAGAAAACCCGCCATCACCACTAACACCTCTATCAACCCCACCATCAAGCCCAAATCTCGCACCACACCAACGAAGGGTCCAAATTGAGGACGTTCCTGATGAAAATGACCCCCCAGCCCGACCCCAACGAGGCTCACACAAGCCAGAGGGTTTCTACAACATCAACCGAATATCGAAGGCTGCTGGTGTCACTGCATGTGTCCTTGAAGACGACGGGAGCCTTGAACCAGGTGGAATGGACTATGATACGAGCGAGGAAGAGTGGTTTGCTAACCTAGTTGAGTCAGCACTAGCCACAACTAACGGAGAGCCGGATTCCATACAGGAGGCACTGAAGGGACCGCAAAAACGGGAATGGAAGGACGCCGTCGAGAGGGAGCTAAGCCAAGTTGAAGGCTTACGTACGTACGACATAATCCCCACTCCACCCGGGGCCAACGTCGCTAAAAACAGATATACGTTTCGTATCAAGACGGATGATCAAGGCCGTATCGTACGATACAAGGCCCGGCTGGTCCTAAAGGGGTTCTCCCAATTTTACGGCGTTAATTTTCACGAAACATTCGCTCCGACAGTCCGCCTAACTACCCTACGTGCATTACTATCCGTAGCTGCTCAGAAGGACGCCGAAATACACCAAGCAGACATCAAAAATGCCTACCTCCAAGCTGACCTCCACGAAACCTTGTATATGGAGTTACCGCCAATGTACAAGGACTTTAGGGAAATCCCCAACAGACTCAAAGGGAAGAAGCTATGCTGTAAACTGCATAAGCCATTGTATGGAAGCAAGCAGGGTGCACACGAGTGGTACCAGAAGCTGAGACGAGTATTCCTTGCTCTCGGATACTCCATATGCCAGGCTGATGAAGCAGTGTTCTACAAATTCAGCAAAGACAAGTACACCATCGTCGCTGCCGCTACAGACGACTTCACCATCATTGCCGACTCCAATGACGCAATGAACCTCATCAAGAAGCAGCTCAGAGAGCACTTCGAGATGACTGACCTTGGCGAGATTAAATGGCTGCTCGGTATTAGCGTACACCGCAACCGCGAGGCCAGGACCATCACCCTAGGCCAACAGGCATATGTCGACAGCATCGTCGAATGGGCTGGCCAAAGCGAAGCTAGAGCAGTCGTCACACCAATGGAACCAGGAATCGATTTGAGTTACGACTCACCCTCCGTATCCACCACTGTGCTCCCCAAGGCCCAGCATTCCCAATACCGTGAGGCCATCGGACGTCTCATGTACGCATCTCTTGCAACTCGACCCGATATCTCCTACGCGGTGTCAACACTATCCCGTTACATGCAGGAGCCAAGAACCTCTCACTGGCACGCAGTTTTACGAGTCTTCAAATACCTAAAGGGAACTCGAGACTATAGCCTCACCCTAGGAGGAAAGAGCACGCACATTACAGGCTATTCCGACGCAGACTGGGCTCAGCAGATGCACAGGCACTCGATTTCAGGGTATGCCTTCTTTGTAGGGAACGGAATCGTATCCTGGAGCTCCAAGAAACAGCCTATCATCACCCTCTCCAGCACCGAGGCTGAATACGTTGCCCTGACGCACGCATCGAAGGAGCTGATATGGCTCCGCAAACTCTTCAAGGAACTCATCCACCCAATCACCACCCCAACGACGTTATTCTGCGACAATCAAGGGGCAATCACACTCTCAAAAGACTCCACGTACCATGCACGAACGAAGCACATCGATGTGCAGTTCCATTTCATTAGGCAAACAGTCTCCAGGTCACAGAGTTCCATCAAGTACTGCCCAACGGACGACATGATTGCGGATGCGTTCACCAAGTCCTTGAAACGTGTCAAACTCGCCCGATTTCGTGCGCTGATGGGTCTTGCTCCTTCGGATGGCTAGCGATTAGGCTCGAGGGGGAGTGTTGAGCATGGCGAGCGTTAACTGCAAGCCATGGACTATATTTAGATTACCGGTACATACCTGATTAGTCTATTTTTTTCATCGCGGCATCTCAGCGTTCAACCAACGTCTTCACGCTGAGATGTACGTGTATACTCATTATATTTCTATTATACTATTGCTAATCGTACCTATAGATATACTTGATACTCATACATATCTTATAGAATCTTTTTCCCTCTCGCAACCGTGCCTTCCCTTCGCGTACACCCCGGTCCACTGCTCAAGACAGAAGCACAAGCTCAAGCACGGCTACTACTGCGTTCGCCTCCCCGACGACGACGAACGAAGGAGCAAGATTTCCCAAGAAGAATCCCAAGCGAGGGCGAAACGATATTTCGAGGAAAACTCCCCTTGGAAGGAGTATCCCGACAGTAGTCGTTTTGGTGTACCAGCGCTAGTGTACGATATCAGTCGTCTGTTGGTCGCGCTAATCGAGAATTAGTATGTGCCGTATTCTTTCTCTGTGCCTGGGCTCATTGTTACTTGTGGTACAGTATACCGACCCTGAAACAAAGTGTTGATGATCTCCTTGCTAGCGACAGAGCAGAGTACAACGCCCTTCCTCCACTCCCGCCTACCGACGAGGCATGGTCCCAGATCGTTATCCTCATCCATCAGTTCTGCATTGACATGAAAGCAGCCGTCGAAGGCAAAGAAGAACACAAGAGTCTCGTACAGCGCAACCGCGCTAGGTACGAGCAGTTCAAGCGCGACATCCTCCGGACATGCCCGGACTTCCGGCCGTTCGAGGATAAGACCCGGTATCGGGATCCGTGTATCCGTGATGAAGAGTTCGAGGGGAAGGATAACCCATACGTTCATATGGCCGCGTCCGAGGACATAATGGATATCAAGGACGTGAGGGGAGAAATTGAGAAGTGAGTGCTTATCCTTCCAGGTTCTACCGTGCTGAGTTCGCCTGTGTAGCTGTACTTCATGGGAACTTCCTGGCGAAGTTCCGCTGGAAACAACGCGTAAACTCATTGAGCTCTTTACGAAGAAGTGGTCCAATCCATCTGTGCAATGCTTCGACGCCGTGTACGATACGTCGTCGGCATACATCCAGAAGTTGGTTACGCAACGTTTCGGACAGTTCAAGCCTCTGGAGACGCGCATCAGGTTCGTTACTTGTGTCTTTCACTGCTTTGTCTGAAGCCTTATGTCTTCCCAGTGCACTTGTGCGAGCTCAGATGGAGATCTGCAAGGATGAGGCTCTCGTCATAATCGGCAAAGCTGTGAAGTTGGAGACGTCTCCCGTGTATACCCAAGTACCGCATTACTCAATGGAGCGCTCCAAATGGTTCAGGAGATTTCATAGGGTTTATGTGAATCCTAGCGGCTATCATATACCCCTACCAAGTCCTGACCTTCGCCCTGGCCGCCGTGGTGGTAGACGTTATAGTTACAGCCGAAGCCCGTCCCCGCCTCCGCCTCCGCCTCCGCCTCCTCCAGCTCGCGAAACAACAGAAGACGAAGAAGCACTGCTCGTGATGGCCAAGGTCCGAGCTTACTTTGAGATGGCGTACAAGGTCCGTCTTTTGCTCAGTTAATCATTTCTTCTGTACCCGACCTACTACTCGTTATCTAGAGATTCGTTGACAATATCCCGCTCACTATCGAGCATGAGCTACATCAGACTCTTCTGCCTCGCCTGTCTGAGAGCCTTATCAAAGATATAGGAGGGCCGGATGCCAGTGAGAGGGCTAAGGAACTACTTAGAGAAGATCCGGCGATCGCGTCGAGGAGGAATGTCTTGAAAGATAGAATTACGAGATTGGAGGAGATACGGAACAAGCTTTATGCTTTTAAATGATCTTTTATGTGTACATCCAAGCGTTTCAAGTACTTGAAGAATGTATTATCTCTTGTAGTCTGAAAGAGCCTTGAGTTAAAGTACTAGCACGGACGGGACACCGGCCCGGGAAGATTATCTCAGCAACTGGTTTGTAAGCCCGATCGATCACAAGTCCCCCGCCTCCATCCCCTCTTCCAAGCTTCAAAATGCTCATTTCCCAGCACTTTGGACTCATTTTAATAAGGAAATAGGACCTAAAGAAGGTAAAAAGATGCCCCCATCCAGGATTGAACTCTTTGGGGGTTGGCGACAGCCGTCGCCGATACGCGCGCTGCATCTGAAAGGATCCGGAGCGAGTGGGAGCGCCAAAGCCGATAGCATGACTACCCACCCTTGTTCAACGTCGAGTCTGCGACGACGAAATCCAATGCTCTGAAAGGATCCGCTGGGCATCATTGGACAGAAAAGAACGTTATGATTTACAAAGCAAACACGTTTACAGTCTAGTTTCGGTCAAAAGTCTCTACAAAGTTTTTAATGAAATTGTAAACAGCAAGAGTACCAGCGGCTCGCAGAAAATTGAACAAAAAGACACGATTCTGTTGGTCCACTTTGTCTAGGTATTCAGAGAACGGTCTGAGGCCTTGCTCAAGTAGGTCGATGGTCGTCACATAGGTTTCGCTAAAGGCGGGAGCACCACTCTTGGTTCGAATCTCCAGAGACGGGTCCAAAAACACCGAGACACCAAACTATGAAAATGTCAGCAAACATCTATATGACAACAGTAACAGAACGCACCATCTTGTATAATTTTAAAAGATGATTCCTGCTCGTGACATCCTTGCGGTGGCGGGTCTTGAACGCCTTTTTCAGATTCGCAATAGTAGTAGGGTTGCCGTCTTTGATCGTGCTTTTCTTGCAAGTTTCAAAGATGTTGTTCGTATATGCAGTTCGCTCGGCAATGGTGAGGCTGTTGTAGTCCAAGGCAAATTGTAGGCGAGCGGCAGTATAGACGGCATAGTCGATGAGCCGGGTGAAAGGCGCCGAGTCCACGAGGCGTATGAGTTGGCGATCAATCATTGAGAGCCGGGAAATCCTGCTGCCTTGAGATCGTGCTTCGACGAGTCGGTCGCAAGCCCTGTGTCAGACATTCGAAGAGGGCCGCAATTCCAAGGGCAAGCCCTTTTTCTGATCGATTGATATTTCCTTCAAGCAAGTCCCTCACCTCTCCCAGCCGCTCCTCGTCCGTCCTCGCCTGGAGTATCGCGCTGCCAGCAGCATGGTGGTCTGCCTCCAACTTCACCGCATTGCTTGCAGCAGGACATTGAGTCAGGTGGCGACAGAGTGTCCTTGTACTATTTGAGTTGAATGGGTTCCCCGTCCCTGTGACCGGAAAACATTAGTAAAATTGCTTTCCCAAAGCCATACCAAGAAACGCACGATCCGGTTGGCACAAGTTACAGAACGTTTGCCAGGCCTCCCTTGGTTTCTTGGTAGGCCGCTGACGACCCGGAGGAATAACGTATGGCGTATTAGTCTTGGTGAAGTAATTCCAGCAAGGATTGATCATCGCGGAGAGAGAAGAGGAAAGAATGAGTTCACGTTCGAAATGGCCCCGACTGGATCGTTTCAGGGATCATAAAGCTATAGGATGAGTAGGCATGGAGGCCCATGTGGCGTAGTGGTAGCGCGTTGCACTTGTAGCTTACTTGTATGCAAAGGTCACTCGTTCGACCCGGGTTGTGGGCAGTGTTGTTTTGCCTCGAATAACGAGAGAAGCCACTCTATTGGGCCTACTTGGGTGCTGGCTTAAAAAAGTTGTGTCCTACGTAGAAGCGAAGTGTTGACATTTTTTTCTGTCGCTTGCACCGTTTCGGTGCATGCTAGTGATCGAAAATCGCCTTTGGAGAGTCGACGTTTAACAAAGCCCGCTGTTAGTTGAGATGAGGTCCTGAGGATAGGTTTGGGTGAAATATTAAGCGAGCCTTGCACCGTTTCGGTGCATGTTAACTCAACAGGTTGACAACGGGCCGAGTTTCGGCAATGTCCGCGGCTATGCATTAGATTTGAGCATCAATGCTTGTTCACCTGAACATTCACCACACATCAAAAAACGATCACCGAAAACAGCAGTTAAATCCCGCATGAATACAAGTGCGACGCGCTACCACTACGCCATAAGGGCTTCTAAATTTTTCCCAATAGGATTACTAATACTGATACAGCATACCGTCAGAGAAAAAGTCATTCATTTAACTATGATTCTATGTTTACGCGTATATGAAGGGACTAGCGAGAAAGGAATCTGGTTTGCAGTAAACCTTTGCTAAGGTATGCAAAGGATCTTGAAAGTTGACTGTCGACAAATCATGACTAGCCCTATGAATCCATCAGCCATAATTAGACATACTATACTACCAAAAGCCTCACTCATGTCCTCGCAGCCAGCACGAAAGCAAATAGTAATGCAATGAGCGTCACCATGCATCCAGTAATGATGACGGATACTATGCGCGCGACGGGAAATTTACCCTCCGTCAGAGCTACCTGAACGGAGAAGTACCTCGACACCCCTACAGCCAATACCCCCAAAGCCAAAAGAACGGTTGTCGCTCCAAGGGGTTTGGCATATCCCTGCATGATAGCGCTGGTAGGTGCAAACGATACGGTATTGATTGCGATAGAGAATAGTTGGACGAGAGCGACGCCAGTAGAGGCGAGGACAAGAGAAGTTCTCACATATGCAAGGAATGTCCTCTCCGAGGCTAGGTGGTCCCTTGCGACAGAGCCGTGGTTCTCCAAAGTCAAGCTGACACGCATCGCAGTGTATTACGTCCTCATCCTCCACCGTTTCTTGGATATTTTATAGTGTGGCTTATTCCAAATCGTGTACCATATCTGCCGTCGTGGGATAGCAGTTCACAGTCTACCCGCAATAGGTACCGCGATTAAGGAGGTGGCGTGGCAAGCCTTACGAACACCTCGCCGGACGAGAGAAATCATATTCTTCGAAGCTTATGTTAGTAGGAGACATTGAGCTTGGTTGTTCAGTAAAGGAGCAAGCATACTCACGTATGCGAATTAATAAACTTGGAGGCAGCTCTGCTTTCATTAACGTTCATGCACTCAGCTCGTCCGGACCGAATGGTCGTGTTACATTGCCCCCGGGTATAATTGCATGACTAAAACCCATGGTAAATGCGGCACAGTTCGGGTTTAAGCTCCCAGTGAACCCTTTCAATCATCGCTACCGCGCGCTCGAAAAATTTCTTATGTATTGGCAACGTCTTCAGTTATATGGAATAGCCTGGATGGTATATTAAGGCCGCTCTATCGTACCATCCTGTCTCAATATGTATAAGCCAGCGCTAGGAAGGTTAGACGAGCTAAACCATACTCACGCGATATCGATATGCCTAGCAACTGATGTTATCAGCAGCACTCCAAATTATTCATTTTTCATTGATGCCATTTATGCATCGCGACGCATGGATAGAGAAGCCAACCTCGTCTAACTCTGAAAGACAGGAGTTTTCTTTGTTTTTCGTCTTTCTTTCATTTGGGAGTGAGACGGGTTTCCTGAACGCGAAAGACTGGTTTCAGATAGCAGAAACCAATCGGATTTAGTTACATACCTTCGGCGGTGATTAATTCCCGTTCCGAGTCTTTTCCCCGTGCTAATGGAATTCGGAAACTACGAAGAAGAATTACGGCAAGGCGCATCACTGCAGGGCACAAGCAATCTTATCAATTTTGCTAGGATATCGAGATGATCTTTTAGTTGCTATCACGTCTCGGAAGAAAGAGTACCGGGAGAAGAGAACAGTGACTTGGCCCTTCGAGAATAGAGAGTCGTCGGTGATGGCGGCTTCACGTCAAGACACTGTCACTAAAACAGCAATTGTCAACGAGTACCACGTGATCGATTCAGGCCAAGCCACATCCTCGGCACATCTCGAACTTCTTGAGCTCACCACCACCTTCCATACGGGTTGCCTACGTTACATCTTCACGCATTTCACTCCCAGGTTCCTGAACAGTATCTTCTAGAAATTTCTGCGCGCAGTCTGGACCCAGGCAGCAAGACCTCTGAATGTCCGGTCATCGGCCACTTTGTTTCATTCACAATAAGTATAGCTTAATTATCCTGCCCTCCTGTAGGAGATTCGTGCCGGCTAGTCGTGCCGGTACTCTCGTTCTCTTTCTTTCTTTCTTTCTTTATCTTATCTTCTTACTTATCTACTTATTATATAGCTCTTCTATTTTACTGCGGGGATCCCGCTTTTCTATTGCTTATTGTGCCTTTTTCCCTTACCTTAGCCGAGTTCTCCTTATAGTATAGACCCTATTTTACTAGTATATAAGACCTAACTTACTCCTACGTACTCCCTAGATACTCGAATAGAGGATCTTTCAACTGGTCTTTCCTCCGTTCGACTTCTCTTCGCTTCGTCTACTCTCTCGTGTGCCAATACTGCCGACTCTCCGTCACAGTACCGTCACACCTCCTTTGTTCTTTAAAGCTTTGATGCTGACGCCTTGAGCCACCCATGGTCTACAAACCACGAATTTGAAACTTGTTGTTTTTGGCCGTCACCTTGTCCTTTGGCCAGTGGCATAAAAAGGAGTATAAAACCAACTCAATTCTTTTTAAGATACCTCTTCGTGAAATCTTTGGAACAAATTCTGGCCCTCCGTATTATGGCCTACTATGCCTCTCGAGTATCTCCACGTTCGAATGCACCCCCTCCTAACTACGACGAGTACTATCGAAACGCCCTCAGTTACGCAGAAGGAACGGATTACTATGGTTCTTGCACTCTTCCTTTTCGAAAGTAAAAATGGAATCGAATAATCGTCTGTAGGTTCTGTCGGGAATGAACACCTTTTGGGAGTCCCAATTTATGAACATAAACTTGGTCAGCATACGCACCCATCTTCGCGATAAATATTTACTATTCTACAGTCAACGCTAATCCGTACCGTCCACTGTAAGAAACACGAGTGATAGATCAGCAAGACATGCTTGATCTCCTAAAAGCACAGAAGGCAGAGGTCTTTGCTAGTATCGCTAGTCTCGCACATGTCGTGCATCAAGTAAGTTTGAACCTCGCCTTTCTGATAGAACATCCGTTCAACTCAAGCATGCAGCGAACCAACAATTATCGTTTCACTGGTGAAGCGATACCCTTCGAAATAATACCTTTTGTGAATGGGGCGATGCCTAATGAACTTCCTGTATGAAATTGAGACGGGAATGCAACTAAAATTTTGTTGACTTTCCGTTCTTCTCAGCATCTGCATCCTGCTTTGACTAGCGTACACGTTATAAACGCTCTGACCCCGGAACAACTCATCCGCTATTGCTCTGGTTATGAGCTAGCCCACGACCCCAGAAACATAGACCTCATGATCGTCGACTTGAAGGCACATATAGGCTGTGAGGCTTCAAGCTGAACGATGGACCTGCAGTCAATCGATTAATATTTCTCATCCGAATAATACTCGTTACTTCTTATGCTGTCTTGCTCTGCTATGTTTACTTTCAACAGGCAATGTACTTTACCTACATACTCCTTGCTTTCAATATCACTCGCCATACTTGATTCGGGCAAACGGCATGTATTCGAAATCTACTTCGCAACAAATCCAGGTAGCCACTTCTCCACGTAAACCAAAAACGATTCTTGCACTGCAACAACAGTGTCGTCAGGCGCTGCAAGCGCGATCACTAAATCAGTACAGTGGAAACCGTTCGAGAGGCCAATAGGTTGATCATCTGTGCTCACGGCCGTACTATTTACGGCAGACACTGTTCCCTCTCTCCATGGATCACCTGATGAAAATCAGTAAGGATATGCATTATGAATCTACAACACCCACGTTTCCCGTTTGCAAAGAACAGCCTCGTGTTTTTGACGCCCCACCCACCGTACAAGGCATTGATGCGGTCGGCGTCGGGGAGCGGTGCCGTAGAGAACGCCTCGGGGAAAGTGGTTACGCACTCTTGCTAGACAGTGAGTACAAGACTCTGTTAGCTGCCTCCTGTGCTACCAGTAGACAGAGACTAACCAGGTCGTCTTGCCATTTGTTGAGTCGTGAAACGATACCTCCTTGTCCTATGGGTGGCCCGTCCTATGAAAGTTCATTACTTGTGTACCATGAGCTTGTGTGGGAGGTTTACTAGAGATTCTTCAATTTCGTTGCATCTGCAAGTAAAATATTAGCTTGAGGTATATTCGAGCATACACCATTTTAAACATTACGCACTCCAGCCAGAACCAAGAACGGTACGTATCACCAACAGGGTAGTCAGCTCTAGCTCCGATTTCCTGACGAATGACTTGTTTGTCGGGAACGGCTGCAGGCATCGGTTGCCGGCGCAAGGAACTTGAGCAGACCCTACAGAATGATGTTAGACATAAGTTATCTCGAGAAAATGTATGCTTTAGAAGTATCTTACGCGTCTTCGTCAACACAATCTATATAATAGTCATCAGCAAGCAGACTAGGGATCGATTAAATCCATCACTTACCAGCATCATCATTATAGTTTACGGAGAACCATTTCGCCCATGCCGAGAGCGCATTGTCCATTCCCCATCCGCTCTCAGGTGCCGAAACACCATTCTTTACTTCAAGTGCGTCACAGAACTGGTAGAAGGCTGCGCCAGGGCCGGTACTAGGCTGCAGATCTTGCCACGTCCACAAGTCCCATCTCACTGAAGGTGCCGTCAGAGTCAGAAATCGAGGTGGATATGGAGGAATACCCACGCGCTTGGGCCATCTCCAAGTTCGACGTGAACCCGAACATTCTCTGGATCTTCCTTTGGGTCTGGGTATCATTGCCAGTGAAGACTCCGTCAATGTAGGTGATGACTGCTTCAACATCAGCGGAACAGTTCTTCGGCATGTTCTCCCGGATGGGTTCGTAGTACTGCCAGAAGTCCCTGCAAAGAGGATCTGTTAGTCTGGATCGGATAGAAAGATAATGATCAACGAACAGCTCAACTTGAACCACTGCTGACGACGCGTAGCCAATCCAGAATATGTCAGGATGTCTAAGACTTGTCAGTGATCAAGGACACCGAACCATCGCAGAGCAACTGACGCAGCCATCGTCCAGCTGACCAAACCACCTAAAGAAGATAAGTTAGGACCTCTGTTATCTCTAGATGGTACGGAACCGACCTGGATAACTTCCACCTATTAGGATCCACGGCGCCTTATCTGGACCAACACTGTCACCATTGTCTTGAGGAAGAACGACATTCTGGGAGAAGTAGACATGGTCTTCGATAGTTTGGGCCACTGTTTGATACTTGAGGCTATCCACGTTCAAGTTCGGGTAAGGATTGCTCTCTCCAAAATAGCGATGTTCGAGGACTATGGCTGCACCTCCGAACTTTTGCGCAACAACGCCATTGATTGTACGGTTTGTAACATAGCCATAGTAACCTATAATGTAAATGAGATAAAAACCTGTAGGTGTATGGAATGTTTACCACTCGCATCGACTTCACCAGCGTTCATGAGAATTATCGGTCCTCCTAGAATATAGATGTCAGTGGGGGAACCCATGTCACATGACCGTCTCTGCACAAACCTGCTTTGTAGAACTCAGCGGTGTGCCAATATCGCTGCTTGAATGTTCCCTTGGACGGATCATCATGGTCAATGAGCTGGTCGAAGTAGTACACTGTATCGTATGGGGGTAGATCGCGTGCGCGCAAGTGAGCATTAGGTGACTCGAGGTCGCCCATGTCCACTTTTGGTATCCCTGGTGGTTTGGGGCGACGGAAAGGTGGAACTCGGCCTAAAGCATAACTGCTGAAAAGCACAAGAGAAGAGAATAGATGAATGAGCATCGCGTCAGAGTAATCAGAGAAATGTAGCCTCTACTTAAGATAAACCGTTCCGGTCCGCGCGCGGAAAAGATTCGCAGATTTCTGGACAAGAAGGCGAGTAGCGCATGGAAAGACTATTCAGAGAAGCTCATCCCAGGTACTGTCATGAGGAAAAAGATTGCAGGACTCATGAGGTTTCGGAAAAACATCATTCTAAGGATTTCTGGATGAATGGCGAGTAAGTGACTATGAACAACGCAGACAAAATCTCACTCAAAAAGTAAATTAGCGACTAACAGCAAAGGAATCATTGAAACTCATAAAATAGAGCTTGGGACCACGCGGATCGACTCACGAGACCGTACTCCCCACGGGCCGGCAATTCTAAATTGAGACTAGTAGTCCTTATCGTCCATATAGATAGGAGCATAGGAGCAGAAGGCCCGCTCATTCCATCCGCGCACATGGTCAAGATTCGAAAGGCTTCGTCGCGTCTCGTCCACCATTATTTATACTCCCTTCGTCTGTAGGACCGCAGAAATAAGATCTACGTCAGGTCAGTGCATGTCTACAGGCGCTTCAGAAAAGTCTCTGCGGGAGGAAGTTAGATTGTGGCGAGCCCTTCGATAAATCCTAGTGGCAGAATTTCAGATAACCGACTGGAGAAAGCCATCGCAAGATAAACACACACACCTTGTGCGACCTTCCACATTGCGGCCTGAATTTTCCATTTAGATAGCTGAGAGTACAGTCTGAGCAGATATGTGATGAATAATGCCTTTCATTAAGTCCGACAGCTCGCAACTCGAAGTGCAGGTCATGCTATTCAGAAGTTTTGGAAATGATTGTTGCAGAGAAAACTCCAAAGGCACTGCTACGTTATTCACATTCAAAAAGGCGAAGTCGGTAAAATGTAGCAAGAAATGCGAGATGAAACTTGAGGCCTGAGAAGACAGCAGCCGAACTTCTTGCCGGTCTGCTGCCGATGGGCCTGCCCTAAAGATAAGCACATCAAGACGTGTCTTATACTTATCGTTAATTTCTCGCGTATCCGTCGTAATTTGCGCACATATATCCATATCCGTTACATGCAATCCCAACATATCATTCAAAGAGACTCAAGTAACTCTAAAGAAGTCCATCCCAGTAAGGTCTGGATCCAAGTTTCCTCAGTACTAAAAATATTTAAGATTGCGCCGTCCATCCTCGCTTCAATAAGGAAAATCCCAACCATGGAGGAGGTCGCGCGCGCACGTAAGGATTCCTCAGAGTGCGCGTGCTCAGAGGACGGTCATCAATCCATTTGAAACTGTACTGCTCTCCAGCCTCCTCTCGTAACCAAGTAATATGCTGCAGCTCCGTATCGCTAGGATGAGCGGGATATGCAACAGTCATCGAATTGAGACCGACCCCTACGAAACGCGATGCAAATGCCCTTGCTAAAGCATCCATATCTGGCCTATGCCAGAATGCGAAGTTGACGACGGCTAGCTGCGGGACGAGTCCCTCGGAAACTTCGAGGCACGAAAGAGGTACCTGCTCACGAAAAGAACATAAAAGTTCCTGGAGGAGGGGAACCGAAGACAGGACCTCGGAAATTGCATTACCAGAGAAACTGATATTTCCGAGGTCGAGTTTGAGAAGGTTAGGCGGTTGAACCGCGGTGAGGAATGTTACGAGGGGAGTATTATCGGAGGCATACGTGTCTTTTAGCGTGAGGGAGATAAGGTTAGGGCAATGGAACGCGTCTGCGAAAGGCAAGAGAAAGCGTTGGTAAGCGTCGGCTCCGGCCAGGATAAGAGACTCTATAGGCAGATCGCACATGAAGAAAGGCCTGATGCTGGCATTGGTCCCTTGATGCCTGTATAGCACCCGGCTATGGCTAATGGTGAGCGACCGAAGAGCTGTACACAGGCACAGCGCTTCAAGCACAGCTGGGATGGACGATTGGACGTCGAACACAATGTTTTCGAGCTGATTCCATGGAAGGCGGAAGGTGGAATACGATACCAAGGAGTACAGCAGAATGTGAAGTGTGCGCAGCTGAGGGGCACTGATGAAGAACTCCCTATCCTGGCCTCCAAGGGTAGGACGGTGTAAAAGTGACAGACTTTTGAGTCCGTCGAGACGGACTGCCGTATTTGGGGCGAAGAACACATCGAAAGTGTCAATGGTTGCGTCTCCCCAACGACGGGCCTCCGCAGTTAAGCGCTGCATAACGGCACACTGCTGGTGAAGGGTAACCTCGGTCGGATTCTCGTCTGGAGGATTCTTGACGTCGAACAATAAACGAGCACCGCGCGACCGCGTCAGGTAAAGTTGGAGAAGGGAAACATGTTTCTGGTTGTTCGAGGGGCTCAAGGTGAACGTCATCCATAAGGTGCGATTGGACAATGCGATTTCCCGCCACCTATGACACACTTGCGATAAGTGAAGCGTCATCGGCATACCGTTATTGTCGTTGTCGGGCTGGATCGCACAGACATGGCCGAAGATTTCGAGGAGGATGTCGTTGGGAAAATCCTGGACAGGCAGGGGGAGAAACTGGGTATCGGTGGATCCAAGGGATTTCAAACGAATCTGCTCCTGAAGCGATTCATTGTCCCGTCGGACACGGACAAGCTCCATATCATTTCCATCGAGCTCATGCCTCATCTCGGCAGCAGCAAGGCGAAGGAGCGTCTCCCGTGCAGACGAAATCGACAGACTAGCCCCCGTGGTATTATTGGACATCGCGTCGAAACTTGACTATGATAGCGAACTGCTGTATTGATAAGCTGTAGGCGTAAACTAGGAGGGTTCTGCTCACTTGTGTGCGATTGAACAGTGGTCGCTGGTTAGCTTGCTGAGCGAGGAGTACCGGGAGTGGTTTTGAGGGTGGGCGGGAAAGGAAGAAGACGTAGGATTTATAAACCGGCTGAACCCCTCTAGACCTTGGATATATCAAATTTGGCGGGATTGGATTTTAGCCGAGTGCAGATAACCGATCAATGACAGCGGACAACCGTACGCGACCGCTTCTCCTTGAGTTAGCGAATGCACTTCGGAATAACAACACGATACTGCAATAGAACGTCGGCAAGGATGACCTGGACACCGTAGTTGGAAAAGAGATATCGATTATGGCATGTTATTCGGCTGACCCGAAATTTAATTGGCCACAAAATCCTTTAACCACTTTTCCACGTATTCCAAGAACAAATCTTGCACGGCAACGACAGTAGGATCAGGCGCAGCGAGTGCCATCACCAAATCCGTGCAATGAAACCCGTTTGATAGGCCAATAGGTTGGTCCTCTGTGCTCACGGCTGTACTATTTACGGCAGATACCGTTGCCTCTCCAAGGATCGCCTAAAAGACGTCAGAGTCATTATCCACGAGAAAGGTGCTGCAACACCCACGTTTGCCGTTGGCGAAGAAAAGCCTTTTGTTTTTGACACCCCATCCGCCGTAGAGGGCATTGATTCGGTCACCGTCAGGATGCGGGATCGTAGGGAAGGCATCCGGGAATTCGACAACGCATAATCGCTTAACAAAAATATTAGCCTGGTATTAGCACCGTCAAACTATAAGACTGACCAGATCACTTTCGACAGTGTTGAGGCGCGAAACAATACCGCCCTGTCCAATAGGCGGTCCGTCCTTATGATATTCGTCAGTCTGATTTCTTCGCAAAATTGTGGGACTACGTACTAGAGCTTGGTCGAGTTCATTGCATCTATAAATGAAGATCCTTAAGACGTGAAAAGTTCAAACATGATTGAACACGTACTTTCAGCCAGAGCCAAGAGCGATATGTATTACCAACGGGATGGTCAGCCCTAGCTTCGAGTTCCTTAGGGTTTATTGCAGGTGTAGGTGGCTGACGAGAGGCATCAGCTACTGAGCATGGTTAATGATCGCCTCATTTGTTGAGGAAACTGGAATGACACTCACTGGCATTAACTGTACCATTTGTCGGCGTTAACCATTGAGCCCAGGCTGAGAGTGCGTTCTCAACACCCCATCCACCCTCAGGCGCCGAGACACCATTCTTCACCTCAAGTGCATCGCAGAACCGGTAGAAAGAGGACCATGGACCGGTACTAGGCTGTAGCTCTTGCCACGACCACAGATCCCATCTCACTGAAAGCACTTTCAGCTTGAGGGAACGAAGTTCCGAAGTTCAGGAACACCTACGAGCTTCAGCTAATGCCAGGTTGGTTGAATTGAAGCCAAACAGGTTGCGGATTTTCATTTGCGCTTCAGTATCAGTGCCAAAGAAAACTTCGTCGATGTAGGTGATGACGGCTTCGACATCGGCAGAGCAGTTCTTTGGCATGTTCTCACGTATGGGTTCAAAGTATTGCCAAAAGTCACTGTGGATATACGTGAGTTCGAGAATGATGGAAGAAAGAGCTAGACGTACAGCTGTACTTGCACAACTGCCGATGACGCATAGCCTATCCAGAATACGTCTGGATGCCTGGCAGACATTCATCAATGCTTAGGAACATCAAAGGAGCAGAGGACAACTCATGCGGCCGTTGTCCAACTAACCAAACCACCTAGGAATGAACTATCAGCGAGGTATCTTTGCATGTGGCACCACGAAATTTACCTGGGTAGCTTCCTCCTATTAGGATCCACGGCGCCTTATCCGGACCTACACTGTCACCATTGTCTTGAGGAAGGACAACGTTCTGAGCAAAATATAGGTGATCCTCAATAGTTTGGGCCACGGTCATATACTTCAGACTGTCCACGTTCAGGTTCGGATAAGGATTGCTCTGGCCGAGAAAGCGATGTTCAAGGACTATTGCTGCACCGCCAAACTTTTGAGCAACGACTCCGTTGATTGTCGAGTCTGTTACGTAGCTGTAATAGTCTACGACGAGGTTAATATGACTGATGAAGTAAAAAAAAAAAGGTACAATTACTGCTCGCGTCAACTTCTCCTGCGTTCATAAGTATTATTGGGCCGCCTGGGATAAAGTTCAGTAGGGATTTATATAAGAATAATTTGGCAAACCTTCTTTGTAGAACTCTGCACTGTGCCAGTATCGCTGCTTGAACATTCCCTTGGACGGGTCATCGTGGTCGATGAGCTGATCAAAGTAATACACCGTGTCATACGGTGTTACAGAGGCGCTCTCGCGAAAAAGAGCATTGAACGATTTATGACCTCCCATGTCCACCTTCGGTATTCCAGGTGCTTTGGGGATGGCTCGACGGTCGAAGGTTCGGCCTAACGCATGGCTGCCGAGGGTAATGACCACGCAGAGGGACTGAAGAAACACTGCGACTGCAATACTGGGCCGGAGACACGTCCTGCCATGCACCACTTCTTAATACCAGTTCATCCCGGTCTGGGCACGGAGAATATTCGCAAGCAATTGATGGAGAAGCAAAGGAAGCACATGGTAACGGCGTACGAACGACGGCGCATCGAACCGCCAATCAGCTAAGAATTCACAGGACAATATCAGTTTGAGTTATCCACACTATATGTAGCGACACATACCAAGCCTCTCCACTACGGCTTCTGTCGCCCGTAGCACTAACCTCTGGCAACGTCAATGATCACAGTGGCTATTTCCTCCCGTTGTCCGTCATGTCGCTACCCGAAAATTTTGTTCAACGGGACAGTCAGCCCGGTAGTCGCCAAGGGATTTGCAATGGCCCATGTACGATGTCGTGTCGGAAAAGAGATGGCCAAGATTCGGGATGAAAGTTCGATAAAGAGGAGCAGGTCCAGCGTGCACATAGGTGCGCATACAAGGACTTGGGCATTACTGGCGCCAACTATAGTATACAAGGGCAAGCTTGATGTCCAACGATTTTCGGTTCCTGTAGTATCCATCGTTGAGGCCACCAATGGTGGGTAAAAACTCAGTAAAAACGGGAATTGTCGAGGTCGTCGTGGTCGTGATCAAAAGTAGAAATAGTGATCGAGGGTCCAGTCACGGCTTAATTTACTACTCCCATCATGATCTGAATCACGACTGCCAATGTCTTTTCGTCGGCGTCAACTGCGACAGCAACAACGAGCGCCAATCTTCCGAAACTACCCACCATAACAGCATTTACTCTCTGTTGATGAAGAAGCGCAATTTAGTGCGACATCATTGAGAAAACAAATAGTCGTATTGCGACGACTGAGCTGTGAGGAAAGACGTTCTCTATAGGTGAGCTGTTACTCCTCTACTATCAAACTGCAGCATCTAATACTGACAACGTCTAAGGTTTCCTCTTCGACGTGTTGCTAGCTCTACGCCATGATCTCGACAGGATGCTTCCCATCTTGGAACATCTCCCAACGTTTACTCCAACACCAGCACCAGATTTTTGTCCCAGCGGTGGATGACTGCTCCCATGACCTTTGGGGAATGTTCCTATCCCTAGACGTCGAAATGTTTTCGCCATGGAGGAGATGCCGCCGGAACAACTGGATTGGGGATACAACCTTTGTACGTCCGTCCATCAGAGGCGCTTTCGAAAGGCCCAGTACTGAACATTCATCTTAGAATGATACTGTAGTGCATGCGCGTGTCAATGTCCCAATTGAACCGTCGTTTCACGTCAAATATACTCGAGAATGTGACTATTCTCTCCTTCCTTGGGTCATTGCCTACGAAGACCAAAGTGAATCCTGTCGAACAAGTACAGCATATCTGTAGCTCTGGGAACACGATCTCAGAGCGGTTGTTCTGTCGACTTCACTTCACCGGGCAGCCAGCCATCCAATCTTGTCCCCAAAACTCTCCGTTCTCAGGCTCACCGTGTTCCCCACTGAAGTTCTGAGGCAGGGTAACCTCCCCAAACGCTGATATCTCGGTTTGAGCTGTCAAATATCTTGCGGGAGGTTGAAAGAGCGGAGTTTCCCCATGGCATTGTGGTTGAGTGTTTTATTTGAGGAGTTTAGCCATCAGTCCGTAGGACGCAGGATAAAACAAAGGGAAATTATACCTTCTCGTGGCTCAAATGACCAAACCCTCTCGACACAGAGAGAGAAGGGGTCAAACCTCGTTATGTCTAGTTAAGGTTGGTATTTGTGTTGTTTCCCGGGTTACCGTATCTTTTATTCAATGTGAGTGTTTTGCTCACTTCTTCGTGTTTTCCTTATGCTGACTATGTAGGCATATAGATACATGTGTCATTATATATGCCCTTCGTTTTTCATGCTACCGTACCAGAATGTGGCACTGGTCTTGGTTGGGTCTATGGCGGAATCACGTGCCCAGAAATATAGCGTTTTCCCTATCGACTATTATTCCTGCACTCAGATGGATATACGCGAGTCTTGGCCACTGCGTAAGTACAAGAGAAGCGGGAAAGAAATGGTAAACGGACCGGGTTGACCAAATATGGAACAAAGCCCGGAGGATGGACATCAAGGCATGTTCTGCCATGAACAACTTTTCTACCAATTGCATGCAGTACCGCGATACTTTCAAGCTTACCTTATGCGTGGAACAAGTGGGAAGGGTATGCTGCTGTTGCGAGATTGTTCCTCCTCGTGGCTTCCGAGGGCCATCTGTTCTGGGTACGTTCTGGCGACTAATTTGTCGTCCTCCTTGTACTTATCTTTATCTTTGTCAAGACATGGATGCTCTTGTACGTACCCGAGTAATTGGAGAGCAGATATTGACTCAAATCTTTCCCTAAATAGGGTGAATTTTGGGAAAGCCGTAACATTGCATTTCATAAATCGGAAGCGCTCATGCGGTTGCGTCAGTCTTTGTTACGTGGCTATGGGTTCCTTGTTCTCTTCGAGTTGCACTCACTCGCAAACGTGGCCACCGTGGCTCTTGATCTTCTCGTGAGCCCAGACATACGAACTCAGAGTGATCTCTTACATTGCTGCAGCTCATCTCAACAGAACGACGGAATAAAGCGGAAATCTCTGCTGCTATTCCAATTGCCAATTCCTCAAGACTATGCTTTGACTGTCTGTGTCACGACGAAGGTTCACCACCTAATCCGGACTTTCCGCTGCCAAAAAATGCTCTCGCAATAGTTATTGCTGAAATACGTACCATATCTTTGCTCATATCCTCTCTGTTATTTCCTAGTCGCCATTCGTCTTTGTTTAAGACAACCTGTCGAGCCACGCAAAGACTTCCCCGATGCTTGTTATAAAGGCTGGAGAGCGTTTAGCTCGAGTCCATAGCATTCTTTCCTCGGTATGTCTTACTACTACGATTCAGGCCTCTTCCAGGTTACCGATGGAACTGTACGATACTTTCCCCGCCTTTTTTCATCGCCGTTTGCTGATATCAGCCCACTCTTTCGCAGACCAACAGGCTTAATAGATACCCAGCACCCAATCCCTATCACGCGACATACCCCTACGACACGACCAGTACTGACGACTTTGAGGCGTTTATTACGCAGGTTCAACAAAACGCACATATTGCAGGAAATCAAGAATCTACTGCTGTAGTGCCGTCGTCCGATTTGCGATCGGTTAGACCAGCGTTCAATTTCTATCTAAAAGCTCTTCTACAACGTCACAAGGTTCCTTCTTCTGGTGACTACGCGTCCGCTCAGAGCCAGCCAGACGAAAATTCGACCGACGAGATAGGCGCTACCATTGACGTTCCGAGCTCCGTGTCAGCGGGGGAGCCGCTCCAGGTGGGTAATTATGTGTTCTAGCAATTTCGTCAGAATCGTTAATGCAAAAGATGTTGAATAGGTCCCCGCATCCGTGCAAGAGAGACCGGTAAGCTTTCAACATCTATTACTTCTATGAGGGTACTCATATTGCTCCCCAAGACCTGGATGTATCCCATCCTATTCGTCGCGCACCCCGTAAGAACCAGTACACCGGCCAACGAGCCATACTCATTTTTACTACCTGTCCACAGTTTTTATTCAGGAAAATAAGGACAAAGCATGCGTTCCAGAACCGTGCAAGCCCCCCTCGGATACTCCTTTCCAAGTCTTGAAATCATCTCCGGTGAGCCTTGTCTCTACGTCGCTTGCAACTATACCTATTGCTCCCTGTAGCCCCAAGACCTGAAGCACATTTCTGAGGCGGTCGGTCCTGTAAAGTATCGATATCCAGCCCCTGGATTGCCTGAAGATCAGGTTAAAATATCTTTCCAAGACACAACCCCCGGATATGCTGGAGTTAGCATGTCCCAGATCCTGAAAGACGATCGGGTTGTATGGAGATGTCGGATTTGGTTCCTTCTGAGAAATTTCCCGGAAAATCGCCCTATATTGACGTTGTGTTTCGTGTAAGTTCTTTGGTTATTGGCGATAGCTGTTTCTCATTGTACATTCTCAGGCAAATGGATATCTCCCGCAGTACATTCGTATTCCGATAGATTGTCGCCACGCCAAGCTTCAGAAGATTAAGCCGACGTATTATAATTTGGCTTATTCTGTTTCGGCGGGATTCCAAGAGATCTTACAGGTATTATTTCCGTCTCCTTCCTCTGCTTCTATTCTGTTCACTGATATGCGTCGTAGAGAGAGAAACCGAACGTATTGCCTGAGCAGTCAGTGCAGCCTGAACGTCAAGCGCCGGTCGTAACAGATGTGCGCCACTTGCGCTTGCTGTCACTCTATTCTATTGGTAGCAACAAGAAGACGTGGGGGGCAGAGGTGGTACTGATCGACTCTCTTTTTTGATATAAAGAGGCAAAAGATTACGAAGTATACATTCAATTTTCTAGTTCGAGCTATTGTAGAAATCTGAGGGAATTTTTTTCGGTCGCCGAACCGCTCAAAATAATAAAAGGGTCCTCAAGGCTCACCATGTGTGCATTCATACTACAGGCCCCGACTCCCACGTCATTATGGTTCATTTACGCGTAGCGTATATCAAATTCACGAGTTAGGGTAACGAATCTCTATTTATTGTGTATTTCTCTCGGAAACAGCACAGCGCGTAAGGGACAGCAGCTTCAATTTCTCACCCAGCCCAATCACGAGCCACCCACCCACTCCTCGAGTCTTAGCTTGAAGCTCGAAGCTTGCAGTTTAATTCCCGAGATGGGAGTCGGCTCGGAGTCGGCACCTAGCGCGTTATTGTGACCTGTTTGTCCTGAACGATATCGCCTTCCTTTTTCGTTCTTGCGATTTTACCACCATGACTGACATGGACAACCGGTATGCCATGAAAACGCTTGGCGACGAGAGCCACCGGAAGCTGCTCAGCAATGACGACGACGAAGAAGAAGTAGGAGAGAATGAGACCCTCATTCGCCAGCAGCCCGTACCATCAGATCCGCGATTCGACCAACCAACACCATCACCTTTCGCTCGCGCAGGGCTGCTGCTACTGGTCACCTTTTTGTTTTGGCTGGCATTTTCACTACGAAAGGCGGTGTGGGAGGGTAAATCCTCAGAAAGGTGTGTCTTGAGATCTCGGCTATACACAGTGGCTAAAGGCGATGTCATAGGTCGTCAGATACATCCTGGTGATGGGAGGGAAGGTAGATATTCGCAAATTGTGTTGGTGATGAAGGCGCATGTCGGCGCCTTATATTTACTATCGCCCAGGGATATATCAGGGTGACAGGTACGTGTTCTTCATCTTGTTCGCTTTTCCTTGCTCAATGTGCATACAGCACCTGATCGACCCGCATAGCAACTGATATAATAGGTATCACCGTAGTCAGGGGCACGCAATTATTATAGTGATTTTCATTGTAGTACCCTACACCTCAATAGCACTCAAATAGTGCCCCACCTTTAAGGCAGAAATAGTACTATCGATGGCATTATCTATTGGCAGCAGCTCCCGCCTATCGGCTTCTGGATCCGCCATCCCGTACAACAATTTCGTCGGCCCAGATGCGCATCCCGCCTCTTTGGCGTCGCGTCGCGTCTGCTGGGCGCATTTGTGACTTAAAAAATCCAGAAAAATGGGAAATAAATATTTGAGATGTGTTTATTGCCACTCATACATGTATCACGAGATTTACAATGAGCTACAGTGGGAAAGGCGCCATAAATATATTCTTAAGTACTATCTTCATCGATGACTGAACAGCTTCTGAAGGCGACATTCTCTTGGAAGACCGCCGTGGGTGTTCGCGAGGTAGCATCCGATTCTCACTATTACTTTCTTCGCCGTCACCGTTGCTGTCCTCCCGCTCTTCGTGCTCGTCGCTTTTGCTGTTGTTGTCCATGTTTCGGGTTCGTTTTTTCCTCTTTGCAGCGTTCTTGGGTTTGGTGGTATGAGCATCTGAGCGTTCCTGCCTCTTTTTCTTGATTATCTCTCCGGCTTCCTCGCGACGTTCGAGTTCTTTTGCATGTCTGTCAATCTGTGCTTGGCTCATTGAAACCCATTTACATGCTGTCGTCTTGAGCGCATCGCGGAGTCGTCTCAGATCTTGCAGGTGTTATGGATCTCATGACTTTTCCGGTCTGTACATGAGTCAACATACGCCTACTCTCGGCCTTCTCGGTCTTGACCTCGGCCTACCGGTATTTTCTCTTTCTTTCTCTATTCTTCTTGCCGATACTAGAATACTGTGGAACATTGTAGAATTATAATGACTCAATGCCTTACTAGTAGCATATAAATATTGTCTTTACCGTTGTATTAGAATCTCTTAAGCTATTTTACTCATCTTCGAAGTCCACTTAACTGTGTGATTTAAGCTCTCTGATCGGTTACGCCAAGCGCTTGCCAATCAATTGCTTTCCGACTACGCCTAGCGCTTTTCGGAGACCCTGTTAGTTACGCCTAGCGCTTGCTGACGCCCTCGTTAACTACGCCTAGCGCTTGTTAGCACCCTTACGGCGGATCCCTCTTGGTGGTTGGAACTCGGCTTTCGGACATCCTCGCTCACAACTTGGGTTTTACTCGAGTATTCATTACTTCGTGTACTAGCTCAAATACCCTGATTCTTAACAGCAGGTTCTTGAGGTTAGATAGACTCTCGAACTTGATACCAATCGGCCAGCCATCGATCTTGACATGGTGATGAACAACGATGTCCGTTTCGTAGTTGACATAGTTCATTCGTAAATTCTTTTCGCCTGTGATATTTCCTAAGTAAATGCGGTCTCATTAGTACTAAATATGCAATCACTGAGTAGCGAAACGTACGCAGTCCCTGTAAGATCAAGTCCATGCACTGCACTCGTACATCCTTCGAATCCTCTCTGTCATTCATGTCTATAGAGTTTGCATGAGATGTAGCTTATTACAGATAGTGAAGCGAAGGACGTACTCAAACTCTGTGCGCAACAGAATTTTTCAAACTTCACAAGAATTTCTTTGGCGCTCATCCCGACGATGCGCTTGAAGAATGTCAGTGAAGCTGGTGAATCACTTACAAGGGTTGGTTGAAAGGTGTCATGAATATCGCTACGCGACATGAATCCCACAAACTGGGCACCTGTCCGGTGAGCCAATCCTTCGATCTACAGAGAGTTTCAATACTATGCATGAATATGAGTCGGATACGACAGTTTTGATATGTACTAGAGAACCCCTACCTCACGATTTACACTGTTGATAACTTGCCTGCAGTCTACGGCTGCTCCTTCATTACTCCTTCATGCCCCTTGAACTTTGATGGTCCTTTTTTCCAGCAGACGGTCCAATAGGGCCTTCTCCTCGTCCTTTGTCATACCTTCATAATCCGAGGTGTCCTCCTCATCTTTGACCATCTTCCGAATCTCATCCAAATGAACTCTATCACCGATTGGCTTATCTGAAGTGAGCGTATTCAGTAGTATTCAGTTATGAGAAATAGTCTATAGGCTCTAGCTTACCTTTGTTGATTTCTTCAGCCTTTGCCGAGACTTTGGCAAGGTATAGAGAGGGCGCACGTTGCTTCTTGTACCTTGAAGAGTAGGAGACATAATTCACGACTGTCTCAAAGGATTGCCCATACTTCGTCCCTACCTCTCGGAGCTGTTCATAATACTGCTCCTGAATTTCTTCGATCTCCTTCGCCATGGCCTCTCTCTTTGCCCGCTGTTCGCTCTCACGTATCTTCCTCGCCTCGTTATTATGGCCCTTCCGAACCTTTCTTTGCGGTATAGGAATCTTGGCCTTTGTAGGATTATGACCTGCCCATGTCTTCCGGCGGTCTTCGATGTCATCTTCTAAGGTATTCGGTTCTGGAGATTCCGCCCTGGCTTGTGAATCGTCCGACAGTGAACTAGTTGGTGAGGGCCAACGCATCTGCGTGGCAAGTCCGAGTCCTATGTTTTGTTTTGTTTTACATAGAAAGTAAAAGAAAAACAACAATAATAATTGAAATCATGGACTAATAACCGTGACGAATGTGTACGAAAATACAATGTGTCAGACTCATCTATACCACTTTGCCTCCTTGACTCGGCAGGTCAGACATCTAATCAGAGTATTAGCTTCCTATTAAGGCCTGCAAATACGGTCGCTTACCCTGAATTAACAAGCAAGAATATATATCATTTATGCTAGAACAAGGGGTTAGTATTCCAGTCAAGTTGAAAGATAATGGTGTGTACCCTAGTACATAAATAATACGCAGCCTATATTCTGAGCAAAAACAAGTTAGTCAAACAAAGGCGAAACAAGACAGGGAATCCTTACTATGAATATACTACCTTTCGCTGTCCATGAATGGCATGCCAACGAGGCACCGGTACATCCACCTCAACCCGTAGGATTCTTTAATGAAAAGTAGCCATCGTGTTAGATGATATAACAGCCCAGCCTAGCAGTAGTAGATACTGTGTTAGCGCACAGAAAGGAAAAAGAAGCAGAAAGGGACCTAGCAAAGGCGATCCCCGCTTCTTTGTTCACTCAGCCCACGTAAAGGCCTGTACCCGTTTCGTTAACTTGTGGTTCCGGTTCATTTGAGCGACTGGAGGGCGAGTTAGGCACTGAGAAAGGATCCAAGCGCAAAATTGAAACTAGATTAAGGATCAGTTACCGAGTCGCTAACGAAGCAAAAGCCTACCTTACCTATGATCTGCTCAAGAACTAGTTGTTGAGCCTGCCATCGTGTACGAGCGAGGACCCAACATAAATTTCACACTGGCAGAACATCAGGAACACGAGATATGCGAGGAAGGACATGAACTCACTGTGTATATGTACCCCATCCATCAGCATCCCATCAGACTTCATGATGCACATTCGTGTGACAGTCAAGGAGCACACTCGTGCATGGAAAAGGGCTACATCAACAAAGGACTTGTTAGCGAACAACGAGCTGAGCTGAGAAACATGGTACTACGCACCTGGTACCTACAACCTCACTGTGTAAGGTGTTCTTGTCGTGATGGGACTATCGAGAGGCATAGCTTGTGCCCATAGCTACTATAGTTGATAGAATAAAGTGAGTAAATGAACTACACGACGAGGCAAATGAGTCTAAAGAATGGGAAATAGAAAAAACGAAGACTTACCGATGACCGTATTGCCGCTATCTTCAAATATCCTTGAAATTCCAGCAAGGTCTTGTCCATCCCATCCATCAGCCTCGTTTACATGCAACGAGCCAAATCCTAGCATATCCGATGGCACATTAGCAGGGAAAGAGGCAAGAAATAAGCCACTCACCGGTATCCGAACTTCCTACCATTACCTTACAGCTGTCATCCTATTGTGTCGTAGCGAACAAAGATGCTTGCCCCATTCTATTGCATATCATCGCCTGAGAATGACAAGCAAAGTGTTAGCTCAAATTGAAGGATTGTAAAGTACGGCTTACCTTGGTGAAACGAGCCTGTACAAGTCAAAAGAGGGATTGAAGAGAAAGCTAAGGCTCTGGAAATTTACTCGTTAAATGCTTGCTAACCAAACCTAACCATTCACTTACCATTTGAATGTCGAGCTCATTGCTCGACGCCGGGGTACACGAGAGGACCTTGAACCAATCCCGAGTAAGATTAAAAACAAAAGAAACAGCAAAGAGCTCACTGTAGCCAACAGCGAGCTTTGGTGCCGTCATCGCGGTGACTGTTCAAATCAGAAATAAAGTTAGTGAAGAAGTTGGAAAAGAGGAAGCGAACAAATAGAAAAGGTTCCCATGATGAGCTCAGGCAGCCAGGACGGCAATTGCCATGAACGAATAGAAATATTCCCACGGTTTGCTCAGGTAGCAAAGTCGGCAAATGCCGTGATGGATTGATACCCCAAATAGATTCTTTCCCACAGTTAGTTCAGGACAGCATAATAACCGAGTATCCTATATACATAGGACTCGGAATGTTGTTCCTTGTTGGCCATTCTGGAATGCGCAGTTGCATCGTTTGGTGTCGGCGACAAGTCTTCAGCAGTAGAAGTCAAAGACACTGGCTGCGTCATCGATGGCACAGGTGCTGTTATCGCTGCTTCCAGTACGTCACGATGAGAAGGAATCGGCAAGTTCGATGAAGCAGGAATGGACTGTGGAGTATGGAATACAAGACTGGTATGCTCCGGTTATGACAATAACCAGTATTTGTATCTATTTGTATCTACTATACATAGTAATAGGATCTCAGACACATTAGTTGTGCTATTTTAATATGTAACGCACTAACTTGGATTGAACAACGTTTGCCTCTAAACTGTCACTCGCATTCGGTGATTCAGTTGTGAAGAGGGCGTTGCAATCGCTAGGTAAGGTACAATAGTCCTTAGACACGAAACAGGGAGTTTCTGCATGAAAAGTTAGGAGTGTATAACTTTAGCCAAAGCTGGGGTGTAAGACCACAGCAAGGCTCGTTTAAATATATTGTGGTATTTACTAGTATGTACCGCTCCTGTGTCTTGGTGCGTGCTGTCCCAATGCAGCGCTGTCTTCTATTGTTGGAATGTCAAGTGTCGCGCATCATGGTGCAGTCGACGTCGGGATCTTCAGTAGGAAGCACCATTCATCTGTTCTCCTCCTCGGCTTTCCTTATTACATCATATTGCTTCTATTAGTGTACACGGCATGTAGATAAATAGGTAGACGAACGACGATGACCCTCGCCTGTTTGCGAGGGTTCCCTGCTATATCCGGGTGAGCGGCTGGAGAATTACCGCTTATCTCAACACAAACAGGCAGCATAACCCACAGTCCTTGTCACTCTCGTTCTCTGTGCTGACTCTCGAGACTATCGCTACACCGCCACCCCGACACTGGTGTCGAGATCACCTTTGTCACTTGCTAGACCACGAGACGGTCTGGTCGTTCGCTTTGCTGGTCCACGAGACGGTCCGGCTGTTCACTTTTCTGGTCCACGAGACGGTCCAGTTGTTCGTTTTTTGCTCTCCACATTCGTTGTTTGCCGTGTCGAGATCGCCTATAGAGCAAAATGTCGGACGAGTTGTTTGGTGCGCGTTTTCCCAAGTTATCAGTCGGAAACTTTGCGGAATGGCGAGTGATGATGGAGGCCGAGCTCACGCGTCGGAAGCTCTGGACCGACATTGTCGAGATTGAGGTTGATGGAGATGGGAAGTCGGAGTCAGAGATTTTGGTGGAGATCACGACGAAGTTGAAGGCACGGGATAAGCAGAAGATGGCGGAGGCTAGGGCCGAGATGATTTTGAGGGTGGATGTCGGGCAGCTGGCGCACATGGACTCGAAGGACCCATGGGAGATTTGGGGGAACTTGCAGACTGTGCATCGTGCACAGGGCTTTGCAACGAGCTTGTCTTTGCGAAGGAAGTTCTTGACGGCGAAGATGCTTGAGGGCCAGGGCATGGAGGCTTGGGTTGGAAAGATCAGGCGAATGGCGAAGGCGATGGAACTAGCCGGTATCGACGTCAGCGACCAAGATCTAATCCTCGCACTCACCATGGGACTCCCCCCTTCCTACGAAAATGTCATTATCAACTTTGATGCGACCCCTCCTGACCAGCTCACACTCTCGAACGTGATTATTCGCTTGCTGAACGAAGAAACGCGCCAAGCGTCGCTTGCTCCTGAACGTTCGGAGAAGGATAAGGATGGGATAGGTGATGATGATGAAGTTGCGGCAGTCGCCTTTCGCGATGGCAAGGCATCCAGGGGCCTGAAGGGAAACAGTCAAGTCGAGCTCACTTGCTTTTTCTGCGATAAGGCCGGGCATTTGAAGGCGGATTGTGAGGAGAGGGCGAAGTGGCGGAAGTCGAAGAAAGGGAAGACTGTGGCGGCGGACTTCGCCGGGTTGGCTTATGAGAGTGACTCCGATGTCACTTTCTAGGTTACTCTTTCCCACCACGGTGTTCACCTTCCGGGGGTGTACATTGTATGTTTTCTCCTCTCATTTTTCTCTTCTTTTCTTGGTATTGATGCACGAACTTGCGGGGGTGTGTTGGAATGTCAAGTGTCACGCATCATGGTGCAGTCGACGTCGGGATCTTCAGTAGGAAGCACCATTCATCTGTTCTCCTCCTCGGCTTTCCTTATTACATCATATTGCTTCTATTAGTGTACACGGCATGTAGATAAATAGGTAGACGAACGACGATGACCCTCGCCTGTTTGCGAGGGTTCCCTGCTATATCCGGGTGAGCGGCTGGAGAATTACCGCTTATCTCAACATCTATGTCCTCTGTATCGTATGGTGCTTGGTATAGGAGAAGCCCTCCTGTGAGTGAGAAGGCCAGCGTCCATAGGGCGCTGTCTTCTGAGGAGCGTACGTGGCGGCTTGTCCATCCTAGGATGTGATCAGAGTCGACCTAAAGAAGCATGACTGGGTGAAGGAGGATCCGGCCTATAGGAGTGTGATCGGTCTATGGGCCATCAGACAGATCATGCGTGTGAGCGGTGGATCCAGGGACCTATCAGGGAAGACTGATGGTTGTGTTGTGGCAATGCTCCGATGATGCAGTGTGAGCGTGATGACACTAGAAGCGCTCCTGCAAGTGGGAAGGGCATTGCCCATATGGTGCCACCTCCCACCGTGTATGGCTGCAGAGCCCATGACAGAGTCCCAGTGATATGGTCCATGGCACGAGGTAATGCCGTGTGGGCGATGTGACCGAGCGGGTCATGAATGATGCAGATCAGGTACGAGGAATGATGACGAGAGTCGAATGATGAGTTGCCGACTTGCCGCAATAAGATACCGTGATAAGATAAGATAAGTGAAAAATAGGAGTGAATTCATAACATAATACATATACAGAACAATTATTATAAGTGCCAATCACTAAAATTTGGATGAATGTATCTTTAACAAATATATTATTGATATAGATCTGTATATACCTTATAAATAAAGTTTGCAGCTTCAGTAAACATTAGAAAACATTATAAGATAGCTGTAATATTGTTTTAACAATCTACCTTATTGAGAGATGTTAAAGTATGCTAAGTACAAATGGCTTGAGTTGGTGACTAGTGGGGACTCTGAGATAAGCAGAGAACCCTCACAAACATGTGAGGGGCTCAATTGCAAGGTACACTATGTTATATACTACTAAAAATAGAATTATACTACAGAAAGGGGTGCAACAATAAGTAATAGCCATCAGAAGTGCAGCATATTTGATATCTCAACAAGAGATATTAAAAATCTCCCAAGTACTATGAAAATATTATCTGAGCATTCTAGTCTAATATTAAACAAGTAAATGATTATAAAATTCAATATTTTAGGCTAGAATGCTAAATTCTCTATGCAGTGACAGTTTAAATAGCTTTAAATAGCTATTACAGCTTAGACAAAACTCTAATTATAAACACAATCATATCTCAAACTTTTATAACAAGTATAGCAGACTGAGATATGAAGTTGAATTTCTTAAATTGAATTTCAATAAAGTGTGATGTGACACAGCCCATCCAGCTCGATGAATTTTGTCACATCACACCTCATCGAGCTGGATGGCTATAGTGTGACATATGTCACATCAAGCGGAGTTTCTTGTCACAAATTTTACAAAATAATAAGTGTAGCCAGATATTTAGTATATGAATACTGCATATAAGAATAGCCACTGTATCTGTATATATAGCAGATATGAATACCATATATATGAGCCTGTACCATACTGTTAAAGGCTTGAAATATAAAGTTTGTGAGTATAATTATATGAGTTCCGATCAGGCTGTACAAGTAGGTTAAATCTACATGAATATCTATGAGTATCTGGTTGAAATAGTATAGTGTTTTCTAATAACATACATGCTTTCTTTTAAAGAGTTGCATGATTCCTACTAGGACCCAGGTGGACCCATAGAAAGACCTGGGTCTGGGTTTTCAATTTATTAAAAAGTCGGACCTGTGGGTTAACAGGTCCAGGTCAACACATTCTGAGGCAGGCTCACCCATGGGTGACCCATCAGGGACCTGCACACCATTAACGGATAAAAATTGCGAGCCCTGGGAGCCCTGGGAGGTCATAAAAACATCAAAAACCCGCAAAAAGACAAGTAAAATGACCTTAAGATAGCTATACTCACTCATAGAGAAATCTGATCAATGATTGGATATCATATTCGGATTTGGCGACCCAGACAACCCCTAGATGACCATTCAAATGATTTATGGGGCATGTCTGTGAGCCAGGAAAGTACAGGTGAATCACTGCAAAATTCAGCAAAATAGCTTCGGATGCTTACTGTGCCTCAGGACTGACTCCGCATATTAATCGGTGATAATAATCACATTCTACAGCATCGATAACATATAGCAACCTATGGATGTATTTATTTTGGCTCATGTGTGGCTTGTAACAATGAATCGGAAAAGATCAAGAAAATGAAGAAAAAGCTTCAAATGCCTTCCATGGCTCGAGATCATTCCTGATTTATGATCGGATGGCATATTCGTATTCTATGACCTCAAAAACACTTTAAAACCCATGCAAATAAATTTTATACAATGAAACAAACTCAGGAAATGAGAGGCAAATAGCTCAAAATGATCTAAAAATAGGTTCCAAGGGCTATTTTGGATCAGGGAGATTTCTGATAAAAAATCTGATGCTATATTCGGATTTGGTGACCTTGAAAACCCCTATAGACATATACTAGGTCTATAAAACCCACACACACCCATGGCAAACCTGGGACCCACACCTGTAAGACCTGGGTTTTTAAGAACCAGGTGCAGGTACAGGTCCTGGGTCAGGCAATTTGGTACCTAGGATCTGGCAGGTCAGGTCCAGGTGCACCCAGGTAGGGAACCATGTGACTCTTTACTTTCTTTTCAATCTTACTGTATTTTAATCAATACTCTTCATCTTATATTCATATATCCAGATTTTGGTATATTCCTAACACTATTCAGTATTCTAGTGGAGCAGTGTCTTATTATGCATGACAACTATATTTAGATATACAAAGAGGTATCTTAAAATAGTAATATTGATTACATATAAAAAATATATCTCTATATGAAGTAATATAGAGGTATCCAGGGTATTAAGGCACCAATCTCATTTGAAATTGAGCGTACCAGTCTTGTATTCCATAGTGGTGCGACTGGCTTGTTTGAATGTTTACCTGTATCACCTCGTGTAGTGGATTTCTCCTTTGCGGGGTCATAAGCGATGAATTTCGATGCTGGCACTTGAACTGGATCTCGTGGGCAAATAGGTCTTGAAATCGAAGGCCCTGGGTCGTTGAAGTTGCCTATCATCGATGTATTGTCATGTGCTGCTGTTGAACGGATTTCCCATCCATTCAAGTCCTCAGCATGTCGAGTAGCATAAAAATTCGTGTTTATCTGTAGCAGTCGTCAATAAGTCTTTATTCTTCAATCGAGTATAGGAGACAGACCGTAGAAAATGAGGAGTCAATGATGCCACCTCCTATGGGAAAACCAAGACTTAGATTTGAGTTCTCTGCCTGTGGCAGACTGCATTGGTCGTTCAAAGTTGAGGTAAGCGATGCATGACTTGGAAGTTGAGGGAGATTGAATCCTAGGGTGGGGTCACTGTAGCCCAGACTGTGGAGGTCGTAGTCATCTGAGTGAAGCAGAGCCGTAAGAGAATAGTCGGAGTGACTGAGTTCTTGGTTTGTCAAGGAATGGAGCGGTAAATGGTGAGTGAAGTCAGAAAAATCGGAGTCCATGGATGTTCGACACAAAACACAGGTATTTCCAAGTACAAAATTCCATGAGCTGAACTCAACAAAGGCACATGACCGGCACATAAATGTGTCACCTTGTTAGAAAAACAACGATGCCTGATTGCGTGGTTTGAAATTCAACGATATTCTATGAAATAGACCAAAACCAAAGGTTTCTGTCTTGTGTGCACTAACTAGCAGGAGTACTTACAAATTCTCTTGCTGCTACCAGAGCCGGTGACTACATGGGAGATTGAAGGACAAGGCCATCATGGCAGGAGGTCAGGAGTGGTGATTATCAATCGCCATCACGTGGTATTCAAGGGTATTCTCGTCGACACGGTCACCGTGTAAACATGTAGTTTCTAGTGCTTCTCTTACTTATTGATAACGTGATTCAATGCAACTCGTACAATATATGACTACTGAAAATTACAGAAACTTGCTTCATTTTGCGAACAACCCAACTATGCATCCTGCGATCCCTCAGGTTGAAGTTCAAGTGGATAGTCCTCAGGATGGTACAGATGGCCTTGTCTGTGAACGCGGTTGTCAGGCATTTTGCCTGGATCATCCTCGTATTGTTCCATGAATAGCCTAAAGGTGTTCCGATCCTCCGTCAGTCTTTGAAGCTAGATATGTGATTATTCAAAACTCACATCCATCACCGAGAGTCAGCTTTCAGTCGAAGTTTTTCTCAATTACTAATGAAACAAACAGTCAGTTGAGAGTAACCTCCAGACAGAATAGCTATGTACGCCTTTCGATACTTCGCTTGCGTGGCACGTTGTCGTGCCTTGACAGACTCTTGGTCTGCGAGCGGCATTGCTTTAACACGCTCTCTGCGCCTGGAAAAAGGTATTTTAAACTACTACACCCGCAAGAAAGTAGGTAATCACCGTCTCATTGCCTTGCATGCCTGTTCTCTTCGTGAATCCTTGTTTCTGATTGAATGGAGTGGTGAGAACTTGAAGAGCTTCGTTGGGCATCTGTGCACACGCACCTGTCCTCATATTCCTTCCGAGACTGTTGCCGCTTCTCATTGTTACCCATGGGCTTATACTGAGTTATTAACAGCAGTTGAGGATGTCAAATGCGATTGCCTTGAGGTTTGTTGTCTTACGTGGCGAGTTAACGACTGCCCGTACCTAGGTAGCGGAATAAGCCAGTTATTACTATGCAACCAGTTTCTATTTACTGGAACAATTGATGGTGGTTCTTGTGTAAAGTTTGAAGGGTAGCCGAGGGATGAGGAAGTCGCAATAAGATGAACAAGTTGAAGGGATGGGAGTGAGAGGTTGATGTGACATCGAGCTAAATACGTGATCTAGAAGTCCGACCTAAATTTCTGTCTCATTGAATACTCAAATGCAGGAAAATATTGCTACTCATTTAAATCATAGATACACTCATAAAGATTCAGAATACAAGAATACAGGTAGTAATTATGACACTGAACACGTTGAACGAAGAGTTTGAGTCGATGATGGGCTCAGTCACTGGGAACCGGAACGGGATCCGGTGCGAGGAAATCATCACGTGGTCATTGACTTCGTTCTATTTCTCCCTCATCACGACGCGTCGACTAGTCAACTGGCCCTCATCATGGGCCTTCACCGTGCCTCCGGTTCCTCCTCAAAGATACGGCTTCCTGTTTCAATCCGAGGGAATCGAACGAAAAGTGTCCTCCACTCCTGCAAGGCTGTTGAAAAACGCGCCCGTGCTGCAAAAGCAGCTGAGAAAGAGCATCTAAAAAGTGGGATTTGATAGTAGACTTGTCTGTGCCACAATGTAACTCATCAGATTTCACTCAGATTTGACGCCAGAGCAGCTGGCTGAAATTCAGAGCCAGAAGATCCAGTTATCAGCGGCCTCAGACCACCCCGAAGACGACGAAGACTACGACTCGAACTCCTGGCAGGATATAGAAGATGTAGCCAGGATGAACGGGATATTGCGTGGGGATGAAACTATGGAGATCAGCCATGAAGGCAGGGAGTTTGAGCTAGCGAGAGATCTTCGAGAGAAGCTGACAGAAAAATGGAAGAAACGGCAAAGGTGCGTTAGATCTGAACATCCACCTTTTTACACTCAATATCCGCATAACAGACGGCGGCGAGATGTCCACAAGCGCTGCAATCGTACGCAACAGCGCATCGACGCCTTCAAGATGTTGCTGGAACCAATGACGGATGCATATATGGACTGGGTCTTAGTGCGAGATGCAGATAAATCACCATTGGCAGAGGAGGGAGGCCAATCCTCTGATGGTATCTGGGTTATTGATATATTCAGTACGTTTGCAAAAATACCACTACTCGATGATTACTGACTGTTATTTTCTAGGACGTTTTTGTATGCCCAATAGTAATCTTTCAATTGGAAGTTTAGTTCGCAATGGCATAATCCCTTGTGCACCAAAGCGGCCTGGACTGGTGGTGACCTTTCGGGTCATGGAAATTTTCCACACGGCCATCCTTCGCTGTCCTCAGTTGTCGATTCAAGACTTCATACGAACATTATGCAATCTTCATTCTTTCCCGATTGCAAGCAGTCTAAAGGAACAATTCAGCATCTGCTACGATGTATTCATCGCAATTTTGGAAAACGTGGAGCGGCAAGTACTGAGAGAGCTTGGTCGTTCACACCCGGACTGGCAGCTCAAGAACTGTTGCGCCGCATGCACGTTTGAACTTGAGGGTGAGGAGCAGCTGGAGTTTAGTATGTTTGGAGCTATGGACGGTAATGACTCACTCAAACGCATCCCACGGAGCAAGGTGGTGGATACACTAGAGGGTAACCGGGTCAGCATTGAACGAGATGACTTACGCGATGGTGGCGGCGGATATATTTTACCAAGGACGGAGGTTGATCGCTGGTCCAAGGAGGCCATAGGTGATGTAGAAGCAGTGGACATGGTGAGTGCATCGCCATGCGAAGAACGATGGAAAAATATGTCTGACGATCGGACCTCCAAGATGTAGGGAGTCTTTGAAGAGACTGGCTTTTTTCTGTCATTATGCCGTCATGGGTCTGTGCTCCTTGGGGCAGACATGGTGAAAAGTGGAGAGCAGTAAGATCTCTTGCACTGATTTTTACCTCGCAACTGATTGTTTTCAGAGCAAAATATCCATTAGCTATTGTTGGGAGGCTCTTGGAAGTCTTCGGAGATCGCCTGGGCATCGGATACGACATTGGCTGCAAGTTTGGCAGTACGATAAACCAATCCCCACTTGGCGAGTTAGCAAAAATCAAGAGGTTTCGTGTATTGGTTGGATTATTCCATGGCCATGCACACAACTGTCTGTGTCAGCTTCGACATCTCGGTACATATCTCATGGGCTTAGGTCTCGAAGATCAAGTCAAATGGTCTTGCCAGGGGTATTCGATATGCCAGTCGCTTCCATCGTTGCCAACGCATTACCTGGTATCTGAAGCATGTCGATCGTTTGGACTCCTTCGAGCATCTCAGTAAGCATTCATGTAGACTGTAGACCTGGGCTGACATATAAGTAGGTTCGTTTTTGTGCAACAATTACAGACAAGCTCTGGATATCATAGACGACTATCCAGCATTACAAAAGTCTATGCAGGAGCTTGGAGTGACCGATGAAAAGGAGTTTGAAGCGTGGCTTTCGGAGGAGGAAGCTTACCTCTCAGGTTTACAGCGTGAACCGCCAGAAGAAACCATCGAGATGGAATATTATACAAGGCTCATCCATTATTATGATGTAGAGTAAGCTACATCCCCTTCAACAAACTCTTTGTAGCTGACCTCAAACAGATCAAAGGTTGCTGCTAGCCGGAGGGTAGTGTTCGTTAACACGACGACCGATACACAGCCACAACCACCAGACGACACCCGCAAGATGGAGACAGCACGAAGACATCTTCTCGAAAGGAGATCTCAAGAGCTGGAGAGGGTGCAGGACCTCGAGTGCTCACTGAACATCTCCCCTGAGGACCGCTGGATCGTCGGCTCGGAAAAGTGGAGAGAGAACGAGCAGAGGGTTGCCATGAGGACTTACCGGCGATGCCTGGATCGACTGGAGGGCTTAATAGTCGCACGCATCTTTGAGCTAACAAAGATGAATATGTCCCATACTGGTAAGTTGATCGGTCTCACTAGAAACAGCATATTAACCCCAGTATATAGGATATAAAATGCGAAAACACATAGGAAAGGCTCTCAAGGCACGATCACAAGCCATACGGACCGCCCTCACCCAATATAATGTAGCGGCAGCAACCCTTATCCCCCCAAGACCTCTGCTGAAGTGGGAACGAGTCGTCGAGTATGCTTTTCTAGCTGATTTCGACCTACTCCGAGACGTTCGGAAGGACATGAGCGAGCGCAAGTAGGCCACTCCAGCAGGACGCCAAGCGATGGATACATACTTCAAGATCTGTCAGGCAAAGGAGGAAATCAAGCGCCTCAACATCGAGATTCAGCGAGTAATTACCTATATGCACATCGAAGATACATATCTCCGTCGCCGAGAGGGAGCAATTGCCGAAACAGAGCCTGCCTTGGCATTTCAGATATCGAGATATCGTCAGGATAGGGAACGCTTCTATGCCGCGCATATGCACCGTTTCTATGCCTTGTCGAAGGATGCTGGTTTCACTGGAAGTGTGGAAGTAGGGGTAGCAGCTGCGCGACTTTCTGGGTTTGGGTTGGAAGATCGTGATGGCAATGACATGAGCATAGATCATGAATATGCTGTTGTCAGTAGGATTTCCGATGCAGATAGCGATGATAGCGATTATGAGGATGGTGAAGATGCAGTACATGAGCAAGTACAAGCCATTATGCAGGTTTCAGAAGATACTACAAGGGAATGAATGTCGGTTTTAGTTCTGTAATTTTAATACTATTTATTGGCCATTTTTCCGGATTTTTTGAGTTATAAACGCGCCCAGCAGATGTGACGCGACGCCAAAGTGGCGGGATGCGCATCTGGGCCGACGAAATTGTTGTACGGGATGGCGGATCCAGAAGCCGATAGGCGGGAGCTGCTGCCAATAGATAATGCCATCGATAGTACTATTTCTGCCTTAAAGGTGGGGCACTATTCGAGTGCTATTGAGGTGTAGGGTACTACAATGAAAATCACTATAATAATTGCGTGCCCCTGACTACGGTGATACCTATTATATCAGTTGCTATGCGGGTCGATCAGGTGGCATACAGGGACATCTTACTATCCGGACTTTTGAATATAGCAATCATTGTTTGTATTCTAGTATTCTACAAAGGAATTAACCTCTTTTACGCGATTCTGGGGAAATTGCCGTTCGCCAAGATACGAAAGCTTCAGTTCGGGCACGATACTACGGGACGAAGACGGAAACTACTGTTAACCGTTCACAGAATCTGGAGACCAGAGACCGGTACATCTGCTCTATTCATAGATACCGGCGCAGGCGCCTATACAATGATAGTCACGGTTTCCAAAAGAACATACTACTCCCACGGAAATAGACGCCTTTCTTACCTCTTGTCCTCCTTCATCGATCAGCCTGCTGTACCCCCGTCGCTGTGGCCATGCCCGTACCCTCCCTCCAGCAGCAAGGACGAGACCAATGGTCTACGACGAGCCCTTTGTCCATCAAGTCAACGTTCACATTTCGTCTATCGTCAGGGTCGCATCAATCACCTCGGTGCGGATGGGGATGGAAATTTTCCATTGAATACGGGAACGAAATCTTTTTGCAGGACTGCACAAAGCTCGTGGCCTATTTCGATTACACTGCTCCAAGGGGCACAGACTTTTTTGGCCCGTCATTGACAGTATCGGGTGCAATCAGTGGTCCGTCGGTATTGCACTCTCTTGGTGACAACGTCGATATCAAATTGGGTCCATCGGCGGCACCACAGATTGTCAAAGGTACTCTTGGGTCGTGCCATCTGTCGTTGACGGATGCAGTCTTCACTCTCGAGTTCACAGTCACCTTCCCTTTCCACGAGACCATCTTCTCGCCGATCGGTGCCAAAGCGACCTTCTCTTCGAGGGCTTCGGGGGCTTTAAGGGACATGATTGAAACAGGAGAACTCATCGACACCAAATTTTACTTGTTCAGTCGTCGGCTGGGAGAAGGCCAGGCTTATTGTCCCAAAGCTCTGTTTAGCAGCAGCCGTGTGATACTAGGGGCGAGTGATTACATCGATACCTGTGAGCATGCTACTCTTACTCTCTTCTGACCGTGTTCGCTGATGTTGACCTGCCTCCAGTGCTTGATGGGAGCGCCTTTTCTGAGTCGAAACAGGTCGATATCGATGAGCCCATCGACATCCAAGCAGGACCCTATTCGTATGAAGCCGACAGTGACTTGGAATCTGACTGACGAATATGAGTCAGAGGACTAGTGCGAACGGGCCAGCTGGCAGGTACGAGATTCTCTTCGGGGACACCAGATTTTCTACTAACGCAACGAATAAATCAGCTCGAACTGGAGGTCTCGGTCTTCTGCGCCCATCAAGGCTCACCCACGACTGGGTCGAGTATGCGTCCTGAAAGACATCGCGCACAAGACGTAAGGCAGACGCTCATGACGTCGCTTCCTTCTGACATCTTTCCTAGATTCAAAGCTTTCCTGGTATATCTGTACACTGAAGACATCACATTCACGAACATCAAGTCGAAGACATCGCCTCCCTCGAACTTTGGTCCAGGCTGCTCTCCAAAGTCCATGTATCGCCTTGCTGATATGGTACGCGTCGAAGCAAAGTCGTTTCTCCGTGCTCATTTTTACCAGATCAATCATGAACCACTCAAGAAGCTGGCTCTGGCCAACCTTCGAACACAGCTAACCAAAGAGAACATCTGCTCGGAAGTTTTCTCGGAGTTTACTTCATGGTAAGGACATCGCTTATTTCAAGTCCTTTGAATGACGAGCATATATTACGACAGGTACCCTGAAATCTTGGACATGGAAGTTAAGTTCACATTGGACCACTGGTCGGATCCGGTTGTCCAAGAGAAACCGCAACGCGATGTTCAAGCGACTGGTTGACGGCCAGTTTCCTTATGCGTGGCCTGCTTTTAACGCCATCATGGAGAAAGTGCGCCCTGCACCGCCGGCGGTATCGATTTGCCCCCTAGTAGTGCCGCGGCGGAGAGAGTCGCCACTTCCAGGTCCACCGGGACGGAGACGGCATCATATAATAGGCGCCTCTTCGGATTGGGGGTACGTACTAAGCTTAAGGCTAAGCTTACAGCTAATTATTGACATCGCTATCGTCCCTTTAGCGTCCCGCCGTACTCGTCGTGACAAGAGAAATGGTGCTGAGAAGGATGTAGTGTGATAGATTCATGAATCAGGATAGTGTTCCTTCATAAAGTTAATTTGAAGTTAGCCATGCTTAGGAGCTGTGATAAACACAGCTGATAATGGTGATCGCGGAGTGTGGGACTCTGCGACTTATATTTCGGTGCCCACTCAAACGCAACGAAAAGGAATCAAAAAGTATTCCTTGGTTTCAAATTTGTCGCCAAAAGCATCGTATTATTTAATGTGATATTACGCCAAAGATAGAGTACGATAAGCTAGGAGGAAAAGAGATGCAAAGAAAATCCAAGATCTATCCGCTTGAAAACGAGCGCTACTTCTTGACCGACGAGCAATAGAGCAATTCCGGATGCCATACGATGTCATCAATTGCATAGATGGACACTATCCGGAGATTATCCAAAGAGATTCGTTCAGGAAGGCCCGAATGGTGAACAAAACCACGAGTCGGTTTTCCACTCTGTAGATGTAATGAATATTGGAACATGCCGAGCCAAGACTGAAGGACACGAACCTTGGTAGCAAGATAGAATTCTTTTGCAATCGCACTTAGAAGGCCACGACGAGTAAGCTGCCCGTGTGCGCAGGAAACGGAAATCTTCGGGATAGTTGGAGGATATCCATTGATCTGACATCACAATCAGCTTGTACGCATTACACCCTCAGACAAACAGGACACACTCACCCTGATAGACAGATCGATGGTAGTAGGGACTCCCCTGTTACCGAAGGAAACGCACTGCTCCCCGTCGACAAGAGCCAGTTCGTTGCGACCCGACTCTGATAACAAAACCTCTACCAGGCTAACGCCGGCCAGCGGCACGGTTGTGGAGGGATCATTAGGGTTGATAGCTCGGTGTTTGTCGGCGAAGGTTATCTTTGTCCAACATTGCCTTGGCGCTGCTGACAGATAGCGAATATCATCGCCTGGTTGGGGGAGCTTGAAGGCCTAGTAACAAATGAGCTACGGGGTAGAACGAGAGTAGAGATTGACAACTTACGAATTGGTATTCTCTGCTGGATGCACTGGTTTTAATCCAGGCACATGGTGGTATTGTCGAGCAGACTTGAGCGATGTCAGGCTGGGTGATAAGTATGAGGATGGTGCTAAATGTCCTGGAGGAACAAGTCACGTACCCCGTTCGGAGCGAAGTCAAACATTTTGTATAACGCCAAGCCAGGCGTAGAACCCCTTCTAGGAACCTCCGAAAGACTGGCGGGTAATAGACTTTCCATCTGTACAATTATGCCATTAAAACAAGCACTTGACTCGAAGCAAGACAGAGAACGTACCCTACTTTGGGATTTGTACCGCTGGATGCGCGGCCCCTGGTACATGGTTGTTGCATGTTTGTTGTACTTGGACGGCGGCGACAGGGGAGAGAAAGCCTCTGCTGTGATCGAGGGCGGCGGCGTGCTGGGGCGGGCGCGATGGCTTGAGTTGGACCGGGAAATGGCATAGTTGTCCGTGGGAGACTGAGCACGCGAGCGCCAACGGTGAGGGGAGCGCTCAGGTCCAGGACCAGACAAACGACCCTGGAGTAAATGTCAGTACTGGTGATAGAGATGAAGAATAGTTCACGCGTGCCTTTCTCTTAGGAGTGGAAGGAGGTGAGGTCGAGCGGAAGTATTCGGTAGAAACTCGCGTGCCGTTTGCATCAGTCTATGCAAAACATGTTAGTATGAGAGGCGTGAACGATAAGGAAAAGCTTGTCGTACCGATGATGAGCGGCCTGCAGAGCGCATTCCACGAGGTGAAGCAGTAGCGTTGGCAGGGGCGTAGGAGAAAGACATTTTGAGAGAGCTGAAGATAGAGAAGGAAGAGAAGATAACGTCGAGAGTAATGAGCAGTGGGAAGACAACCAGGTCCTCAAAGTAACAGTAGACGAGTGCAAAGAGTGATGAGGAAATGTGAGGCTCGTCTGGGTCCATTTTATATAGCGCCGGACTGTACGAGATGCCACCACAATCCATGAAGAATGTTTTCTCATTGTCAAAAATCATAAATTATTACGGCGGCGCCTTCATTCCATTTCTCTATTATCCCAGCCTGAACGCGAACATGGACATGGATTTTCAAATTGGTTGTTGGAGATGGCTGGTACCTGAAAGAGAAGTCAATAAAAACAATGGTAACGGCAGCTGAAGGAGACAAACAAAGTCTTCTGCACGCCTGGCCCTGTTTGGTATAGCTTCGAGGAGGAGAACGCTGTCCATCCGCGTATCAAATCGACGCGCGAGAGAATAATTGCGCAGAAGTCTTCCCATGAATTCATCGAGAACTATCGAAAATGAACTCGTAGGCGGTCATCCGCGGCCAGGAATACACTATCAAGACATGGTACCTTTCTCTGGTCGACGTTCAAAGTCAAACCGCTAGGGCCGCCGGCAATCAAAAGATTCTTCGATCAACTTTGTTTCTATTCAATGTCTATTTCAAATGGAAATCCCTCCTCCACCATCACACGACATCGTAAGTGCCTCTTACGTGGACAAAAAAACAGATGAATGGTGAGAAGTAATTTACAGATTATAATTAAGAGTGCGATTGTCCCTCCACACTTGGACAGATAGCACAGGCCCACCGTACCAGACCGCAATTTTTTGCTACATAGAAGATGGAATATCTCCATAAATGGAGACTCACCGTGTCCGATTCCCCACGTAATTATAGATCTATCTCGCTGATCAACGTTCAACTGACACTCCCCTACTGTGGTGCTCGGGCGATATCTTACGGTACTTGCTTGTGAGTTAAACTGTTACTAGGTGAAGTTGGTCAATACTTCGGCTTGTCTGATACCGTGACAACGTTACTGCCTGGATACGCCCCCGTATTCGTTCCAGCGAAGCTAATGGGGAGTGCGTTCTCATTGATTATCTTCGAATATCTTTAACATCAGGAATCTTTTCTGCGCTATTATTCCAGGTATATCTTCGAGGAATCTGACTGCAGTCTTGCGTACTCTGTCGTTCCTCGAACGACTACACATCAAAATTCTCTAGTCGTCTCTGATTCGCTGGTCGGATCCCACTGTTGCAAGCTTGTTTTCTCTGTCATTGCGAAGAGTGTCGCTACAGGAGACGATGGCTTCTCATCAGCTCAACGTCTTGTTGGAGCTTTTGCAGAATTTGACGCAGTACAGACGAAGTCAAGGCTATCGGTGGCCTTGATTTTTTTATTATATTTAAACCACTTTCTGCAGCTTCTAAAATTATTTTCTTGGAAGGATAAGGTATGGCATTGATCTTTGTTTGAGCTCGGAGGGAATTCCGGAGAGAAAAGTGAGGGACAGATCGTGATCTACCATCATTAAAAAATTGTCTTTATCAAGATTTGTTTAAGTTAGCGCTATCATCAGTCAACAAAGTTAATATGCACCGCAGAAGTGGATAATCGTGCTAGAGGAAGGAAGAGGTCAAGAGTCAAGCCATTGTAACCGGTTATCCGGGCCGCCATCGCGGGACCGCCTCTCATTGGCGCGCTTACATAATCACGGTGGCTGGAAGGATCACTATCGAAAACTGTTTTTCTTTCACCTACTACCACCTTCCAGTGTCGTATCAGCCGCGTTTTTACATTTTGCACCCTCAAACAAAAGAAATGTCCGACGAAGAACAGCAAGGCGGCCCCAGCCAGGATGAGATCAAGGGCGAGAACAACGACCCAAACGCGCCGATTAACGTCAAGGTGAGGTTGCCACTGAGGGGCACGGGGACGCAGTCGCTGAGGATTTCCTCTCTTCAGGTCGTAACTTCTTCTGGCGAGGAAGTATTCTTCAAGATAAAGCGTTCCACCAAGCTTAGCAAGCTCCAGGGCGCTTATGCGAGCAAAGTGGGAAAGGACGTGGCCACAATCAGGTGAGTAGCACGGCACTTTTCCCGTATTTTTCCATTTCGATGACGAACTCTGACTTTTTGCTTTCAGATTCCTGTACGATGGCAATCGGATACAAGAAGACGATACACCACAGTCCCTAGAGATGGAGGATAACGGTGCGTATCCAACGTTTGGGTTCCTCGGATGTCAGCTAATTAGTCTCCAGATACAATTGATGTTATGGTGGAGCGTACGTTTCTTGTTTCTTGTTGCTGATTCTGTTGCTGATACTCGGCTTTGGCAGAGGTCGGAGGCTCAGTGTTGCCGTGACCATCTTTCTTCTTGTCGCTATGTTCTGCTTCGCCAATCAATATGATATTCAAAGTTGTATTATCTATCGACAATTGCACTCTCCCTTTCTTGTAAGCCCCCCTATATGTGATTTTGAGAGACCCGAGCAGCGCCGGCTGCTACCACTACGCTGCCTCGAGACGAGGGAGGAGTCCCACGTAGGGGACTGCCGTTCTCCTCTGACCCGTCAACAGCCCACTTGCGATCTTAGGTCCGTCAGCATCGTCTCAGCACAGCAGCAGACTTTAATACCCTCTTTAGAATGCTTCCGGACCGTCTCTACTGTTAGTTTATATTTGCCGAGTCACATTCGTGAACTACGATTGTGATGACATTTTGGCCTATTTTAGCCTTCTATGGTCCAGCGTGTAAGCCCGGAGACATCGCGGTGTGTTAACACTCCGCGTTTGTTACAGTTTCATACGCTCGTCCTTCAAGTCAGTGTAACGTTGTAATAGGGTGCTGTGTGAAACCTGTTGGATGTAGAATGCTGCCACAACTTAACTCATGCAAGGCACCAGCGGTACTGGTATTGCTCCAGAAGATCTGTCATGTGGTATGAATACTGCACAAGGTCGCAGAACTGCCTTTTAGGTACGTTCAACTCTTCAAAGATTGGACCACATCACTTCTCACCTTTCGGCAGGAGGGCTCGCCGTTATAAATCCTATTTTAAGACAATTCATAAAAACAATCACCAATCACGGCAAGAATAATTAAGGAGAGCATGAGAAAAATGTTTCTAATAATGCCTTTCACAGGTACCCACTTCGCCTGTCGTAATCAGCAGGTCTATATACCGCATGGATTGTTAATTCTCTTCTCTGCAAAAATCTATAAATCTGCTAGGTTTATCCGTCAAGGACCATCCAAACTAGCAGCAATGCGTGTCTTTGCCCTTCTCCCTTTGTATTTCCTTGCGGGTGAGTGCACAACCTTCGCTGTGACGATTGCTGAACCTGTACCAGTTTACGGTCAGATTTCTCCAGACCAACAGTCATTCTTCAGCAATGTCTGGCCCTCCGGCCCAGGACAAATTATATCTTCTCAACTCCCGGACCAAGAGCTCACAACGATGCTCAACGAGATCGACCCAGCGCGGATCCAAGCGATCATCGAAAAGCTTGTCTCCTTCGGTACCCGAAACACACTCTCGAACCAGACCGACCCCAACCGAGGTATCGGCGCCGCCAGAGACTGGATCGCCAGCGAGATGCGCGGGTTCGCTGCAGCTTCTCAAGGACGCATGACTGTCACAGTCCCGAGCTACGTCCAAGAACCTGCGTCTAGCATACCCACGAGCACGGTCATAAGCAACATCATCGCCACACTCCACGGATCCTCTGACCCGGGGCGAGTATACGTCGTTTCGGGACACTACGACTCTCGTAACTCGGACGTTGATAACTTTATCGATGATGCACCAGGGGCTGACGACGATGGGAGTGGTGTTGCTGTTTCGATGGAGCTTGCGAGGATAATGGCGACTCGTAGTCCAGCCGCGACGATCATGTTTGCCGCGGTGGCTGGTGAAGAGCAAGGGCTGTACGGGAGTGCCTTTATGGCAGAGCAGTTGAAGAATAATTCGACGATGGACGTGCAAGGGATGCTTGATAACGACATTGTGGGAAGTTCGACAGCGGATGATGGCACTAAGGATCCGTTCAACATCCGGATGTTCGTGCAAGGTATCCCGCCGACAGACACGTCCAGCGAGGTAACGGCTCGTGTCAAAGTTGGGGGCGAGAGCGACACTCCTGCAAGAGAGCTGGGCAGGTTCGTTGCTGATGTAGCCTCTAACGACGTCACGAACATGACAGGCAAGTCCCTCTTACTCCCATGTGTCTCATGTATCTGACATCGAAATCCAGTCCAAATGGTATATCGCCCCGACCGGTACCTACGAGGCGGGGATCACCTCTCTTTCCTCCGAAACGGATTCCCTGCCGTCCGGTTCACCGAACCACATGAGAACTTTGCGCACCAGCACCAGAACGTCCGCGTCGTGAACGGAGTTCAATTCGGGGACCTTGTAGAGTTTTGTGATTTCGAGTTCAATGCTCGAGTGGCGAAGGTTAATGGAGCAGTGCTGTGGTCTCTTGCGCAGGCTCCGGGGACGCCTAAGAACGTCGCTATTGATACTAGTCAGCTCACGAACAATTCCACGTTGAGCTGGACGTTGGATAGTAACGCGGCTGGGTATGAGATAGTGTGGCGTCCTACGGATCTGTCCTCCTGGACTCATGTTATACCGGTGGGAAATGTTGCGCAGGCCACGGTCTTGTTGTCGAAGGATAACGTTGATTTCGGAGTTCGGGCAGTTGGAAGTAACGGATATCGAAGCCCCGCTGCTTTCCCGTTCAGTCAGGTACCATAGGCTTGCTTGTTCAACGTTCAACGTTTATCAATGTAACACATACGCTTGTCTTGGTCTTATTCAACCTTGCATGTCAGGCATAGTAACCAAGGATAACAGAAAGTGCAGTCTATTTGCAAGTATACAAGGCGATAAATAATATACATAAAAACAACCAATTACCAAATCCTAGTGTAAAGCTCCTTCCAGGAAATTAACCGTGAAAAAGAATAAACATATCACCCTCGGTTCTTTTTCTCCCGCCTCGCAGCTCTATTAAGCAGTGTTTTGGCCCTCTGATACTCCATATCCTCATCACTCGAATCCGCCCACATATCCCTTTCCTCATCCACGTTCGACTTCCACCCTTCTCCATTCGTCCGTGCCCATAGCGCCTCGTCGTCATAATCAATAGCTGGAGGCGTTGTGGAGAACGTCGGCTGTAACGCCACTCTCACACTCTTCCGTCGGCGAGGCACCCCAGGCGTCTCCGTTGACGCAGTAGACGTAGCAGATATATCTGAACCAACGTGGATGTGATTGGGATAAGAAGCGGCGTCTTTTATCGGAGGTGGGGGAGGAGGGTCAGCATCGTCTTCGAATACCTCATGTCCCGTCTCATACGACGAAATGGATGCAGCATCGTCATCATGGTCACCATTCATCTTGCCGTTGACTGCTGGTGGAGGAGAAGCTACAGCAGGTGGTGGTGATGGATGACGGGCCGTAGGCATCGACGGTCCAGGCATCGGAGAAGGCGTCCTACTCGGACTTTTCAACGCACTACGCAGAGGAGATAAAGCCGGTCTCGGTTTAGGCGCCACGACCACCGGCGCGGAAGGTTGCACCATCTTATTAGGATCAAAACCAGACTCGTCGAATATCGACTTGGGGGCCGTCGGAATCGAGATCGCAGCTTCCTTCCTTCCCCTTGGCACAGCCGCATTTGCAGTCGCCTCTGCGTCCATCTGCCGTAACTCCTTCAAGGTGGGGCTAGTTGGAGCCTTGATATCCATCAGAGCGGCAGGTTTTACGGTACCTCCCACGCTCTGACGTTTATCAGATGCCCATCCTTCTCGATTCGCTCTGGCCACGTCTTCCACAATGCTCATCAGACTGACGCTCCCTTCCCCCATACCACTACTACCAGTATGAACCGGGGAACTCGCCCGTCTCTCAGCCTTGGTAGTCGAAGGTTTCCTGACCGTACCCGTCCCTGATCCGTCATCTAGACTGGCTCTCTTCTTGTGTCCCTTCACCGAAGAAGAGCGCACGATCGCAGAATCCGGTACCTTCGGGACAGGAGGTACAACCGTCGACGATGATGCAGCGCGCATTCGCGCCGGAGCACTGGAAGCGCTGATCAGCGATGGATTCCTGGATAAATTGGACTGTGCTGGGCTCAACATCGCAGCAGAACCAGTCCCGGTATGTATAGTATCCGTGCTTATTTCTGCTGGTCTCTTCACGGCCCCGTTGGGCATAGACTTGCGATTCGACTTTGTCTTCTTCACAGTGGCGGGAGTCTGCCGTGGTATGGTGGCGGCAGTATCGCTTGCCCATCCTTTATCTGCCTCAGGCTCCGTATCTCGCTGGCCATCAACCCACTCCTCCGCTCTGCCGATAGCAAGATCGACAATCCCCCTATCAAGGGACGTACTCCGTCTCCGCTTCTTCAGCTCTGCCTCACTGAGATCGCCTTGGTTCCTCGCAGTACCACGAGCTTTCTTCAGCCTTTTCGAGCCAACGACATCGCTTGCGACGCGCGGTCTAGGTGTTGGTGTAGAAGGAGCAGAAGGCATAGCAGGGAGTGGTGGAATTGGCGACCTTGAATAAGACTCATGAACGTCGAGCTTTTTAATGTTCTTCGCGGTCCGTGTATCCCATGCTTTTGGCCCTCGTCTTCCCCTGGTCGGTGTCTCATCGCCCTCATCTTCCGTACCACGCTCGCTCGCGGCTTTCTTGTGACCGTGCCGACTGAACAACCCTCTAATACTGCCAAAAAAGCCGCTGCCACCACCACCACTGCTTCCCGTGGGCGATGTCGGGGTGGTCGGCGCCTTTCGCTTCTTGCCAGATCCAATGGACATCTTGCTCGACGACGCGGCAAATCTCACATTTTCGACAACCTGGACGTCGCCCTCATCCTCGTCACTGCTGTTCGTTTCCTCCAGGTTTCCTAGAGATCCAGTTCGGAAACCCAAGTCCTCCTCGGTGATCCGCCGTGGAAGAACATGTTTTTGAATAGGCGGAGGGCTACTTGCACGCGGCAAGCCGGTCTCAGCGATTGCATGCGCAGGCGGTATTTGAAATTGCAGCGGTATTTCAGGATCAGTAGGGGTGGACGAAACTGAGGGCACTTCAAGATTGGAGTAGATATGTTGCACGGGATCTGGAGTAACGATGACGTCGATTTGGGAAGCGGACTGTGAGGGAGCGATAGAGGAGAGATCGGAGGAGGGACGCTCGCCTGCTGGAGTTGGTGAAGAGGGAGGAAGCGGTTTGTCGTTGGGAGAAGAACGAACTTTTTTGCTTTTGTCAGTCAAAATGGAATGTCCGTGCACAGGGAACATACCGGCGCCTTCATTCAGAACACTGTCGACTTGCTTTCCTATCTCTATCCAGCGCCAGCCACAGTCAACTAGAGCCTTGGACCGAACAACAAGCCCGTCCCGAACAGCTCCAAAGCGCTTCACATCCAGCTCCTTCTCCTTCATAGCAAGATGAGCTTCGCATGCCTGAAGTTCTGCCTGCGCGTTCTGTAACTTTTTGTTTGCGCCTAGACTAAGAAACGTCGGTGAAGAAGTGTAGGACATCGACGGACTCTCGTCAGTTTTCAGGGAAAGGGTAGACGATGATTTCGTAGTGGGGCTGAGCAGGAGAGACTCGCGGTTATTGCTGGACTTGGTGACAGATTTGGATGCCTTTATGAGACGGGTTACGCTAAAATAAGACGAGTCAGCATTGGAAGATCGAGAAAATGTGAGAAGAGCAGGATCTGGGGATAATGAAGAAGTATGAGGTTAAAAAAAGATGGATATATGCGTCCAACGGCCCGGGGTATCTCAAGTAATGAGCGCCGCTGTATGCGCTGCGGTGGGCGTCGAGCTACTGCAAAGCAACATCATTGCCGCAGAGATGCACACAATAATAATGCCAGAAATCACGAATATACGCACAGAATTTCCCTGTCCCGCATAATATGGGCCACCTCGTCTTCCAAGTCCTTCAGCCCCGTCAAATAGTCGCGCCATTGTTCTATCGACACCGCATACGCACGGAAAGCTTCACTTGCACCTGCCAGAGATCCAGCTACCGACAATATGACTTGAGACGCGGGGGGCGGGCAAGCCGACGCATAGGCCGCCAGTGATGTCAATGCGACATTAGAGCTGTCGAGAAGGGATTGCAGCTGTTTCGAGTGATCCTTTTCCTGAGATAGAAGATTTGTGAGAAGACGCGAGTCTGCTGGACGGTGAACCATCCAAGGAACGAGGGAGAAAGGGAAGGGAATGAGAAGGGAAGGAAAATGAGGTCAGTGGTGCGCTGGTCGGAAATGGAATTCACGAGGTGTGTTGTCGGTTATTTACTTTTACGGTCTATCACGTGGGCGGTTACATCATTCCCACGCTTGTTGCCCTTGCCGCGGAGGCTTGGCGGAGGGCTTCGCGCGTCCATGCAACATTCATGGCATGACAGGAAAAAAATGACCACAATATCCTTTAATTGATATCTCTACCTACTATAGCAACTCACATACGCACTTCATTTTTTGTATGAGTATTCAAAAATAGCGGCTGTTACATCCACTCGGATGAAGGCGGAATGAAGGCTATATGAAGACGGTGAATAGGCTAAATACTAACTTAGCGGACATGCGTCCAACTCCAGCCTCGTTTTTGGCAGCGCCATCGACTGCTGAAGTCGCAATCAACAAAATTTCGCAGAAATCATTATTTTGCTGGAGGGCTTCTTGGAAGTTAAGCAACCTTATCGTTATGAACTGCTTGCCAATATCTTCCGGTAGCTGTAATCCATCCCATTTAGAGGTCAAACGGTGACTTCGCCCGGTTATCCTTCGCGGATTACACACTCTCCTTGAACACCGAAACCCCGCGGCTTCCGTTCGGAGAGGGTAGTTTGGCTTCATCGTGAGGAGATGGAGGAATCCTGTCTGGTCTTCTTTTCGGAACGCTCATTCGTGGGTCTGTCGAGAAGAATTCTAAAATTCGAGTGCCAACGATGACATTAGATCTGTACGAGCAGTAATAAATTATTTTCAACGAACAGCAATAGATTTGTAGTAAATGTATAGAAATGCAATGAGATTGGTAGCTGTTGTCACGCCTCCATAAGTCTATCCCACCTCCTTAGACACGAGTATCCATCATAATCTAAGACGCAATCAGTCATATCACATCAACAAATCTCAGCATAGCTTACCGAAACTCCTTTTCTGATCACAAGAGCACTTGCCTCGCTTCCAGCTCTCCTCCTTCCTGGGACAATGCGTATACGGATTATGCTCGTACCCAATCTCATCAAAGAACTGTAGCTGATCCTTCCTCGCAAACAACGACGCCGCAATACTATGCACAGGGGCATCGCCCCACCTCTCATAATAAAACCCACCTCTAGATTCCAAATACTCAAAGAACGCTTGATACGCCGGCCCGCGCCAGAAACTCATATCGGCGATCTCAAAGTTACTCCAGACTACCCCGGTCCTTATCGTCAGCATAGAAGCATAGAAGGGAACAATAACTCACAATGACATAAATTGTAATTCAAGCCTCCGTTATCAGACTGGAACCCCATCGCGTTGTCCTCGACGACGTACTCGGGGTGGAGCTCCACAAAATCCCTGACGTGACCCCATAATGTTGGAATAGTCCGCTCGAACTCGTACATGGTAATCGTAAATGCGTAAACCTTGTCGTTGTCTTCCATGAACACGAACGGATCAAAGTTGACGTCGCAATGGAAATGGACGTTAGGCCTGTCAACACGTCAGAGGTCGCCTAGAACGGCTGCTTTTCAGGACGTACTCTACCCTCCAGTACCAGCGGTACTGTTCCATGAGGGGATGCTTGAAGAAGAAACCGGAATTGAACCGGCACATGTTGCGATAGGAGACGCTGCCTGCGATCATCCCCCTCTGAGACAAAAAATGAGATAAATCAGCAAGTAGCGCACCTCCGTAGATGACATTCTCAGCAACCATCTGGTCCCTCGCCGCCTTGGCCTTTTCCTCGTCTATCCAATCCGGCTGAAACCAGTGTTCACGCGGGATCAAGCCAAACTCCATTTTCGATGATGTTATCACAGATACTCTCCTGCAAACGAAAAGTCAGTACAAGATAAGGTCCCCCCCTTTCCCCCCTCTCATATCGGCGCACCTCTTAAAGTCCTCTGAGAACTCCTCTTCATTCAACAGGACGTAGGGGTAGTTGTACTGTCTATTAAACCGATCCTCGATCTCGCGAATGCTCCCAATCACTCCTTGAAGATCGGTGTTCCGTGCGAGGATGACGAACGTGGCATTAGCCCGCCGGCCATGGACTGTCGTGTTGGGGCTAGGAGCGAAATACTCGTCGGGCACGGGGAACAGCTCCGCAGCCGTGTCAGCGCCTCCATGAAAGTGGGATACGATATTGTCCAAGGACGTTATACGCCCATACTCCTGGTGGGTAAATGATAGGATATAATGGACACTGATCTGTGCCGGACGAGATTTATTTAGCCCTTCACCATCATGCATGACGAAGCAGCAGGACGCACCACGACACCCAGAATAAGCAAAAGATACCGCGCCGTCGTATTCATCGCACGTCCAAGAAAAAGGTTGTACTGCAGATATCCGGATCGCAGCGAAAGGTTGCGCTCAGCGTCGTTGGATTGAATGAAGCGGCAAGTACTAGCCCGTGTCTGTGTGGCGAGAATGAGAAACAAATCGGCTGCATGTCGGAAGTAAACCGGGTCTCATTTGTCATGATTGGAGCCGGCGCGCTGCGCCGAGGCAACCAACATTTTTGCCTCCGTTCCACAACTGATAACGCAGATGGCTTCGTGCATTGCCTCCAATTGAGATGTGGGTGGTACTGAGGCCCAGTGGCAAGGTGGGGGACTGCTTCTACACTGATCCACTAATATCCGGATTTATTTTGCTGTTCAAACTCAGCAACTTCCCGACAGCTTTGGAACGGAGTCCATCTACGAATTGTTGTACTGTCAGGTTCTTCTGTCGAGCAGGAATTTCGCCGGAATGATGCATACCTTTTCGTGAAGTGTTTCCTTAGTAACTGCTGCGCCGAGGTTACTGACGTTTGACTCTCCTTTTGCTGCTAGGCATGCCAGGAGTATGTGTGAACGGTCCGCGTCAAGCCCGACGGTACTCATGGTGGAAAGGAAAAGGAGGGAAAAGGGTGTATTCGGCCCCTGCTTGATCGAAGATCAGCGTCTCAGAATACTGATAGACGTCAACGAAGTTACACAGGCGTCCCCGACCTTCGTCTTGGATTACGAATAGGTGTGCCCCTGTTGTATTTTCTCTACCAAGGTGCGCTGATACTCTATTAATCTGAACAACTTCCACAGCTTCCGAATCGGAAGTGAACGTTTGAACAGCTGTATTAAGGGTCATCGCGGTACCTGTGGGTACCGGTGCTGGGTGCACGAGGCACTCGAATATGAATGTGCGAAGTGTCGCATTTTCAGTAGCTACGAGTGTCAAATCTTCACTGCGCTTGCTTCAGTCGCCCTCTCGACTGGAATCATACTCTGTGTAAGTAATGTCACGGCGTTGCGACTAGGCTCTCACCAACATCTGCCACCATTACGGATCCGTAACGTCGAACTACTGCATAGCTTCGATCGGGGTGCAGCTTGGAGTTGCTTGTGTCTTCCCAAGCACAGGCGACCTACTGGCGGCCTTCTGTCATTTATGCGGCTGAGACTGTTCCTTGGCACAGTGGACTTCCTTGTCACCGCGGACGAAGAGGCAGGGAGATATGTAGAACGACTTTGTTGGAATAGACTGGTAGGTTCTTGTATGTTCATTTAATGCGCTTCTCGATTCGTCTTAGCGAAGCCGCCCTTTCATCTTCACTTTATAATTAGCTCAGGTTCTATAAGTACATCGAAATTTGTGTTTCGGAATGTTCCTTTTCCCTTTTTGATACATCTATCAAAGTTTACGCAGGCGCAGCACCGAGAGCAACCACGGGGGCCTGGGCTTGGCTCAGTGCTTCGTGAGTGAACTGCTATCGCCGCAAACATTGAATCACCTGGACAGATACCAATGCCCCAATGACAAGTGCAACAGGGTACGAAGAGGTAGGAGGAGTCGCTGGCAAGTCGTGCATTGAGCTATTTTTGGCGATGTGTTATTTCTGGAACTTCGCGACGCAACGGCATGATGGAACCTGCCGTCCGGATCCAGAATCATTCTTCCTGCGCAGCGCAGCCCAGCGAATCACAAATAGCCATCAAGTGGCTCCCATCTTTATTTGTTTTCTCGCCTCTCTTTCTCCTTCCTCCATCATCCTCCCCATTCACCACCTTGTAACGGTTCCGACCTAGTGACGCTCTTTTTATATTGCATACCCTTGCAAGAAAACACCTAATACCACCCTACTACAAGTCCACATCGAGATCATGCAGCGTTTTGCCTCTTCTGCCGCTCTGGCACTTGCCATTGCCGCCAGCTCGGTCTCTGCGCAGAGCTCGACGACTTTTCCCGAAGGCGTCATCGCCACTGGAACCATGGGCACAACTAACCCCGCCCAGCCAACTACGGGAACGACCGTCAACCAGACATCCTATTCACGACTACTTTCCCTGAACTCTGTCGATGTAAGCTATTTTCATTTTTCAGGGCGGTGTCGCCGCCTCCTGTGTGTAGCTAAATTTATTCTTGCAGGATTGGTGTATTTTTGCTCCCCCTTCAAACAACACCATTGGTGAATCTGAGGTACGTGTGCGTGCTGTCGATAAGGAGCTGCTGACCAAGAGGAGTGCAGGCCATCGAAGTCGCATGGTGCACGAAAGCGCGGAACAACGCCCGTGTCATCCCCGACGGTGTTATCACTGGTGTTTCCTTCCTCAAAACTGGTGAGCCACTTTTTTTTTCCATGTCCGAATATCGGGTAACCTAAACCGTTTTGGGCAGACTTCTACGTCCAAGTCTTTGGCTACGGTGATCTCACACAGCTAAACATCGCGCCTGGTGACTACGGAGGTATACTGCGCATCTGTCATTTCACCTCGTATGAAATCATCTGACTGTTACCCAGGTGAGCTCGACCCTCACGGAGCTACTGGTGCGGGTAACCCCGTCGGTGGTAACGTCACCACCGATGTCGTTACTGGCTCGGACATCAACATTGCTGAGTGGATGGTGCGTTGTAATTCTATGTTCCGTTGGAGCTGATATTGATGAATTTTGATCTAGCAATTCGTTGTAAGTGCGCTAATAAAATATTACCTCTGCGTCTCTCATGAGCATAATAACAGTCCTATACCCAATTCTGCATTCGTGCCTGCACAAATGCCAACTCTTCTTACAGCGCTGCCGCGATGTGTGAACACAAGCTCGACGAGATGGGCTGCACGTTCGTCATGCCAGGTATGTGTCCTTATCGTCCCGATAAACCCTTTTATTTACGCTTCAAATTTTCTCAGGAAACTACAACTTCAACGGAACCTTGTAAGCGTGCTCGATCTTTTACACTGTCGTAATTCACAAATACCGCTCTAGTGAAACTTGTGATGCTGATGTTGCCTGTACGATTCTTCTCTTCATCTGATGTATCATGGGCTCACTGACAGGTTCCTGCAGACCCCCCTGGATGGTACCCTGAAGTGAGCGGTGGAACGACCTCGTACTCCACCTTCGCCCAGTACTTCACCGGAACCTACACCGACAGCACCGGTGCTACTGTCTCCTACACCGTCGGTGACACCGTTACGCCCACGACCGTCGCATTCACCCCGGCATCTAGCAACTGCCAGACCACTGCCACCATCAGCAACGGTTTGGCCGTCGCTACGAGCGGTAGCAGCAGCGGTAGCTCTGGTTCGAGTGGATCCTCTGGATCGGGATCAGGCTCGTCTAGCAGTCGTACTGGTAAGTCCTGTCTGGGCCTGTTTAATATCTGTTCTCACTGATGCGTGGTACAGCGAGCGGAGCGTCATCATCTTCCACTGGGAATGCTGCTGTCTCCTTCAAGTCTTCGACAACCTACCATGATGGTGTCACGCTCGTCGCTCTCATCTCTGGTATCGCTGCAATCGTCCTGTTGCATTAAGGAGGTTGTGTCTACGTTTCTATCCTCATGATATATACATACATACATACCCCTACACACACTCTTTTTGCGGCATGGACATGGACCATTTTTACATCACTATATAATATCTGACTACGACGAGGGAACCTTGGATTCCTTTCGCAGGGTTGCGTATGATGACTTTTTTCTCTTGATTCGAAGTGGGTTCACGCTTGGATACTACGTACAGACAGACGGTTCTGGATATGTGCTATGCAATACGAGTCTGTTTTTTTCGTAGCTGTTCGATTTGATTAGTTACTTATGATGTGTCCGAACAGGCATGTCCAGGCGAGTCCATTGCAGTGCAGTTAAAGGTTTTTTTTGGCGGCAAGGCCTGGTATCGAGTGTGATAAAGATGATGCTACAAAGTGAAGGGATGATTCTTCTGGATTATGCGTATACGTATATGAGAAAAGGTTATAAAAGGACAAGAATGCAGGTTTAAATCCGGGAGTATAAACTCGCCGAGTGCCAAGATGTAATCAGATGTAATGGAGAACGAGGTATATAAGATGCTCGCCTCCAAGTCGAATTCCAAACCGAAGCGAACGGTGCGATGCGACAAGAAAATTCGGTATAGAACGGCTAAGAACGCGAGTATTAATTAATTAGTCAATACCTTTTTCGACAAGGAGAACCCGACGGAGGACTTGCGCCCAACTTTATCGAGCGTACGAAACTCGTAGAAGTCCCTTGCCATCTCTGATACCTCGTCCCCGAGGGCAGCAAGACGCGGACCACCTTCAAGGGTGACGCTGTCGAGACAGCGCGCGGAGCCTTGGAGACGAGACCTGAGCATGTCGATCAAATCCTGAGCTGGGCCTGAAACTCTGATCTTGAGGGTTTTCAGGTGGGGAACGAGGTTTGAGTGGCTGGGACTGGTCAGGGTTAGGCGGCGGAGGAAGCTAGGTCCTGGGATGGCCTCTTCATCGTAGGTATAGGTGTATTTCTCCAAGGTGTGCAATGAGGGTGTCAGGGACAATATCTCAAGCACAAAGTCGTCCGTTATACAGGTGTCGTCAAATATTGGGTGTTGGAGCTGAGGCGCACAGGGTAGAGATAGGAATGATATAAGCTCCCTTCCTGGTGATATTGTGCGACCTGCGCCATTGATTGTTAAGGAGACAACGTCGGGAAAGACGAAGAAGGGAATGACGGAAGGAGAAGCCATGGCGGCTATGACCAATGATTCGACTCCGTTGACGACTGTCGGGGCGGGGATGGGGCCGGTGAAATCAACTAAGTGATTCCAGAGTTCCAGACGCCGGAGATTGCGGCATAATGGGAGGATGTGGGTAGCCCGCGAGATGGAAGATTCGGGGAAGAGCTTGAGGTCGGTGATCTGTCCCCAGGGGAGGGAGAAGTTGTTCTTTTTTGCCTTGTGAAGCTGAACCTCTACGGAGCGCAAAGCTGGGGCATTCATGGAAAAAGTCCCGGCGCTGGCGTCGAATTCGCTCCCGATACATTAGGGTGAGGTGCTCGAGATGAGGTTAAACTGGGGCAATTGCTCCATGAGGTGCGGGGAGGAACGGGGCCTTTGTGTTAAAGTTGGCTCGTTTCCATCGATGGGCCTCAGCGCAGATGATTTGCATGAATTCGCTCTGTTGGGAATCGGGTACGATGAAGTCTGGATCCTGGTCTTTGTGGTCGTGGATGGTGAACGACAGGACGTGATTACCAGACCTGGCGAGGTAGAGTTGGAGGCAATCGATGCTCGCTTGTGTGTACGGCGGCTCGTGGATGTATTCAAAGGTGGACCATAGGGCGGTATTGGAAAGTAGGGCTTTGCGCCAGTGCGAGCATACGCCTGTCAAGCGCAGTGCGATGATCCTGTGAGGCCAGTTGAGGTAGCTACGGGCTGCGTCGAAAGGAGACTTGCAGGCATGAGCGAACATTTCGGAGAGGCAGTCATATGGAAGACGCTCTATGGGAGAAGTGGTCGTCATATTGTGATACTGTGACGGTAAGCTAGTTGAGGCAAAATCAGCACAGAGAAATTAATGGCCATCTTTCTCTTACAAATTTTGGTTAGCTGTAAAAATAAAGGGAGGAGGTTTAGGCAGGGGGATATTTCTTATAGTGGTTGTGGGGGTAAAGAAGAACGGAAGCCTCAGAGCACGAAAACTTTTTTGGAAACCATTCAGGTTGAACACGTGACCGTGATGGCATAACTAATTAGCGCCGGCAAGTGGCAAAGCCCGCTACCTTCACTTACATAAGGGATGGGACGACGCAAATCCAGATCGACTACTTCGTTTATTTCTACTCAAAATCCAAAAGCAACGGCATCAAGAAAAGAACGTAAAATCTGCAGATAAGACTATGTATGATACCATTGTTAGAATCGCGGGGCTGTTCTCAAATGAAGTGACAGTGGCAAAAATGGGTTATATCTGTGGCAAACGCGACATGGAGACTAACTACGAAAATCCCCGCAGGAATAAGCAACACGTAAGTAGATCACTACGAGACGCCGATACTTGCCGCCATCTATTTTTACTGTCCGAGATATGACGGAATATATTGGTGCACAGGACCTGTCTCAATGGTCGTCGTGACTGCGACAGAGACCAAGAATAACGTGAGTGAAAGACAACAGGTTTTCAAGCTAAAATATGGTTTGCTTACGATGATCCTTGAACAGAATTTCGAGCCAGAGATACCGTTCTTGCGAGCAGGTATGTTGCTGAGGTACCTATATATTTGTACCCGGGCCCTCACCTATAATGCCTAGAGGAACAAGAAGCTTCGAATGTGAGAATTTGGCCAGACTAACGGTCGAGAACGGGAGGTGTTGTGCATACCGCAAATCGGATGAAACACCCAGAACTAAAGAATCATCATCGCACGTAACACTTTACCTGAAATCCCGGATATTTCTGGCATGTCACACAGTCTATTTTCTAGATTTCAATGCGACCAATCACATAATTTCTTATAACGACACTGCGGGGCTGGCCAACCACTGCCATGGATATCAGATCTGTGGCACTCAGTGACCATGATTCTATCATCTCATAATATTGGACTTCGAGCTTCCTATAAATGACTGACGACCAGTGTATCTTGTGACTCTTGAGTCTCATTATTGCCATGCCATCGGAGAAGGATACGACCACAGAGACGATTTCCCTTCCGACACTAGACAGTGACAAAGGACTTCTCGCTCGTCTTGGATATAAACAAGGTAGACCAACTTCACTACGTGTCAATCCTAGCTTATACCCTTCTCTATTCAGAGCTCAAGAGACACTTCACACCGCTAGAGATTTTCGGATTTGCTTTCAGTCTTATTGGGATCGTACCTTCTTTCTCGTCAGTGGTTTTTTTTTTATCTCAGGATATCAATTTGTGTTCTGATTCACTGTATACAGATCCGTGCTAATCTTCTCCATCCCCAATGGAGGCGCTTTTGTGATGGTCTGGGGTGTAAGTCGACCTCATTTACACGCAGTAATTGGAACGATCCCTTGCTTATAGTGGACTGTCTGTTCAATATTCATTGCTGCAATTGCCCTCGCCATTGGAGACATAGCATCTGCCGCACCAACGTCCGGCGGACTTTATTACTGGACGTTCATGTTCTTGCCGGAGAAATGGCGTGGATTTTTATGTTGGATGGTAGGATGTAGGTCCTCTATGTTATATTCGGTGGCCTGAGTCAACTTGAGATAGATTCCAACACTATCAGTAATGTGGCTGAACTTACGAGTGTCAACTGGGGGTGTGCCATGCAGATTATGGCGGCAGTGAGTATCGGGTCTGATCTCGCTTTTGAGGCGACTATGGCTCAAACCTTGTGAGTTATTACCCGATCACCACCTAACAGAGTTGACGAGCCTATACAGTGGATTATATTGTGCTCTTGTCCTTTGTCATTGCCTGATATGCACCCTCAACTCGAGTATTATGGCTAGATTGCAAACTGCTGTAGCAATAATTAATGTTCTGTCAGTTTCTTTCCATCTTCCTGCTCGTCTACTGAAAAATTCTTGTATTACAGCTTGTTCTCTGTGATCATCATAGGCCTTCCAGTGATGACTCCTGGACAATTCAGAAACGACGCAAAATTTGCTTTCAAGGACTTCACCAATGGTCAGTTTTCATGCTGGAAGTCTTCACTGGCTCATGACGTTAATCAGTATCCGGATGGCCCAACGGCTTTGCATTTATCCTTAGCTTTTTAACCCCTTTATGGGGTGTTGGTGCGTCTTGTTTCTTGTGAAAAATGCCTTTTGGGCTGATATACTGTAGGAGCGTTTGATGATCCCGTCCATATTAGCGAGGAAGTAGCCAATGCCAGCATAGCCATTCCAATGGCTATCATTTGCTCCATCTTTTCTGCCACCATTTTTGGCTGGGGTAGGTTTCTGTCATCAAATGACCACGGTGCCGGCAGCTTACGAGCCTTGTTACACAGCCATGAATATCGCGCTAGTCTTCTGTATGGGTCAAGATTACCAAAGTATCATTGATAGTCCCATCAGTCAGCCCATGGCCACGGTAAGTATTCAACGAGTCCTATAGTATTACAATTTTGCGCTTTATCTTATCTTATCGGCTCTCTCGTAATCTCGCTATGCCAATTTTCCGGACTTGATCGCATTCTATCACGAGGGTTCAGTACGTTTACCGTACCATTGCAGACACTTGTAGTATATTTAGCACAACCCAAACTGTATTTAAGTAGCTCGACTGCAGGTCTTAAACCTCAGTCTCGAACTAAAGTTTATTCACCTGATAACTTAGTCTGAACTCACTCTCGCTCAACTAAGCGATAGCTCCCTTAACGCAAACCTGCGGACAACACAAAGCGCCTGACCGAAGTGCGAGTCACGCTTAGTTGTTTGATCTTGTTTGTGAAATCGGTCGCTAACAATTAGTTCGAGACTTTCTTACTCTTCATCAACAACCACGTTGACGAACAGTAACAAATGAACCCCATCGAACAATACCTCACCGACCTCTTTGGACTACAAGGCTTCATCGCTGTAGCCTATCTCGCCTTTCTATATGGATACGAATACCGACAAAACCAGGAGCCAGTCTCCGAAGAAACTATCCCCGTCGAAGCCCCCAACCCGGAGGCTAGACGACCGCACACACCCCCTCCCGACTACGTCGATGACCGACCTGAACCCACCATCCATTTCATCTTCATCACAGATGACGAGTGGATCACAACGGACTCCGACACAAATGAGTCCAGTGAGTCCGACTCCGAGATGGAAGGATGGCCCACACAAAGAGGCCCAATCATTGAAGAAGAAGAAGAGCGAGGACCCTACGAGCAAGGGATGGACCAGCGTGTTCTCTCTCCCATTACCGAAGAGGAAAGTGAAGGGGAAAGCTCGAGAAGTGATCCCTGGAACGCCCCCTCCCCCACCTCAACAGAAAACTCAGCCGCCAATCCTGGATACGATTCGGACGGACAGCGCCTCTATCAGAGAGGGCTTAGATATCATCTGGGAGAAAGAACAGCGACTACAGATGGAACTGGAAGCAGTTCAAATGAAGAAAGCAGCGATACAGAAGAGGACAGTAGCAGCGACGAGCTCCCAGGGCTGCGCAACAACTGGTCCCCTCCAAGACTCGACTCAAGAGGGGAAACGTGGGGCCACCACTATGCCTGCAACGACTCCTCAGACGACGAAGGAAGTTACCTCAACCTCGTCACCCATCCCAACACCCCGGTCATCGTCAATGATAGGGCCGGGGAAGCCACTACCGAGCTTGACCAGTGCGGACCCACATACGATGCCGACGCCAGCTGCAGCATATGCCGACAAACACAGGACTACGCCGACACGTGGCTCATATATGAAGGAATCGAGGCCCCTGCCTCTGTCATCCCCTACGTCATCTATCCACTCGCACCAGAACACCCCCACGTGGCTCCCGTCCCCTTCGTTGCACCCTGGGTATGGGACAGACCCCAAAGACCAGACTTCGACCAGGTCCTTCTCAGGGTCAATGAGTGGGCAAGAATCATTCGAAACTGGAACTGAATCGTCACAGGAAGTACGGAGCCTTTTGAGCAAGTCTGACCAATCGGACTTAGAAGAAGGAGAAATTTACGAGAACCCTGGAATAGGGCGGACTTTGATCTACAGCAGCAGCACCGAGCAGGGGAGTATGGAGACGAGGATGTCATCCCAGAGTTCGTGGAAGGATCTAGCTCGGGAGCCTACTGAGGCCGAGCTAATGAATATGACATATTTAGAGATGCTATGTTGGACAGAGCGAAAGCTACCAAGAGAAATATCGTGGAACGGCTCACCACAAGGGAGGTATTTCCAGAAGGAAAAGAGCTCGACGATTGGAGCCCAAGTGCTCTACCGAGAAACCATTTTCCACACGAACATTCTGTGGAACCAAGTACACCCGGACGACTACACAGACCCCAGAGAATGGTACCAGGTGCCAGCCCCATCAGAAGCGTCGAGCGGAAGCACAGTGGATTTAAGCCACTTATCCATCCTCAGAAGGACAGGGTACGTCGACCCTAGTCGACTATTCGCGGTGGCAGGGACCCCAGGAAGTGTGGGCGCAGCAGCAGCAGCAGCAATCCCTCCTGCGGCCCCTGCACCAGCTCCACAAGGACCCCCCTCTCCACATCACAACCCTGCGTTACGATCACTACCGTGCCTGGCAGCAATTCCTATTCCCGCCTGACCCTGTACAACCACCGAACACGCCACCACTGTTCATAGTCGGGGTGGCCAACACGAACCCATGGGCACAAGTAAAGCCACAATTGGCGGAGCCACCCGAGAAGTTCAAAGGGGAGTCCAGTGATGTAGACCAGTTCCTAAACCAATGCGAAGACTACTTCAACGTATTCCCACAGCAGTTCACGATGAACACACATGGACAAAGCCCTAACCGGGTAGTGTTCTGCACGTTCAGATTCGCAGATAAGGCACTGCACTGGTGGAACCATGCAAGGGACGAGTACTATGACGAGACATGCAGATACTTGCAGTATCCAGCATGGCAAATATTCCGACAAGTAGTTGAGGATCAGTTCAGAACCGATGCTGAGGTAGAACTCAAGTTACAGGAGTTTAAACGCATTCGACAAAATATGTACAAGTCAGCAAAGGAGTTCTTCTGGGACTTCGAATGTTTGGCCAAGGAATCCGGAAAACGGCACAATGAGGAATACATGATTGAAATCCTCAAACCAGCCATCCGGAAGAACGTCAAAACTGCCATACACACCATGGGGACTGCACTCCCACGCACGTATGCAGAATGGAAATTCCGAGTCAAACAAATGGACTATAATTACCGGGTGGGATTAGCGGAAGATGCAGGCAGGAGTCAAGGCACACAGGGCCAACAGAACAAGGGAACGGGAAAGGCCGGAAGCTCCGGAAATTCCCCAGGTGATAAGAAGACGGGAACTGGAACCACATACGGGGCCAAGGGCAACCAATGGAGATAGACCGACTGCGGAAAGAAGGACGATGCTTCCGCTGCAGTCACAAAGGCCACCGGAAGCAAGACAACAAGTGCCCCAAAGATGAGAGTACGTGGTTGGTCAAGCACCAACCCAAGTTCTCCCAGGCCCAAATCCATGCCATGTATCAGCAAGTATTGAAGGATGAAGAAGGGAAAGCATCGACGTCGAAGATCGAGGAGGTAAAAGACGAGCCGGCGGCATAAGCGACAAATGCGCGTCGGCTAAGGACTTAATTTCATTTGGTGGTGCGTCCTCAAACCCCATGGGTCGGACTAATAAATCGCTTGTAGTATCTCTGAGCAATATCACAGTTTTCACGCAGTCACAAAATGAAATTAACAAGTCGCATAAAAGCAACGGTGTACAGGGGATTTCCACCGTGCTCGAAGAAGAACCCCACCCAAGATCCTTGGCCACCGGTGCGAAAGCACAAGCGGCAAATGCTGCGCAAGGCAGCGGGAAACATGGGATCAAGGTCAACATCGCTCCATGGCGGGTAGGTACCGGCGCAGAAAACGGAGGAAGAGCGGCCGAGCTAGTAGTGGGCGAAGGCGTCTCCAGGCGGGAGAGGAACGATGCAGGGCCTCGCCCGAAGGCAGAACGTACACACCTGCCCTATGCGGCCAACTACCCCGACACGGCGGAGCCGCAAGAGGGAACGCGAATCCCCACGAAGAAAACTGCCGCCCTGCAAAAAACAGTCAAGACGCTTGGGGACCCCAACCCATCCTATCAGGTATGCCTACCCCCTTCATCGCTAACACATAATGGCACTGGGGGCCCGTGTTCCCCGGTGGGCGGGTCGGTGGGACCATTATGTGCATCCCCTACTTGTAATAAAAAGAACGTTATTATCGAAGAAGTGCCTGATGAGGAAGATGACTACAGTTATCAACAAAGCCTTAAACCACGAGGGGAAGACCCGGTGACCCACACCGCAGAGTACCCAGAAGACTATGAGGTAACAGAGCTAGAAGAAGAATATTATGATGACAAGTGGGACAAGGGGTGGCTCAAACCACATAGTGCAGATGTTACGGTTATTCTTTTCTTTTTCTTTTTCTTTCCTTTTCTTTTCTTTTCTTTTCTTACTCAGCCGGATTACGTGTAGGCGATCATCATGGACTGACTCTCACGGTACTATTTTTAGTGTACCAACGTGTATTTAAGTAGAGCCTCAGCTGGCCTGAACCCCAGCTTCGGCTAAGGTTAATTCTACCTAACATCGAACTCCGTCCTTCGTGACTATTTGTCCCATCGACTTACCTCACCTTTGACTTGCTAAAGCGTCACCTACCGAAGTGCGAGTAGCGACCTTAGCATGATCTAAGTCGATTTGAGTTAGTGGCTAACATTTAGCCGAAGCTCGTTCTACGTTGCCCAACGACATACCGTTGCCCAACATTTTTCCTGTCATTCTCTTCATTGTTGTGGCACTCTCTGTGCTACAATTTCTCCTTAACGACCCTTTGGGATTGGTTATTGTAACCATTCTCCGAGTGTTCCTCGTCTGCGTATACGTCCCGTCTCCAGTGTTTGCAGGATTCCTCCTGCTCCTCTGGGTCGGATTTCTACGCCACCATTAAAAACACGAAACCCTTCATCCTCGCCCTTCAGCTCGCCTCCATATTAACAATTTTATTGTTGATATTGACGAGCACCTCTTCCGACGAAACCTGCGAGATCTTGTTAATGAACGGCTCTAACTACGAGACCGACCTTAGCTTGATCATCGCACTCCTCATTGTCCTCACCATACTCGCTGTCTATCAGCTTGCATGGTCAATCGTTGACTTACGCCAAGGGTAGATCCACTTACGAATGCCCTGGTCCAAATCCATTCTCGCCGTCTTCGTGACTTTTATACTCTTTTTCTTCTCCATTACTTTGTACCATCTACGCCGTTGTTTCCAGCAGAGACAAGTTCGCGTGCAACTCCCGTTTCACTACGTTCCGAGCACCCCTGGCATATCCACCGCCGGTAATCGATATTCCCTCTGGCATCTCAGCAGACGATAGGAGATGTCGAATCCAACGACTCCGGGGGATCTGGAGGATC